TACCATATTTTCGAATTTTTTCATAACCAACATCTTAATCTATATTATCTAAAAGAGATTGTAAAGTTTAAGTATTATCCATATAAAATAATATTAAAAATATTGATTTTATTTAATATTTAGAGCCAAAAACTTGAGGTAAATGATATTCTTTTGAAGAGTTCTTAAATGAATTGCTTATAAATTATACAAAACATTTTAAAATATATAATTATTAAGATTTACATTATTACTATTAAAATTTATTATTAATTGTAAGAGATTTGGAATGAAGAACTAATAGTTTTTATATACTAAAAAATGGGTATAGGATAAAGAAGCTAAAAATTGTAAGATATGTCAAACCCCATTTAAGGCAATATTTAAAAGGAAACATCATTGCAGAAATTGTGGAGAAGTATTTTGCGATAGGTACAAATTTTTTGTTAAAGCTTAAAATAGTTGTTCAAATTTCTTTATGGATAAAACTAACTTTAAAAACTTTCAAGATATAAAAAAAAATAAAGTATGATTGTCTGATGAATAGTAAGGTTCGATTATGTCAAGATTGTTATCAGGAAATTAGCAAAAAATTAAAAGAAAATGGAGATTTGGTTGAAGATAAGAATGGAGTTAATTTTAATGAGGAATAATAGATGAGGAAACATTCAAAATCTTTAAATGTATTTAATGAGAAATTGCCAAATACTGAAAAAGAAGTATATTATTATTTTTATATATCTAAAAGACGTATTCTCCTGGAACATTAAATCTAGTACCAACAGCAATAAATGATCAAAAAATCTAGTTAAAAGTTAATAAGATTCAAATTCCTGAGATTATAACTATAGGAGAAGATATAGAACGAAAATAGAAGAAATTAGAATAAGACATGATTGAGATAATTGAAGACTTTGTGGAAAAGAGAATCAGAGCTTTTGGAATTAATGATAAGTGGTAAGGAGTGATGTGCAAATTTATAACTAATTCAGTATAGGATTTGAAATATCATTAAACAGATAATTAATAAAAGATTGATAATAAGGTTGGTTATATTAGAATAAAAATAATCCCATTCATTAATTATACAGCCACTCGTTATTTAAGAGGAATAACAATAAGAAAGAATATAGCTCATAAACGTATGAAAACTCATCATAAAAAACCTTTATTTTTATTATTGAGTGGATCTTTAGATCTAGATATTTAGAATTTTGAAAATGTAGTAAAGAATTAAAATAAGTATCTTTAATAAGCATTAGAATAAATAGAGATGCTTAAACCAAATATCATTTTAGTAGAGAAGAGTATAAACAATATTTTGTTGAATGAATTAGTTAAAAAAGATATTACAGTTTCAATATAATGTAAAATAACTCAACTCAGAAAGGTTGAATAAGCAGTCTAAGGAAGGATATAGAGAGCAGTTGATGTCTTTACTATGCGCTGTGATAAAGATTGCATTGGAAAATCTGAAACTGCATCTTATGTTTGTTGTGATCCAGAAACTATCAAATCGAATCTTATTCTCTATAATTAATTAGATGATAAAGATAAATCATTACTTGAAGTGCATTTAGAAAAAAAGAAAAATAGAGGTTATACTTTATTATTTATTCACACACCTTAATCTAATAATTCATTTTAAATTACTTTAAGTGGACCTAAGATAAGTGAATTGATCAATGTTAAATATTGTTTTTAATAACTATTTTGCATTTGTTACTAAATGTCTTTAGAATTTGAAATGATTTTACTTGATTAGAAAATTAAATAGGATTTAGAACTTACATATAAATCAAATGATAATGAAATCTCACCTTTGATCACTTGTGGTGAAATTTTTAATTTCTCAGTTTTAATTATGACAGAATATGAAAATCAAATTATTAAACTTTGTAAAGTGAGATACTATCCTGCTGTTGTCAATAAGATTCATGATATTCAAAAAAAAAATAAGTAATAATAATTTTATTATTATTATTAGTGAAGAAAGTTTAGAAAATTATATATAAGAAAATATTAAAAATATTAATAATAAAAAAATTCCTTATTTTTGTTAATTATGTGATTGTTAAAAAGAAATTGTTAGTTTTTATGGGAATTTTGAATAAAATAAAGAAGATATAGGTTAAGAAAAATATACAAAGGATGATGTTAGTTTAGGAAAGTATATTAGTAATAAAGCATCGATTCAAGGTTCAAAAAAAAAATGTGGAAAATGTTAAACTAAAAAGATAAATCACGTATCAATTAGATATGGGCCAGGAGCATTTGTAAGATGTGTAGTTGATAAAAAAAAACAATAAAATTTATAAGTTAAAGCTAGTACTAATTTAAGCAAAGAATTTATGAACGCATCTAGTTTCCTTTATCCTACTCTTAATGATGAGATTTTAACATAAACAGATAATTTGTAAGGAGAAACAGAATCTAGAATTCAATAGTAAATAGATTTAAACATTCTAACTTATATAAAGTGTCTTAATTCTAATTGTGATAAATAATTAACGAAACCTTTTAAATTGGAAAAGTATCATTTAGAATTCTCATTTCATAGACTGATTTAGTATCTTATAAAAAATTCACTTCGACTTAAGAAGATACATAGAAAAGATTGGCTTTTATTTGAAGGAGAAATTAAAGAATAAGGAGATAAATTAGATGGATGCAATCATAGCTAAACTGAAAGAGTGTTTGAATGTGATGAATATTAAATTAAATTCTTTACTAATCTATTTGATATTTATCAAATAAAACATTTTTAATATGATTGTTAAGATGTCAAATAACATATTGAAAAGTGTGATAAAGAAGAATTAGATAAAAGAAAAGATATTTTGATTTGCTATCTATAAAAACTACTCTAGCTTATTTAAAATTATGATAAAAATGTTAGGTATGGTAATATGGCTGTATCAATAACATCCATATAAATCTAACTTAATATATCTGAAAAAAATAATAATATTGTTTAAGAAACTTCTTCAAATTTAATCTCCAATTTCATTGAAAAGTTAAATTAAGCATCATATCCTGATTTTATTGTATTAGAGTAAGATAGTATGTAAGTATACTAACGTTTATATTAAATAGAAATTGCTGAACAAATGAGAATTTAAAAAATTAGAAATGACTTAGATTATTCCAGATCAAAAATATCCATGTTTTCTTTAGTAACTAGTGAAGGCGGACCTTTTATGAAAAATTCAATAAGAAAGGCTTAAAAAGAATTTTCTACATTAATATAAACATAATCAAATAATAATGAAAACTTATATCCAACTCAAAATTAATCCACAATATAATTGACTCAATCTCCTTAATCTTCTCCTAATTAAGGAAATCTAAATTAATATGAAGAATAATAATAAGAATTAGGAAATGAAAAAACATTTGAAAACGATTAAAATTTTTTTAATTATTTAATTGAAAAATGGCCTAGATTAGCCATGAATTATGATTAAACTAATATGTAAATTAAATCATTTTATGATTACATTCCAATTTATAGTCAAAATGATATAGGTTTAATTACAGCTGCTTTAAATCATCCAAAATATTATGATTTATATGAAAATAAATATAAATTTGTAGAATTCTCAGATAAAATTGAAAATACTTTATTTTAAAAAGAAATTGAATTAGAAGCTGAAAGAATTTTAAAAGAATAATCTAAATTAGCAGTCACAGAAGAATTTCAAATTAAATTATCTAAAATAAATTCATCCTATAAGAAAATGAGTTCAAATAATTTATAAGAAGTTGAAGAAGACGAACAAACTATAAGTTAAACATTAGGAGAGTCTCCCAGGAAACCATCTAAATGTGCTACTGTCTAATTATATTATCCAAAATAATTTGAATGTATTAGAATTTTAAATAGAATTAAAATCAAATAATTTATTAAATCTATTACAAGTTGTGCTAATTGGAATTCAGCAGGAGGTAAAAGTGGATCAACTTTTTTTAAATCATCTGATAATCTATTTATTTTCAAAGCTGTTAAAGAATCAGAATTTAATATGTTTGAATCATTTGCTCCAAAATATTTTGAGTATCTTTATTCTAATATATTTGCTTAAAAACCTTCTGTATTGAATAAAATTTATGGGATGTTTACAATAAAAAATTCTTTAGGAACTACTTATTATATTGCAATGGAAAATTTATTTTGGGGCTTAGAAGGTGAATTGATTGTTTATGATCTTAAAGGTAGTAAAGCTAAAAGATGGAATCGTAAAAATCTTAAAACACTCCTTGATACCAATTATATTATAGATCGCAATGGTGAGCCTCTACCTATCTAAGAGTAAGATTATTATTTCTTAGAAAAGGCACTCGAATCTGATTCTTAATTTTTACTTGATGTTGCTGTTGTAGATTATTCTTTATTGTTAATTATAGATAAATAAAATCAATAGATTAAACTCTCAATTATTGATTATTTATAATGCTATGATTTAAAAAAAAAAATGGAAACCACGTAAAAATTTTTCATTTTAATTTAGATTAAAAACTGCAATTAATCTAGGAACTGAGCCAACTATTATAAATCCAAAAGAATATCAAGAACGATTCATGAAAGCAATGAAAGAATACTTTATGGGGATATACTCATCACTATGATTTATTATTACATAATTAAATCCAAATATGACTAATAATCATTAAGTTATAATTATTTTAATAATTTAATATATTATAAAAAAATATCTAAATTAAAACAAAATGAATTTTATGTTTTATTTTTTTGTAATGTAATTGGTTTTAATTTAGTCTTTTGATACTCTACTTCACTAATTGATCTTATATTTTTCGAATTTAAATATAATAAATTAAACAAAAAAATTAAAATTTAATAAAACTAATTTTTTCAATTTTATTAAAAGTTTAAATTTTATCCCCTATCAATTGATTAAAAAATCTAAACGAAATATTTCCAAAAGATTAGAAATTAATTGAGTATTTGCTCAAAGAGTTCTAAATAGTGCTTCTAACTCTTATGTAAAGGACTTTAAATTAAAAATAATTAAGGATAATATTTTATCTTTTGACTTAAGGATTGGAATCTAAAGACAATCAGAATTAGAGTCCAGAAAAGAAAAAAATCTAAAATAAAGATTATATTTCTTAAAATTCATTAATTACTGCTCTATTAAATAAGTTTAATTAAATTTAAAAAAATGATTGTTATAATTTTATGATTTACAAATTTTTTTAATATTATTTAAGTCTAAATCATATGTTGGATTCAAGCATGTATAAAATCATATATTAGTAGAATTATTCCCATAAAAAAGAAGAATGATCCGATTTGTGAGCCAAAATTTTCATTTAAAATAACTGAATTAAAAAGATGGTTATTAGCTGTTTCAATTTGTTTAAAACTCTCTGTGGCATTTATCAATATTTCTTCAGTTTTCATCTCTTAATGAGAAATTAAATTTTGCATATTCTATATAAATAAGCAAATGTCACTTATTTATTCTTTGATGATAATTATATCATTAATATCACTCTGATATTTCTATTGAGCTTATAGATTCTAAGGTGAAGTGTTCTATTGAGTTTATAAATTTTAATATGAAGAATTCTATTGAGTTTATAGATTCTAATATGAAGAGTAATCAGATTTTTTTTAACTATTTTATAGAGGTAAGATATTTTAAGTTTTAAATTCAATCATATACTTTTTATCAATTTATGATTTTGACCTTTTTGGAAATTACAATAATTTAGGTTTTTATTTTTATCTATAATATTTAAATTTTCTAGAAAGTAATATAATTTTATTTAATTTAGATATTAGACAACTGATTATTAATTCTTTATGAGCATATTCACTAAATAACTATTGTTATTTACGTTTTAGTTTTAGAATTGTATTGCATTTATTAAAGTTCTTTAATTTTTAAGGAGCAATTTGTAATTTAAATAGAAACTTGTTGATCAAATTCATCTCTTTCTTTATCTGAAAAAGGATGGCCTGATAAATGAGTTATAGCAGTATATTTATCTTTCTAAATATTCATAAATTAAAGTATGGTTGTTGTCATATTATGCTTATGTAATGTAAATAATAATTTACAATATGATATGAAGATCTATTAAAAGTATCAATTGGTCTTTCAATGTTAGTTTTAATGTTTATTTTAGCAGTATTAATACTCAAAAACTTTTAAGTGATATCCATGCAATTTTTTGAACTGTAATAATTCGAATTCAAAAGAAAATAATGTTTATAAAAAATAATAACTGTAAATTGTATTTAAGTTATAAAAATCAAACTTACTTTTAAGTAATCTATCTCCTATGAGTTTATAGAAAAATAATACTTAAAATATTTTTAAGGTTTATTGATAGGTTTTGGTAAGTATAACACTTATTTTTACTATTATTTAGCTAATTCTGCCTTTTTTCTTAATTCTTTTCCTCTACAGATAGCTGTATAGAGAAAAGTATAAAGGGAGAAAATTGGAAAATGTTCAATTTGTTTTTGATATCTTTCAACTAGTTTCAAAACAGCAGAAATATTATGCTAAGGAAAGTATTTTCTAAAAGTCATAATCTTATCAAAATCACCAAGAGATGGAAATGTAATGATAGGCTTATATATAAATAAAGTATTACAAATTAAATGATTAAATTTTAATTTTCTTAGAGTGCTGCTAAAACATTATCAAAAATAACAGCTGTATTATTTGTTCTAGTAGTAGCTCTTTTAATTGAAGTTCTTGCTCTAACATTAGGTTAAGTACCATTTGTTGGTTATTGGGTAGAAGATTGATTAATAAAGGTAACTTTCTATGCCATTTATTAGATATTTCTTGTTTGATTTACTGAATTTTATGGGCTTTATGAATCTTTAGAAAGGGATTTACCCATTTATTATTATGGTTAGCCACTAGACTCTTCTTGGTATTCATCATCATCCTCTGATTCAATAGAATTTTCACTTTCTTAATCAATATTTGAAGATTTGTTAAATTTATTACCAAAACCTGCAGTTTCTACAGTATGTTTAGGATCATTTTTTCTATTAAATTCTTTTCTATTATTCATTTATTCATCAAAATTAGGATAGGCTTCTTAAGCTTCTTAGACTTCTTAATCTTCTATCATTTCAACCTCATCTTCATCAACTTATGGTAGATGGTTTCCTTATTGAGTTATCATTTATTAAGGCATATGAGGTTAACTAATTTTATAATTAGATGATTATTATTGCATAGATAGAATTGAGTGAGTATTAACTCTAGAAACAGATCTAGTTCTCATCTATGAATATGCTAAACTTAATCACATATAATACTTCGACTGTCTGTATCCGATGGATCATCTTATAAAAGGACATGTGTTGCTTATGTACCTTCTTAAGTTTCTTCTTGGATCATTTGCATTTAGTATTCCTTAGCTATTTATTCAATTATTTATTATTGTAATAAAGCATTAATAAATTTCGATTTTCTCGGCCTTAAGCTTATAAATTAATATTTACTAATAAGGATCATCTCTTTCTTATTAATGGGGATAAAGAGATTATTTAATGACTCTATCTTAATTTGGATTAAAATGTAAAATTGGACAAAAATTAACCATATGAGAATTGGATTTACAACCATAACATTTAATTTGCAAATCCGATAAATCTTGATTAATTATCACTTTATCTTTAATCATGTAAAAGATTTCCCTTTCATCTGGAAACTGATCTAAAAGATTCACAAAATTATCTCTAGATATCTTAAACAATTTTCCAAAACCTTTAGAAACAATTGTGGCAGTTCTAGGTTGATTTGTAATGAAACTATAAAAGCCAAAATATTCTCCTTTCTCTAAATCAAAAAATCTATAAATACTTCTAAAATTTTAATATTGTTTCTCTTTAATTTAACATTCATCTTATTTTTTGCTTCAAAAACAACTTCCATTTCTCCCTTATTAATAATATAGATTGAACAATCATCAATATTATTCATCTCAACTATCCTCTCTTCTGGTATAGTATTTATTTCTTCCATAAATGGAACTAAAGCTTATTAAAATTTCAATGAAAAGTTCTTTTTAATAAAATCACATGATTCTAAAATAGATGCTCTCAATTAATATTTTAGTTCTGCTTATAATCTTTCTGATAATTTATTTACAATGTTTGACACATTTTCATCAATCATTGATTATTCTGCCTAACTTAACTTTAAATTAAATTACTTTGCAAATATAATCTAAATAATTCCTAATTCTAACTTACAAATTGAAATCAATTTTATTCATTGACATAAAATTATTCATTAATTTCATTGATTCTGAATAAATTTAGTTTCTTTAAGATTTATGAAAAAAGAAACCCAAAGACACTACAATAATACCCATTATAAATAAAGATAAAAATGAAATTACTACAGCAAAATATTTCTCATCAGTGTTTGCTATTTTAATCTCTGTTGAACCTACATTTGTAAGATAAATAGCAGCCCAATGTAATGATTCTGCATATCTTAGACTATCATTTGCACCCCTTAATTTATTTATATCTAACCAAGTATATTTATTTGTTGGTTATCCTAATCCATGCCAAACACAAGCTGTTAAATGTATAAAATATAACAATCCACATATTATTTGGGTCATTTATAAACAATCTTTTAATGCACCCTTAATATTAAAGTATTCTTAAATCTAATTAAAAATTTATTTCATCTTAATGGTTTTTATCAAACCAAAAATTAGGCACAATATTATTTATAATGATATAAACTAGTTTTCATAATAATGCACTATTATTAATTCATAAAGTAATGCACAAATACTTATCATATCCCCTAAAGCTGTGGTTTTCAAATAATTCATAATTATATGATATCTCTAACTTAAATATTTTATTTATTATTACTTTATAATAATACCCTTATGTATGTATGCTTCATTCAAACAAATAATTATATCAAATGCACATATAGTAAATAATGATATTTCTATATGCATATTTTTATCAACATCATAAAATTATGAAATATAATTTGTTTCAAATGCTAATTTATATGGTAACCAAAAGAATATTAAAATGAAAGTTGACACTTAAACAGTATTCCAAAATATTTTAAAATTGCTTTAAGGGTAAATTACAGAAATTTTATCTAAATAACTAGAGAAGAAGCTGTAAAATACATTATCAATATCATCTATTTATTTATCAGTTCCGAATTAAAGATCATCAAGTACCTAAACTTGATAAGTACTTAATGACCCTATTTTTTTTATATATGAGTTCTCTATAATATTTTTTACAAACGATTCTTCATATAGCTTTTACAAACTTTATTTGAAGACACGTTTCTCTTTTTGAAAATTATCATCATCTAAAATTCTGCTATGCCTTCTGTGCTTTTTTTTTTGTTTTGTCCCCCCCCCAATTTTTCTTAAATCATTTGCACTATTTCGATCACTATTATTATCACTTTTTTAATTAGAATTTTATTTTTACAAAATATTCTCCATGTAATCTTATCTAGGGCTATTATATTTTGAGGAAGAAATATATGATGATTTCTCGTAAATCATAGAGGGCTATTTCAAAAACTAATAATTCATTTATTATAATTTATAATATTAATCAATTTACTTAATTATGTAGTTTGAAATCTTTCATCATTTATTTTTTTTAGTTAAGTAACTTTCAAAATTTTCATTTATTGGTGTTTTAAAATTTCACTAAAAAAATTATTTTGTACTTCTATTTTAACAATCTATTGTTAATCATTACTTCCTTCAATTATATCTATTTATTCAATTTTTATATGATTATTAACCTTAATTTGAATCTCATATCTGCAGTTGAGAAGTTACAATTTACTGAAATAGTCTTAATATTGTTATAACTCAAATATAAATCCTGAACATTTTGTTATTTTTAAAGTAATTTCAGAATTAAATTAAATTGCATTAATAATTTAAACTCTCTAACCAATAGATACCATTTCATATTAAATCGGATCATTAATATAAACTAATATATCTTTGAATTCTGTTATTTTAGAATTTTATTTATCAAAATAGTTTAAACTATCCATAACTGTAATCCAAAAACACAAATTTGAATTTCTTAGCTATTGCATCTCTTCTTCATTTTCGGTTTCGGAAACGAATAATATAGCTTTTCGTTAACTTTTTTGATTTACTTTTATTAGATAAGATTTTGACACAATAAAAACATCAATGCATGGAATGATTCCATTTCTTAAACTTATAAGTGATCTAAGAAAGTATTTTTCCTATTATTATCCAAGTTTGGAATTTATTTAAGCTTTTTTAATTGAATTAATTTTAGTAGTAACCAACAATTAGTTAAATGGATATTATGAAATTATTTTAACCTAAATGATACTATAACTATACATTGGTAGTATTAAATATAATAGGATATTCTTTTAAATTAGTTAAATGTAATTTTTGCCCAATTTTAATCTTATTGTATATCTATTCATAAATTTGTTCACAAACAAAAAATATTGAATACCATCCATCTGATAACTCTAAAATCTTTCTTTCTTAGCTTCTTTCTATAGCCACAACTAATAAAATCATATGTTGATTTAATGTTTCATCATTCGTCCATATTTATTAAATTATTGTTCTGCTTTATAATTTGTATTATATAAAATAACGATATTCTAATTCTAAAATTAGCTTTTAATCAGTATAATTATTTTTTGATTACAATTTCCAAAAAATTAGTTTTACTTGTTGTTAAAGCCAATTTCTTTCAACATCATATTACGTAAAATATTCTTTAATTAGTTTCCAGTCAAAATTCTTAGGAATTTAAGATGACCTACAAAATGAACTAAATTTCAATACTGAATTCTTCATAAATTATTTTGATAATTCATAAAACTTTTATCCTACTAAACATTTTGATAATTTGCTAATTTTAGACAATAATATAGCATTCATTTAAAGAATCTCAATATTATTATTTGATTCTTTTTTTTTTATTGATGTTATAATTTCTTTTTATATCTCATCTCCCATGATTACTGTCTAAAATGAGATTTTCTTTTCTGATAATGAATCTCTTGGATTTTTACTCAAGAATTTAAATTCTTATTCAGCAAATTTACTAGGATGATAAAGTTAATTGTTATTATTGATAGCTTCTTTTGAAAGTGAATTTAATAAATTTTAATCATTTTTTGTTGGTTTGCTTTCTGATTAAAAGATTTCTTCTTCTTCTGAAAATTCTTCGAATTATATAACAATCTTATTATATTTTTCATTATCAATCAACTATATTTTTTAATTTTTTCCAGTTTAAAACCCACTAATCATTTAGTGAATAATTTATATTTTAATAAAATAAATAAAATTCAAATCACTATTATTATTATAATTGTTATTAAGAATTCTATTTTAAAACCTAAAATTAAGATAAATTGCTAATATCAATTTTAACAATTTATCTTTTCTCTATACCATCATCTTCAAAGACTAAATGATGTTCTAATTCGATTGGTTGAATTTTATGTTCTTTTTTAAATTTTATTTTGATAGGAATTGTAAAAACATCCCATCCCCATCTAGTTAATAAAAAGGGAGGTTATCTAACTGTAATTACATCAGGAAAGAATGTTTCATCCAATGTGAAAGTAACATTCTTAATTAAACTATTTAAATCCAAATTGTTTAATGCAATTTTATCTGATTGCTTTGTATAATCCAAACTAACATGTACAGTCCATTAATGTTGTAAACCATCATCTTCATCATCCTCAAATTTATAGTAATTTCCATAATTAACTTCAATTTTTAATTCATTAGGAAGTAATGACCTAATTATCTTTTATTCCTCAACTCTTTATTAGTATTAGTTAGGAAAGTTATTCTATACAAAAGCTTATAATTCTAGATCAATAATCAAAGGATTTTCTTTGTTGATAAATTCAACTCTGCACATTGGACATTTATATTTGATATTGTGGAAGTCAATTAAATCCAATAGACAAGATTGACAAAATACATGTTAGCATTTTAGTCTACAAGGATCTATAAAAATTCCAAGACATATTGAACATAAGTAATCTTCCTTTGAAATCATTCACCAATTAATTATTTCTTTAATAAATTTATAATAACTTTAATAAAAGAGTTTCTGATTAATTCAAATTTTTATTCTTTCTCAAATAATAATTTCTTGATTTTGTTAAATACACCATAAATCAGAAATACTGATAACATTATAGATATTTTATTGGTGAAAATTGCAAATAACAGTAAAATTCAATCTTTATTTCTTTCTAAAGCGATAATCTATATAAAACTTTAAGGAAATCTACTTCTAATCTTTTTTGCAATTTTATTATGAAAAATAATACCGTATTTTTTTTAATTTTATTTGTTATATAGTTGAGAATGCTTTATAACAAATTATTTTTAAGTTATCGTTTTAGAAAATAGAATCTTTAATTTAAAATTTTGATAATAACAGCTTCTATATATTTATTATCTATAAGTTTAAAATTGTGAAAATAAACTACTTGCTTTTTAAAGATAATGTGATAAAAGTTATATATAATTATTGAAATTCTTAATCGGCACTTTTCCCATATTTTTGTTTAGTTATATTCTTCTTGATCTTAAAAAAGGATGAATTCTTAGATATTAAAAAATTTTAAGAAATATTATTTAATTTTTAGCAGAAGATTTAAGGTTTGGAAGAGTGAATTAAATAAAACTTGAAATTTATAAAATGAATAAATATAATTTGAAAAGAGCGATATTTAAAATAATACTTTTAATCTTATGATCTTTTTTAAGTCATATAAATCGAATAAATAGTAAAAATCTATTTTTTAGAACAATTTGATTTAATTCTAATCTAGCTTATTTATTTTATTTGATATGACTTAATAATAATATACTGAAAGTTCAAGGGAAATAATGAATAATTTAAAATATGTAAATTTAATCACACTATTCATAGCTGATTGATGAGCTCAAAATGCATGAGTCAAGCAGTTTATTTAGATTGATGTAGGAAACACTTTTTGAAAAATTATGTTAGTAAGAACTAATAAAGGAAATAGTGTAAATTTATCAACATAAGAGTAAAGAATTTGAGCTAAAGGAAATATAGATATATGATAATGGTCTTGTAATAGAGAGTTTATATATTGAATTGAGTAAATGTTATCATGAAATCAAATTTACAAAAACTAAGCATTGTGATGGTCTATACGTAATCATCTTACAAAATAATTATGGTAAAGATTTTATAATGACAAACAATGAATAACAGATGAAAAGAATTCAAGTTCTGTTTAAGAAATTTTGTATAAACAAAAATTTTTTTGGAAAATATCAATTATTACAAAAAAATTGCTTGCCCATATCTTAAGCTATCAAAGTATAATTAAATTAATATGATAGAATAATAGCGAGGAGCATTTTACATAAGTTTATGAAAAAAAACTATTAAAAGATCCCAAGGAATTCCAAATATTCCATAATTCCATTACTATAATGCATGCCTTAAAAACTAAACCCTCCTGTCCTAAACTATATGAAGACAATTATAAATACTATATTCTTGGAGAAAAGATGAAACTCTAATCATTAGAAACCTTACTACTGAATGGATTTGATTTTCGAGAAATCCCTTTCGTATCAATTATATACATGATCTTACAAAATTTACAGAAGTATTAACAAAGAAATATTTATCATGGAAATATTAATCTTTCATCTGTTTTCATTAACATTGAGAATGAAACCTTAGAAATAGTTATTCTCTTTCCTAGATATGTAGAGAATAGTAATTATACCATTGAAAATGATCTTTATAATTTGGGAATATTAATATATCAAATTACCTTTTATACTGAGACTAACAGAATTAAATAATATGTTGATTTAGATTTAATAAATAGAATTCACAATTAGATGGCAGATTAAAATTATAAACAAAACTAATATCAGTTTTTATATAGATTTAGTCAATTAGATCTCTTGAAATAACTTTTATCCCCAAATATCACTGTAAAAAGAGCTATAAAACATCAATGGTTTGTTACTATTCAGTAGAATATCAAACATTAATAAATTCATAAATAATTAAATCCAATTTTTTTGCCAACCATTGTTGAGATTAGTGATTCTTTAATTATATCTTCTTCTCTTAATGATGGAAGAATTACAAATATAAATAATCAATAATTATTGTAAGATTAAGGTATTTAATTAATTTAAAAATTTATAGATCCAGAAGAGTATTAACCTATCTAATGTTAAATTGTTAATACTATAACAATGATTCCTTCAAAAAGAAAACATGATGAAGCCAGCTAGTATCTCATAAAATCTAAAACAGTACCTAATTAACAAGTAAAAAGAGCTTCTCTGCCTGAAATTATAAAATAAACAACCATAAAATGATTATATATCTAATGAGAACATAATGACTAAATCAAGAGAGTTTTATCAAAAACTTAATTATAATATTACTATTTATTTTTATTAAAATTTAATGCAGAACTAACTAAGATCTTTAAGAAGATGCAAGTCAATGAAAAACGTTAATCATGAATCTATGATTGATTCAATCAATAGTCCTAGAGATTAAGATATGTCTTTATTCAATTTCATTGAAATAAAAAGGTTTTGCGATTTATTGTAAATATAAAGATAAAAGGATAAAGCATTGAAATAATAATAAAAACGTGAACATCTTAGAAATCTGTTAGCAAAGAAATTTAGATTGATTTACAATGTGATAAGGTTATTGCATCATCATGATAGAGTAATACTTGAAAGGCATGACGAAGGACTCAAAAAGAAATCTGTTTTTCTTATTTTCCCAGTAAACTCTCAATTTAACTAGGGTGATACATCCAGAAGATTTTGGGATATTATTTTATTGATCACTTATATCTAAACTGCTATTTATTTACCTTTAAGAATAGCATTCTTAGATAAAGAATCAAATGGAGTTTATGAACTAGATCTTCTAAACGATATTATCTATTGTATTGAGTATCTATCAATTTATATAGTTGCAGATATAATTTGTATCTTGAGGTCTTGCTACTATAATAGATAAAACGTTTTAGTTCAAAATTAATGGTTTATATTTTTAAATTACTTGAAGGGCTGGTTGATTCCAGACATCATTACTCTTATTCCATTTGATTCAATTTATCAGTAATTAGATGTAAAAAATTTTTAGTTTTTAAATTTAATATCATAAATTTCCAAGATTTATAAGAGTATTTCGCATTAATCGAATTTTCAAAGTCTCAACATTTCATTAAAACCAATAGTAATTATTTTATGTTAATAGTTTTTGTCATTAGTAATTGGGAAAATTTTTTTAATATATTCAACTCTTACTAATTAAATATTTTAAAAATAATAGTAAAATTTATATATGGATTACATCTATTCTCTTGTCTTTGGTATCTAGCTTCAAATATAAATAATGAAAAATATTTAGAAGATTAAGATTATTAAGGCCTTATAAACTAAAATTCAGAATACATCCAATCTTTATTTTGGGCTTTATAAACCTTTTCTACTATAGGTTATGGAAATGATGCAGCTAAAAATTATGCATAATATATAGTTGCTATATTATGGATGTTTTTGGGTGCCTCATTTTATTGTGTTATATTGTTAAATCTATCAGAATGGTTAAAGAAATTGAATTCTGAATCTGTTTATGTGGAAATGCAAAATACTTTGAAATTGTTTTTCAAAAAGATTGAAGTCATTAAAGAAGTTCAAACAAAAGTTTAATTATATTTATCATTAAACATAAAATAAAACTAAGCTTGGTCATTAAGTTTGTAAGAATGGTTCTAAAATTTACCAATAATTAGATAAAAAGAAATAACTCTTTATGTCTCTTATATTGAAATGATGTAAATTCATTTTTTTCGACTCAATCTCAATTTTTCTGTATCTATTTTACCAAAGATGATGCTTATGAAAACTTAATAAAATTGTAAAATTTGGATTAAAGATGAAGTAGTTAATGAAATATATTTTCTAATTAGAGGTAAATTATAATATAGAACTCAATTTGGAAAAATACTTTTATAATTAGATGAAGGATCAATATTTGGTGAATAGGAATATTTTAAAAAACTTCAATTTTCAAAATAACATTCCAGAAAAAATTATGCTGTTGCTGTTGAATTGTGTGAATATATTATTTTAAATGGAGAATATTTTTTTTAATAAATGAGTGCTTTCCCAGCTTTACGTTAATATTTAGCTATTGTTGCTTATAATAGAGAACAAAGAATGAAAGCTCAAATAATTTATAATAGATTTGAAAGAGAAAGAGAAATTATGAATACTTTAAAACTTGAAAAAATTAAAGAAACATGTAATATAGATGTAACAAGATACAAAGGTATGATTAAACCACTAAAATCTATTATTTATGATACATAACATTCAAGAACACAATAAGTGTTAGAACAATTAATTCATAATAGAAAAAACAAAATCGATAAACTTATTTAACAATTTAAAAAAGTTGTTTAAATGATAATTTTTGCCAATAAATTAATTGAAAAATAATCATTCAATATTAGTAAAGTTCATCCTTAAATGATTTTTCAATCTTAACAAACCTCAACAACTTTAAAAACATTATCTAATGAATCAAGGATAATAGTTTCTAAACCTTCATAATTGCTTCAAAAAAATTACTAAAATCAAAGTTATAAAAAAATTGAAAAAAGTATTATAATTAAAATGAAATAACTTAGTAATGCAAGTTACAGAAAACGCAAATAATAAATTAGTAATAAGATTTGGATTCATAATTAAAATAAAAAATATGTCTTATAACAAATGTTTAGAGTTAAATATTCAAGAAATTAAATAGAAAACATGTACAGTTTTCAAGATTATGTTATAGAAGTTGATGATTTTTCACATTATGAGAGATAGTTGAAACTTTTCAGAAATAATTTTTAAGATATTAAGAACATGAAAAAATAAATTAAATAATATAAAGAGTTATTGAAAATGTAAATAATGGAGTTAGAAAATGAACTACTTAATGTATGTACTTAAATTGAAAAACTAAAATTAAAAGTGTGATATTTAAATTTATAATTCTCGATTCTATAAGAGTAATATAATAAAAATATTCTCTGAAAAAAAATTCTAATTTTCATATTAAATTAAATTTAATGAAACAAAATCACTAAAATATATTATCATTTTAGAAAAAAATAACTCTATTGCAATATTAAAAAATTAAAAATGACTATTTAAAAAAAGCATGCAGACAATTTATGTTTATTCATTCTTGAATTTTTTCTTCTGCATTTAATTAATCATGTCTTTATTCATTATTTTGATCAAAATCTATTGTTTAAATTTCTTGATTATTTTATTGAATTGAATTTTAGTTGAGAAGTTAAATTTCTTGTTAATTTTTTTAATCAATAGTCTTTCTTTGAGAATCTGATTGAATATTTTGAGCATCATCATTATTGACTGTCTATTAATTTATTAATTTTTATTATTAGTTTTCAGTTTCCTCAGGCTGTTTTTATTTAGATTCAATATTTTCCTGTTAAATTCCTTTAGATTATTTTTAGAGAGTTGCTTATTAATTCATTTATTGTTTAAAATGATTTGGGTTTTCAATTAATTCATTAACGATTTTTGCTGCCTTATCTTAATATGGTTCATATGGTTAGAAATCAGATTCAAATAAACTTCTATTGAATTATGATTGATTTAGTTACCTCTATTAAAAATCTTCATGAAATAATAGTTATCTAGATTATGTATTATTTTATCTTGTTCTTTATCTTATTAAATATTTAATATTATATACTTTGTCTATTGACTTTTGCTTTTAGTTAAAGGATATAATTTCTTATTGTTAATATTTTCTCTTTCTAAGATATTATATTTTTCAAACAATACTCTATATTTATGACTCATTTATTTTTGAGTTTGTCCAATATTGAACTAGAGTTTTAGTAGGTTTAAAATCCTTATATGGATATTCTGAGATATTGGCTATGTGTTTTTCTACCCATTTTCTTTCTTAATTCCAATCTTTAACGTTGTATTAAGACTTTTAATCTTGTATTCTTTTCAATAGTTATTAATTTTCCAAAACAATTTTAACCAATTATTTTTTCCTATGATCTTTGTTTAAAGACTTTTTGGGAACTTCATTCAAAGTATTTGATTTTTTAATTGGAAGAGTACAAATAGAGTTATCTGAAAATTGAAAATAAAATATTACTTGTTGATTATTACATAATATTTGTTAATTTTGAGATGAGATTTTAATTTTCTCTATCTATTTCTTATTGCTTTTATTGTTTTATAGCTTCTTTAATTTTTTTACTTTTTAGAAAATCATATTATTTTGGTGCAGTTGTATTGATCTATGGTCTCATTGTTAAAAGATGTTGATTCAGTATTAATTAATTCTAAAATATTTCTTTAGTGGCACAGATTTTATTTCCTGTAGGTATATTTCGATTCATCTTATAATATTTTAATTTATTTTATGGAAATTGAAAATTCTACAAATAAACTTTTTCCATTTCTTGAAATCTATTATAACGATAAAAATGACAATATCTTAAGTTACTAATTTAATTTCTTATTATTTGAACTTGAATTGTGATTTAAGTTCTCATAATTATGTCTTAATGAAGAAAAGATATGACAAATTTAATTTGAATGTCTCAATTTAAATAGTGAAATATTATAAGAAGTTAATTTTAATAAAAGTATTATATATTTTTTATCCTGAAGTACCTTCACTGTAAAATAAAAAAAATATTAAATTGTATTTTTTTAATTGAATTGAAAATCAGAGAGATATTTTTTTTCACGTAGATTAAAAATGTTTAGATTTTAAAATATGATATTGAGTTACCCTTATAACGCTTAATTTAAAATAAATATATTTGTTTTAAAATGATAAAGAAATTTTCTTTAAACTTTATCTCATCTGAACTCGAAAGCTCATTTAAAAAATGGATGATTGAACAAAATCAATTCATATATTAGACTACTCTTGCCACAATCACAATTTATCTTATAATCAATCTAATCACTAACAATAACGACCTCATTTTCATTATTACAACCTCAATCTGTCTTTGCCTTGAATTAACAATACTATTTTTCTATCAGAAATATCCTTTTTAAAGGGAATAAATTCAAAGCTTGAACCTCATTATTTTTAGTATAGCTTTGGATATTTATTTGATCTAAAACCAAGCCATAGAAATTGGGATCATGAAACATTGTATGTAATAAATTATTATAGAAAAGTATTATATCTATAGGGAAATCGATTTAGATGCCAAACCTTAATTTTTCTTCTTAATTTTGGAGTTGAGGTTTCGATATCTAAATGGGATGTATTTAGTCAAATAAAATATGGTTTATTTAGATTATTTATTATTTTCTTTCGTTATTAGCTTGAGATGAAAAGAAGATAACATTATCTGGCACATAGATCTTAATTATAATATGAAAATTTAATTGAAGAACAATTACCAACTTGGATAGTCATGATTAAATATGATAAATAGTAAGGCTAATTAAAGATTGAAAAAATAAATAGAATTATGAAAGAAACCTTCAATTTCTTAAATGATCAAAAATTTAGAGAGTTTCTAAGAGATTCAAATATACAACCACTTGAAGGATCTACTAAGAAACATTTCAATTTTGAAGATGTCTTATCAAAAGAGCTGTTATTTAAATCATAAACTAATCAAATTACAAAGTATGTCGGTCAATTTATAAACAATGAAAAAAAATGGTAATTTTAAATAACCAAAATCTACTTAAATTCAATAGAACCAACAATATTATTATTGTTTATAGAATAAGGAGGAAATTTATATGAATTTTACAATCATCAATTGAAATGGAGAGATGAATAATTAGTTAATCATAGCAAGCAATGTTTAAATTATATCAAGGATTAAATAAACATTCTAAAATTTCTCAAATAATAAGTAAATGTTTAGTAAATATATTAAATAACAAATTCTATCAGTAATAGTTATATTCTTTTTAATTAAAGCTTGAATATATACAATATAACATAGATCACTTATAGTAAGTTAAAATATAAAATCAATGAATTTAAATTAATTGATTTAATTAACTAATTAAAGGAAGATCTAAAATTTACTAATAATTAATTAAAAATGAATATAATCTTGAAAACAGATCGTTCAAAAATGATATCCATCATTTTGAGTATATCTGAATTTATAAAGATTATGTTGGCCATTATATCAAATGATGAAAAGATACTATATGAATGTCATCCTTAAGGATTTCCAATCTAAATTAATTTCAAAAGGATGAAATATCAAAAAGGATGTTTAAAAATAACAATGAAACATTAAAATCTAAAGATTCCGCACTAAATAAAAGAAGCATTGCTAAAAACATCATCATATACTGATCATAAAAAAAGGAATTGGGGAGTAAATCACTATTATGAAAACATCTAAAATTTAAGTGATTAAATATAAAATTTTAATATAAAAGCTTAGAAAGCTACAAAAAGTCAAATATCTTTATTAGATATAGATTCAACATCATAATAGAAGACTAAAGAAATGAGTTTGAGAGGAAGTACAGAGCCATTTAGCACTTTAGGCTTACCTTTAGCATAATATTTAGTTTGTCAATTAGGACCAAATAATCTAATTAATTTTAAAGATACTAAATCATAAAATATGGGAGATTCCTTGTCATTTCGAAATTTTAGTCCATACACAAAGATAAGTTTTTTGATCTATGAAGATTTGAATGAATTTATATATCAATTGAATGAGCAAGATCCAGATCCTTATTTAGAAGGCTGTATTTCAAATGAAATATAGTAATCTACATTTAAAACATTCTAAAGTCTATCTCCAACCCATAAGCAAAAAAGAAAAAGTCAATAATCATTAATCAATACTTAATTAAATTGAATAAATGATATTAATTAATAATGCTATTTATAAGATTTTAATTATTTTTCTAGTTTATTTTTTTCTATTTCATTATAAATATCAATTTTATGCATTTAGAAATTAAAGAGGTTGATAGTTGAGGAGTCGAAAATAAGGATAATTCTGGTATGATGAAGGAATGATTCGAATAAGAATCAGAAATTAATTGATGTTATATTTGGATTAAATAATTTTAATGAAATAAGTTAAAAGAAACCTAAAAGTTTTTGTATAGAAATGAAGGAATGACAGAAAAATGCTTGATATCTGAAAGGGAAAGCAAGATGTAAAGGAGATAAATTTAAAAGTTCCAGAAAATGATTATAACGATTAGTTTGTAAAATATAGAGAATGTTATTAGAGTTTATATGAAATGAGTATTATTATAATGATTGTATTAAATGAATAAAACTAAATCAATAAGGGGCAGCAAATCCTTAAGGTGGTAATCCACTATTGGGATCAGTTCCTTTTGGTCTTCTGAAAAGTAATATATGTGGTTCTGGTCTATGACATTCATAATGAACCCAGCCTCTAGATTATTAGACTCCAAGATTTCTCCATTCCATTTCAGTTAATAATTTTCCTAGAATATTGAATATTTAATACATACCTTTTGTAATTTTTTTAAAAACATGTTTTGGAAGGATGACATGTCTATATTCGTAATAGTCATCTTAATATTTATCAGAATATTCAATATCTTCAGGATAGTGTGGCATAAAATAGTAGTTAGATAAATTAAATTTTAAAATAATAACTGCTTATTTTTGGAATACTATATAATTTAATGTTGGTATTCATCTTCTAATGGCTAATAGGGCTAGAGACATGATAGATGATAGCCCAAAAAATAATGAATAGGCTTAATGAGTTTATGGTGTAGGTAAAGGCTTATCAAAGTTATCTTTAGTAGCTGGAATTGGATATAAATTGGCAGATTCTTCATCATATTCCTATACTAATCTTTCAATATAGCCAGATGATGAATCAGTCTATTATAAAATTAACAATTTCTAATACCAAATTGAATGATCTGTATAATCTAGACATAAACCACAAATCTATGTAATTGTAGACTCCTTCTCTTGGCCAATTACGACGTCCTTTTAATACATCTTCCTCTTCACCTTTTCTAACCATACCAACAAATTCCACAAAGGGCATTTAATAATCTTCTTCCATGTTGGCTATATTTCTATTGAACCCTGTCAATTAATCATCATCCTCATTATGAGGAACATTTTCGTAAGACTTAAATTAATTTAAAAATTGATACAGTTGTACCAATTGGTTCTTATCCCATTTAGATATCACTTATATTATCTTTTGGTACCCAACCTAAATTAACCATAACTTAGGATTTAGTGGTTTATTCTGGATCTTGTTCAGTATCATTAAATTATAATGCTGTTACAAATGGAGCAAACACCAAAAAACCATCTCTACCTTCTCTTTCTCTTCTAACAAAAAATCTTTCATCCTATCATTACATATTTAATATATACTCTGAAATATCCATACAATTTCACTAATTTGAATTCCCAATCTCTAATATTGCGAGCCCAAGGATATCTTGAAGCATTTAAGCCATTTATTGTTATGGGTTTCCATTCAGTAATTTCATTTTCTACCTTCTCATAAAGTTATTTCTGTTAAGCACCTCTCCATTAATGCCAAGCACATCCATAAGCTCCACCAAAGAAGACTCCATATGCCAATAGTTTGATTATCCCATTACTTTGTCTTTAAGCAAAAGAGTTAAATACTTATGTTGAAAGCATAAAAGATTGAAATTTATATATTAAACTAAATGAACAATAATACATGTGATTATCATCCTGAACAAAGAATTACAATTTTGTGTTTATTCAATGGTTGTTAAGAGGATCGTTTGGGTTGTTAGAAATGTCTTCTCTCTTTACATAAAGCACATATAAAAAGTTGTGTGTTGATATCAGAAATCTAAAAGAAATAACATTGTGTGGAATTATTTGCAAATACTCCAAACGAATAATAAATAATAAAGTTTTCTGAGGATGAATTGGTCCACAAAGATAAGCTAATTGCAATTTAAAATCAATTACAATAGTCATTAAAAAGTTGTTTAAATATATATGATAAATTTAGGTTATCTGAAACAAATAAAGTTGAAATTATTGGAGTAAGAATCAAAGTAAAAAAGTATTTAAATGAGACATAATAAAGAAATCTTAAATTCATACTTTAATTCTTATGAATTTGAGAAGTTAAAGGAATAATTAGTGAAATTCAATAGAGGAGAATCAAATGAAGAGTAGGTATGAGGATAATAATCTTAATTAGATAAATGATTTCATATCATAGATAATAAAGGAGAGATAGAACTTATAGAATGTTTGTTAAAATTAATAATGCTAAGGATCGAAATAGGCTGGATTACCTTAAGAGTTTAAGGATATGGTAGTGAGTGAAATTTGTAATTCATTAGAGTCGATAAAGAATTTTATGAGAAAAGATGATTGTAATAATATAATGAATATCTTTGAGCGATCTTTTTTTATAAATCACTGCTTTCTTAAGAAGAGGATGCCAACATTTAGGAGATGATAAAGGGAAAATAGTTTATATTTAATGATTAAGATGAAGTGCAATTGATTTATGGATCATGCACACTGTCTAAAGGAATATATGAATTTTAGATAGCAATAGAGTACATTTAAAGTGAATAATAAAAATAAGAAGAATAATAGGAAGGATTGGCATCAATAGTTAACAATTCACCTTAATTGTATAATCCATACTCTTAACATACTATTGGTGGTCATATCAGTAACTCAGGAATATTTTCATAATAGGAATATCAACATTTACATAGAATTTATATAGGAGTGGTTGAGGATTTGGTTAAGGATTAGATGGCAACATATTCAATAATGTATCAAACACAATAATGTTGTGCTGTTGATATTGTAAGAGGTGCAGCTATTGGATCATTTCATATGAAACAATAATTGGGAGAGAAATTAGAACCAATTCAAACACTATTTCATAAAAATATGAAGAAGGGATTGGTGTTAGCATTTAAAATTAATTTAGATGAAAAGTATTATTCATTAAATAAATCTTAGTAAATTAATATTAACAGATAGTGAAAATAAAACTAGATATGAAGGATAATTATATAATATGACAGGTGACAACATTAAACCTTATATATTAATTTATAAGAGCAATGTTAAAGTAACGATTAATTGAGTTTTAAATTATTTTTTATTTAATTGAACATCTGATATGAATTTTGAAGAAGAAAATAGAAGAAAAGATATTTCAATCTATGATAAATAGTGCAAAGTATGGTATGAGTTCTTGAAGGAATAAACTAATAAAATTAATAACTATTTAAATGATACAAAAAGTGGATTAGATAACTATAAAACAAACTTAGAAGAAAGATTAAAAGAACTTGATGAATAATATGATTCTAATTCAGAAGTATTAGATTCACTTAGAGATTAAATCTCTACTATTGAATATTATTAAGAAGTTTAGGAGGTAAATATTTTATAAATCTTTTCAATTAGCAAGAAATTAATGATTATGAGAATGCTATTAATAATGCTTAAAATGAAAAGGATAAATATTCAAGAGAAACTTTACAAAAAGAAAAAGAGGAATTGATTATTTTAATATGTGAAATGAAACATAGTAAAATAGAAGATTGGCTTAAGACCATCAAAAAGGAGCTTCCAGATGGTGATTTAAAAGATATTTTAAAGATTTGTTATCGTCTCTTTTATGGAGCTAAGACTTTTAATTTAGAAGAATTTATTGAAAATGTTTTGTCAAAGGGAGAAACTAAAACTGAGGTTGAAGCTCCTATTAATTGGATTAAAGTATTTTATTATTCTATCAAAAGGAAAAAGGATTACAATAATAAGGTAACGAAAAGTTGAAATTTAAGTTATGTCCCTTATTAGCTAAATTTGCCATATATAATAGATAAGAACTAAATAAAGAAAGTAGATAAATGCTCAAATTTTTACTTGACTCCCAAGTGTAGAGATAATAATAGGCAGTTGAAATTAAGTTCTTAGTATCTCTTTTATAAAAAGTAATCTTGTTATATTAAATTAGTTTAATAATTGGGATTTAGCTAGTTGTGAAAATGATAAACATGAATAACGTATCAAAGAGTTAGAATAAACTTTAGAAGAAAAACGAAATTCTCCAGAATATCTTCAATAATAAAATCATCTTCATTTCTTATAAAAAGAGGAAGAATTTACAAATGATGTCATTAATAAAATTTCTAATATCAGAGAAGCTTTAGAAGAATTATTATCAAGTTTTTCAAAATATGAAGAATATCAATAATAATAAATTGATGAAATGTAATAAACTGTTGAATTCAATTCAAGAAATGATGAAATAGATCTTATCTATTTAGAAAAAGAATAATAAATTGAAATGAAATGATATCAAATAATATTTTAGATATAAATATAGTAACTCTAATATGTCATCTTCAATCTATAATAATAGATAACAAATTTGAAAGTAATATAATGTTAAAAATATTATAATTAAGATTACAATCAATATAAGATTTTAATTTTATTTTTTTATTGTTGTATTAAATGTATCATCTAAATAAGTAGTTATTTATATATATTTTATAAAATTATATGCTTATCTGATTTAAAACCTTTAATGATAAATAAATTGTGTAATAATTAGAAAAAATGGCAATGAATATCTTTTTATAACATTTCTTCTGATTAATAGATTGAAATTATTTATCAGTAATATGTTTTTAGAATCTTTGATTTTATTATTATAAGCTTCTTTAAGATTTCAATAGCTTAAAAGCAAGAATGTCTATACAATATAAATAAAAAAGATTAATGTCAAGTGATAATGAATAGTATGATATTGATTCTATTTGATAGAGATTTCTATAATATTACCTAGATCACTCTTACTCCAAGGTTGCAAGAAGCATGTAGAAGAGAAGGAATCCATCCTAATGAATTATTTAAGAAGACTAGAGAATAGGTTGTGTAATTAATTAAGCAACGTGATACAGTTGGTACATAACTCACTGAAGACATGGTAACAGAGATTGAAAAACATTTAGAAGATAAAAGAAAAAGAAGGATTAACATTGTCAGATCTTAAAGATAAAAAATATTATAGGAGGATAATAATGTAAGTAGAAATTCAAATCATATCTCTAATTTAAACTTATCTACTATGAGTTTTGCTGATAAACAATAGAAAATGCTAGAAAACATTAAAAGAAGATAATAATTGGAAATTGAAAAAATGGTTGAGTAAGAGTAACTTAAAGAAAGAAAAAGTTAAATTGCTTTACAAAAAATGTTGAAATAATCAGAAAAAGAAAAACAATATCAAGATGAATTATTTAGAAAACGCTAATAAAATGAACAGTTACGATAAAAATAAGAATTGGAAAGAAAAAAGAAAGAGTAAAGAGAAAAAGAATTATAAGATTTAAAAACAAAAGAAAATGATTAAAAAGAATAGAAACGTCGTTAAAAAGAATTTGAAAATATTATGAAATTAAAATGGGAAGCAGAATAAAAAGAAGTAGAAAGAAGGAAAAAATAAGAATAAATGTAGAGAGAAAATGAATAATTTTAAAATGAATAATAAAGATAATTAGAATAAAAAAAGCAATTATTAGAATAAAAAGAGAAAAAGAGAATCTAAATGATGGAGAATAGAACTATTGAAAGAAAAAGTTAAGCTGAAAAAGAAAGAGCAGAATTAGAAAAAAAATTATAAATGGTAAAATAATACAATGAAAATCTCATTGAAAAAAAAAGAAATGAATACAATTAAAAGGAATAACATGTAGAATAAAAAAGAAAAGAATTTGAAGAATATCTAGAAAAAGTTAGATAAGAGAAAGCTAAATAAGCAGAAGAGAAATAAAAGTAAATTAATAAAATAATGGTAATATATTTGTATTTTAATTCATTAGCAAACTAATTAACAAAAAGAAGAAGAAAAAAGATAACTTTATGAACATAAATAGTAGGAATATTAAAAAAAGAAAGAAATTTTGAATGAATAATAAAGATAGCAGATGGAAGAAAAAATGAAAAAATATAGAGATAAAGAATAAAAAATATAAATGATTTTATAAAAAAATGAAATGATGTAAGAATAATAAAAATAAGAACTTTAAAAGAAATTAGATAGAACATAATAAAAATTATAAATGCTTGAATAAAAAAAAGAAGAAGATTAAAAATAAAAGTATATTTATTTCTTAAATTTAGAATAACACTTCAAATAATTAAAGATATTGATAAATTTGATAATTTAACAAGAATGGAACAATTAAGTGAATTAAGAAGAACTAAACTGGAAATGAAACTTTCTAAAGATGATGAAAGAACTGAAATGGTTAGAAGAGAAAGAGAAAATTTAGCAAAATAAGCTGAAATTATTAGGAAAGAAGCAGAAGAAAAAAGATAATAATTTATATAAGAGTTTGAAAAAAAAAAGAAGTTCCAAGTCATAACTTAAGAAGGTTAAAGAGATAAATAGATTTCAGTAAATAATAGATCCCAATCATCTGGAATAAATATAAGATAATAATAATGAAAAACCTTCTTTAAAACAAAATTTTGAATATATTATATTATGATATTATGATTTTTTCTATTTCCACAATAAAAAAGACATCTAAATTTGTATGAATACTTATTTTCAATTTATACTTTGCATTTTATTATATGCTTAATATATTTTTAGAATAATAAAAATATTTTATTTCTCAGTTAATTTTTCTAAATATCTTTTAGCAATAGAAAGTTCTAGATATTAATTCATTTTTTAAATGAATTCAAAAATTTTATTAATTTATTGCTCTAGAATCTTCAATCTTATAATTTAATTATGGTATAATAACTCTATTTATATAATTCAAATTTCTTTTAGTCATTATTGGATCTGCTACTATTTCATTATCTAATTTAGAATTTATGTTCTAGTATTTTAAAGAATTGTCTCCATTTAAGAAATAATAGTTTTTAACATTTGGCATTATTAGAGTTTTGCAATATCATTATTCATTTTAAATTTAGACAATTTTTTTTAAGACTAGACTTCTGTTTCGGTATCTGATTTTCTTATTTTTTTGGATTTTCTAACGATTTATTTTTATTTTTTTTTTGGAGATTCTTCCTCAACATTAAACAATAAAACTGGTTCTTCTTATAAATAACCATCGAAAGTATTATTTTTATCAATTTATATGTTAGAGCTTTAATCAAATTCATAGTCCTGTTCTTAATTAACTTAAATCTGTTCTTGTCCTTCCAAAGCTTGATAATTTAAATTAAAAAATACCTAAATCATTTTGATCTTCAAAACCAAGAGCATAGAAATTCATAAGTTTAAGATATTAGAAATTATAAATATTATTGAGTTTATTTTCATTTAAATCTTTTATATATATTGCAGTATAAGTAATGAATGTATTTGAATTCAATTTAATCAATTAATGGCATATAAATCATTCAATGAGCTTATTATATTGCTGTTTTGAATATTTAAAATTTATATAACATCAACTAATTTTAGTAGCATTTAATAAGAATATAATAATTTAATTAGTCTAACCTGAATTATTAAATTCTTTATTAATGAATAAGATATATTAAATAAAAAGTACTATTGTTTTTATGTATGTAATGTAGAATTAATAATATTAATATTATGATATCAGATGATATATATTGGGTACCTTAAGGAGTCAAAATTAATTGCACAATTGATGATTTAATTAAGCCCGAAATACAAAGTATAACTACGTTCATATTTAATTTTAATCAAATAACATAGAAAGTTGACGAAAAGAAACAGAAAAATATAGAAGATGAAATTTTGGAATTATTAGGGATAACTGAAGAAGATCTCTTATTAGAATCTGCACTTTAAACATATGACCACAAATTGTATATTGAGGAATTGATATAAGAAGCATTACAAGATAAGCAATAATAAATTCAAAATTAAACTTAATAACAATCTAATTCTTTAAATAGTTCATTTAAAACACTTTATGAACGATAATATTTATCTTATGTAGAAAGCACATTTAATTTTGAAGAAGAAATTAATTTTAAGACTCCAGATTTAGCAACATTAAAAATATTATTATAACAATATTGTAATGATAAGGAGGACTTAGAAGATTTAGAATAATATTTTAATAATAATCAATAAGGTAAAATAATTCATAAATTTACATAATTAAGAGGGTAAGCAAAATAGTTGATTTTCAATTATATAGATTTGTAACAAAAAGACAATTAATTCATTGATCTATTATCTAAAAAGTTAAAAGAGCTATCATTAATAAATCCAGTTAAGACAGAACATTTGCTTGATTATTTTAATAAGGATTAATTGAGAAATATTTTAGATAAATAGATTCCAATAGTGAGATTAAAAATATTATAAAATTTACAAAAAGATGATAAATTGATGATTGAATATTTTGAATTAATTTGCTAATTACATCCTGATTAAGTAATGACAGAACTTTAGAAAGGAGGTTATCCTTAAGATGAATGTTTAAAATTATGTAGATTTTATGGTAATTTAAAAGGATTGGCTTATTTATTGGAGAGAAGTGGATCAGTTCTGGAAGCTATTAATTTACAATTTGATGTAATAATAATAATAATTATATGTAGTTATTTATTTAAGGATTAAAATAATAAATGCAAAAGAATTCATAATTATTAGAAGGACAGAAAGATTTATATGCTTATATTTAAGAGAATTTAGAACCTACATTAAATATATGTAGAACAAATACAAAAAGAAACGATGATGAAAGTGATGTAGAATAATTAACAATATAAACAATAGAATAATTGGTTTTAAGTTTTAATTAGATTGACAAAGTTAAGATAAGAGTTTTACAAAATTAGATTTTTACCTGTTTTAAGATGTTTTAATTTACATTTTACAAGATTACTAGAGGAGGTTTTGGAGAAAACAAAAATAAAAAGCTTACTTGAAGTAATGTATAATAAATTTATTTATTGTAGAATTTAAATGAAACAATGAAATATTTTGAGTTTCAAGAATTGAAATCAACATTTTCTTAGCTTCTTTCAGGATAATTATATGAATTAGCAATTTATGGTTAATCAACAATGTTAATAAAGCAAACATGTAATCAAAATTTAGTATAATTGTTTAAAAAACAATAAGAAGGAATATCAGTAGATATTTATTGTAGTCATTGTTAAAAATTAATAGAAATGGTATCTAAAATATTTATAGATTGCAAACATACATTTCATATTGAATGTTCATCAGAACAGCTTTGTAAGGGTTGTATAAATAATATTGGTAATTTAATAAATAAGTTATTAACTATGTATGCAAATAGAAAGAGTACAAGATTGTAAGTACCTATACAAACTGTTGAATCTTCACAAAAAAAGGCTGAAGAGACAAATTAAAGGTAGATTAGAATAAATAAATTAAAAGAATTTGATTATTTTAGATAAAATAATAAAGGGTATTGATTTATTAATAAAATAATTCAGAATTTGAAATATTAAGTAATTCTATTTAAAACTACTCTATCATAGCAAAATTCAGTTTTTAAAAAATGTTATTACAATTTTGATGATGAGTTTCTATTTGGTTGATAATTTTACATTGATCTGAAGATCATCTATTTTTTTTATTGATTTTTAATTTCATTTTGAGGTTAAGGTTATAGTTATGGTTATGGTTCAGTTTTAATTTAGAGTTATTCTTATTTTTGTGATTCTAAAAATGTATTAATTAAGCTATCAATTTTTTCTTTGTTTAAGTTTTAGCTCTAAAGTTTATGTCCATTATCAATAGATTATTAATTTAATTCATTTAACCTGTTTATATTTGCTTATTTTAAAGTTGTAGGAATGATAAAGCTATTTTGAATGTTTAATTGCATAAATTAGGAATAGCCTTTTAATTATTCATAAGCTCCTTCACATACATATATTTAAACTTTCATTTTCTTTTTATCATTTTATTTTTTCAATTCTTCCTCAGGAGATTAAAGAGATTCTTAGATATTAAATAAATCATCTTTATCCATAATTATTTTTTAATATTATATATAATTTAATATTATTAAGTAGGTAGAATTCAATTTTATTATTTGGTAATTGTTGTAAATAAAATTATATACAATATTAATAAAATATAATTGAGATTGAAATATCAGGAGATGAATTTATGATTGCAAGAAATCGGAATTAAACATCAATTAAAAAAGTTTGTTAATATATTAAAAAATAGAAAGATTTAACTTTAATAAAAGTTGATTTATGTATAATAAAATCTTCACAAAAGGAGAGAATAGATTTTGAATTGTTATTTTTAAAATATGCAAAAAAGGAATAGAATTTTTAAGAATTTATATAATTCAAAGATGCATTCAAAATGTTGTAATTGATGGATTATAAACATTATACCAATAATATTTAAGGAGGAGAGCTATTAATAATTAAAATTGAATGTGATAAATCTAAAGAATTCTATCTAATTTTAGATGGGAGTGTAAATGTATATGTATATAAAAAGTAAAGATAGAAACTATCTTAGTTAACAATTTAAATTTCTAATCTTTATAGATATTAATTCAACATTATAATCATTAGAAATAATTGAAGATACATTAATTATAAAATCCTCATAAAGAATTTCCTTTCTCCTTTAAGTTAAAGAATTATGATTTCATTTGAACATATTCTATTTAGAATCAAACCTAAAAGATTATGTCTAATGAGTAATTATGAAAGATAATAAGCTAAAACGCACAATACTGAAATATATATAAAAACTTTTTTAAATTGAATTAGAAATCTAATATTTTGTTTTTATAAAAAAATGTCAAATGAGACAGGAGTACAAAAGAAAAAACACAAATATATTGATTCAGAAGAAGAAGAGCAATAACAATAATAACCTGTGTAATAACAATAGCAGTAATCTCCAATTGCATAAACAATTACAGTAGATCATAAAACATGGAAATTCTTATTTGAACCTGACTCTTCTGAATAGTTGGAAGGTATTAATTTGAAATGTATAATTCAATTAAGAAAAGAAGCCAAAGAAAATTCAAAATCCATAAATCACCAAATAAAAACAACCTGAACAAAGAGTTAAGCAGATTAAATCTAATCCTGATACTGATGATTTAAGGTATGAAATTTTGTGTAGGTGGTGGTATTGTTTTGATTAATGGCCACCTTCAGATTTTGACTATGAAGAAGCCTTGTCTAAATATAAATTGAGAAAAGTTGATTTAGCTATTTTTAAAAGAGAATCTGAAATCAATGATCAAGGATTTAGAAAGGTTTATGAAGTGAATGGATACAAAGGAGTATTTAGAACTTCTGCTGTACTTTTTCTAATTTATTTATAGGGTGATACTCTAGATCTTAGACCTAAGGAAGGTTGTCCATCTTATGAGTAAATTTCAAAGATTAATTCAAAAAATTTACCTAAAATATTAATTAAAGGCTTAAAAGCTTAATTAGATGACTTAATTAAGCATGAACCCAACAATAAATAATTAAAAAAGAGTTTAGAAAATTAACTAGAATTTGTGTAAAAATAATAAAGAAAATAAATGGATTGATAATTTTGATTTTGATTTTATGTTAAAATAATCAAATAATATAAACAATAAAATTCATTACCATATATCGTTTTAATGTCTTTAAACATAATTTAATGTCTTCAAAAAACTATCATTCATGTATAAACTACTTCTAGGTAATAAAAAGACAAATTGCTTTAATAATCGTAATTTTTGTTTTAGATTCCAAGATTAAACAAGCCATAAAGTAATTTAAAGAACTATGGCAAATGATATTATAAAAATAAACCAATCCAATTGGCTATTATAATTATCATTGATAAAATTTTCTAAGTCTAATTTTTATTAATCCATAAAATTATTTATTCCTTTAATTATATAACTTATTGCTACTGCATCTTCTGATGTAGTATAATTAATGGTATCTTCAAAATTTGAAATATAGTTATTCATATAATGAACCAAATAATACTATACTGATTCCAATATTCCATTCTATAATAAACCTTGATGCACTTATTCACAGATTTAATTATCTATTTATACTATCAAAATTTTGCATATGTTATCTTTCAAGTAATCATTACTTTGAGTACTTCTGAAATCTATAATAAATATATCTAACTTTACTTGATTCTTATAGATTGGTTAATGATGAATCAATTTAGTTGTAATACTCTTGTAATTACTAACTTGTTAGATAGTTACTATTTATTAAATAATTCTTATTCTCATAGACTATACTACTCTAACACAATATAGAAAACGATTCTAAATATTTAATACTTTAATCATAAATTTCAATTTTAGCCAATAATGATTACATTACTTCAAGAGTTTCAAAGTAAGTTGATAGAAGATAAATTAATACCAAAGCTAAACATAATAAAGGATAAAGAAAGTTTAGAGTTCGTCCAATAGTAAAGTCATCTTTTAAATTCAAATATCTCTTAATTTTTTATAATCCATTATTTTTTAATGGCCTAAAACTTGAATAATGAGTTTAATTATCTTAATGTAATGTAAAATCCATTTTAAACTCATAAATATTAAGTTTCTAATAAAAATTTAAAATATCTTACTTATTTATTATTTATTACATTTGCACAAAAATTGACTTCTCTATCAATACAATCTATTGAAACTTATTCACTACATCTAGTGATTTTCTTTAAATATTTGAAATAATTATAATAAGCAATTAAAGAAACAACTGAAATGATAAAACTTAAAATAACTAAAGCAAAGATAAGAGTACGTTAAGAATCATTAAAATTATTAATTGATGCTTAAACCTACTCTCGAAATTATTGATTAATCTCTTTATAAACCTATTTATAGATTGGGAATTCTTTCAATAGTTTTACAAAAGTAGGCTCTTCATCAATCTAAATTAAATTTTGATTCTGAATAAAATCTAATTAATCATACAATACTGTCAATGTCAAATATAAAACATCTATTTTTGTTTAATTTTGCTCTTAACTATCTACATTTTTCAGGACATCTTGTATTTGAGATGTTAATAAATAATTTTTTTGTTATTCTATAAAGTTTTATGAGTGTTCTATTAATAAATGATTCAAATGTTTATAAAATTGATCTATCTATTGAATATTAGGAATATGAGAAATTAATGATAATTAAATGCTATCTACATAATTTGTTGATGTAAATGCTTTTAAGATTTCAAAAGTTGGTATTATTATTTCACACTCTGATTTGTATCTTAATTAATACATGAGTAAAAATGCTATAATGATTACAAAGATTATTGCATTAATTAAATGTAAAGTATATAATATTTTCTCATTATTTGAATTACAAAATTCGTAATATTAAACACCTTTAAAGAGAAACTTTGATCCTTCAGATTATTACTTTTAGGAAGATGCTGAAGCTTATAGATAATCTTAGTTTGAATAAAATTCATTATTCTTTTAATTATCTGAATTTGATATGCGAGCATTACCTTTGCTAGCAAAATACTTGGATTTTCTTTCCATTTTTATTAAAGTAGTTCTTTTCCTTTCCAAAAATGTAGGAGCTTGATTCAATTATTATATTTAATTCTAAGACTCAGTAATACATTGTTCATTAATTTAAGGAAAAGAATAATGGTTCATCTTTATAGAAGATTCACTACTTGCTTTCTCATTTTATTAAATATTCTGAAGAGAGTCAGTTTTTTTGGAAGATTACCTATTACTGTCTTAAAGGTTGATAGAATAATCACTAGAGTTGTTATCTGTAAGTTCAAGCTGATGCACTTTATTAAACTCTATAGTGTAAAACTATACAAATTATAAATTAAATTAATAATTATACTTTAGAAATTTTAGTATTAACTATTCCATAAGTTAAAGTCAATGTTAAATCTATAAGAAACTTATTCTATGAATTTATTACAAATAATTGATCTTCTAACCTGAGTTTATAATGATTATAAACTGATTTATTCATCTTTTGTCGTTTATTTGATGGACTAGCTATTTATTAAGTTTTTTTGTGTTTTTGATGCATTGATTTTGTATCCATCATTAAATTAAGCTTTTAAACATTTTCATTGAAGTCACTATAAAACTTGGAAATTTCTTTATTGCAAATTTCCTATGCGGAATCGAGAAAAAAAGATTAATAAGCATAAGAACTTATACCTTAAATTATTTCATAATCATCAATAATTATATGACCACGAATATTCTCAAATTTTCCAATTGGCTTAAGTTCCTTCATAAAACAATAAACAGGAAATTGTGTAGAAGTTATAATAAAACATACATCAATAAACATTTCCACAAATACAATCTCTTAATTTGCTTTTTGTGCTATTAAATGACGTTCTTACCTCAGAACATTTGGTCTACTACTCATTAAAAATAATTCCATTATGGTATTATGCACTTTAGCAATTAAAGGTGGTACTAACTAATGAACAGTCTAAATTTAGTTGCAAAAATCATCCATGCTTTAAAAACCAAAAAAGTTATATGAGTTATCTGATCGTGATAAGATCTCTCCTCTACATTTATATTTAGAAAATCTAGAGAGATTAATCTTTAGATAACTTACACTTTAAGATTGATGAGAAAGTGTTAAGATTTCAAAAAATTTAGTCTCCTTCGATTTGAGACTCTAAAATTAACAAAATATTTTTTTACATTTTTATATTGCTAAAATGAAAAGTAATCACAACGTACTTCTAAGTAAAAAAACATTAATAATAACGTTGAAGTTCTACATTAAGATTGATTGTAAAATTGCATCAAATTATTTTATAATTTATCAAGTATTATATTTTAATCTATGTAAATTTATTGAACTTCCTCGTAATTTAATTTGTTGCTACTTAATTTTATTAAATAATTTTATTTCATTTATAAACATTCTATTATTTTATTAAAGAAATGATTTCTTTAATGTTCAGTACTTCTATAATCTCCATATTAAATAGTTTTTTTTATTTGTAATTCATCCAAATGGGATTGTGTTCTTTGAAGTGTCAAAAATTTTATATAACTGGCCATTAAATTAATAACAATTTGATCATATGGCTTTTTTTATTCTTACAGTTATAATTTCACTTCCATAATTTATAGCCATGTCTAATAGCATTCTTCAGATTAACCTATGTAACTAATTAATTAAGTTATATAAGTTAAATTTGGCTGCGTAACATAAATTTCTATATTCAAAATCAGTTTTATATAATATCTAATGTATCTATCGATTAAATCAACTGATACTAATAAATTTTATTAAGAATAGTCAGAAAATATTTTCATTTATTGATCATTATGATTTAATTCTAAACTTTATTTTTTTTCACCCATAAACCCTCTACAAAAGCAATAGAGATTGTTACATTATTCAATATGAGTTTTGATTAGAATAATACATTGCATCAAAAATTTGGATTAATTTGGATTTAATACCTCAGATGAAGAATACGCTTATTGTTTTTGAATACCTTATAATTCATATAAACGCACAAATTACAAAAAATATTTATTATTACTAAATCTAATATTATTAACTTATTCTAGCTTTTAAAACCAAATAAGTTTTTCAATTTGATGAATTTCATCATTAACAGCCATAGATTTTGTTATAGTTTATGAATTTCTTTTTAAGGCTTTTTATTTTAAAGGCATATTTTCTGCATGTAGTGTTTTCATTACAATATTCTTAAAATGATAATCTGTTAATTGATTAAGCATTTTGCATGTACACGGCATACTCATTAATGTTAGTGTTATAATGTCTGTTATAGAAAATTGCAATAATTTAGTAAAGATTATTCCAAAAGTAAATGAAAAGGCAAAATGAAAGACATATATTTTGAATGGTTATACAAAAGGAACATTTTATGATTAATCTTACAAATCAAATAATAGATTCAAAAGTACAAAACAACTTATTATTTATTAAAATATCAAATTGTCATAGATTGTTTCATGATCCATAAAGTACAAAACACAAAAATATAATACTGTAGGTAGAATTCTAAGAATTTATCCTATTTTAAAAGATGTTGTAACCCTTAATCTTAAATAATTAGTATCTTTTAATCTATATGATTATTGCATATATAAAGATAAAGCTTCTAAAATTATTAAAAATAATAATTGAATCAAATTAAGAGTAAAATTTAAAGCAAATAAAGCAACTTAGTAGTTAGATGATGTAAATATTCTGTAGAATATTATTGCTATCCAATAGATTTATGGCAAAAATAAGATATGAGTAAAATAATTAGTTAATAAAGATGTTCTGTACAAATACATTTCAATTAATGACCCATTATCTGTAATCATTAGTTATTTCAATAAGAAATGTTCAATAAAATCATTTTCATTGTAAGTGCTATTTAATAGATTGAGGGATTCTAAAAAATATCATAAAATAAATATACAAAAACTATTTCCATCTGCCTTGTTAAATTAATTTTTATTTTGAAATTTGATCTCTTTAAAATGAAGATAATCTATTCTTACAGCAACTACATTAATTAATAACATTAGAAAAAGAAACGTCAAAAATATCAACTAGAAATATATTATTTACTCTTATGATAAATATTCTAAAATTAAAATTGTTGGCATAGTTATTCTGCTTATTAATTCTATCTTATCTTAAGTATCAGTTGGTTCTTTAAATTTTTTATTGATATTCAACATTCGAATTATTTACTGATATAGCAAAACTAATGCTATGGTCTAAAACATCCTGATAAATTCACACAAGGCCCAAAATAATTTATTTTCTTGTTCTAAAACTACTTATGAATGTCCAATTAAATATTACAGTTAAAGTCTCTAATATTTCAAGCTTTTCTTAAAAAATTTCATAAAATAATTTATTACCTAATTTTTTTATTGAATGTTTAACATTTTGTTATAATCTTAAATCTCAGTCATTATGATACTAAAAGTAAAATATTTAAAATTAGTGATGAATGTTTTACTAATAATATGGATATTAAATATAGATTCTTATTAATAAAAAACAAAATTTAAAGATTATTGAAATAAAAGATGTAAAAATATTAAAAATAAATTTGAAATTTTAATTATGTGATATATGATTCTCAACATTAATTATTTTGTTGGTAAATAATTAAAAGCGAATATGTTTAAATCTGAATAATAGAAGAAGAAATTTTTAAATGAAGAGAATTCGTTTTTACTTTTTTTAATAATCTTATTTTTATAAAATAGAGAAATGAAGCGCATAGTATTGAGCTTACTGAGTATCAGTATTTGCCTATGCATTAATCACAGAAGTGTGTAAGATACTTTAATTGCAGAAATGGACAATGAGCACATAAATGAACACGATTAATTGATCTTTCGTAATTGGATGTTAGAATATGGCAAATCTTATGATAATGATTTTACAGCAATACATAGAATGTAGATTTTTATGAGGAACAAGAAAAATGTTGAAGTATAGAATAATTTGCTTATAGATAGAAACATAATCATGTGGGAGCAAAATATAAAGCAAAATTGAATGAATTTTCAGATTAAGATTATGATGAATTAGCTTTGAAAATGTTTATGCATATAGATTTCTAAGATGATGATTTTAAATTTTCAAATCCTCATTTTTTTAGTAAATAGGACATAAAAGAATTGAGAAATCATCCAATATTAACTTAAATGAGAGAATAGGCAACGAAAGGAGATTCCTTAGATTGGAGTAATAAAGTAAAAAAATATATGGATTTAGGTTCCATCATCAAAACCATAAGGAACATGTGGAAGTTGTTGGGCATTCTCTTCATCTGATGTAGCTATAAGTAGACTTGCATTGAAAGGGAAAGAAGACTTAACATAATTGTCTAAGACCCATTTAATAGATTGTTGTGTTGGAGATAAAAATAAGGGATGTAATGGTGGATCACCTATAGGTGCTTATAAATTTATAAATGATAATGGAGCCCTTAAAGAGAATGAATATAGAGATTATGATGCTACTTAATAAGATTGTTAGAAACCAGGAGGACATATTGGTAAAGGTCTAATAGTTGATGTATAAAAAGTAGATGATCCAAATTTTGAGTAAATAATAATGAATTAAATTTAGATAAATAAAAGAAGCTCTTCAAGATGGACCAGTAACAGCATTAATGTATGCAGATAAATCATGGTTTGAATATGGAGGTGGTATTATCGATACTTGCAGTTATGTTGGAGCTAAAGAATTAAGTCATGCAGTTGTTATTGTTGGTTATGGAAAAGATCATTATAAAGTTAAAAATTCATGGGGTCCAGGATGGGGTGAGAATGGATTTTTTTAAGTTTAAAGAAATGGAGCACCAGAATGTTTAGATAAAATTAAGAAAATTTCTTACCCTATAATTTAATGATCCCATTAATAATCATACACATATTTAGATATTCATTATTCCATTATTTCTTAAACTTTTTTATATACTATATCTTATATTTCCTTTGATGGCATTGGATCATTCTATTTACCAAGTAATGTTGATCCCTATTCATTTTTCAATCCTTCATTCTATTCTGAATTTACTCTTGTTTCATATTCCTCTCGATCACAATTGTAATATTACATTATTAATTATGGAATACTTATTGTTCTATTATCTATCCATATAAATTCCTTTAAATTAGATCTAAAATATTTTCGTTAATATGATGCATATTATCGTGATTTTACATAAAATTGTTATATAAATTTCACAACATATTCTCTTTTCTATTTTTCTGCTCTTCTATTAGATATATATCTTCCCTCAAAGATATTTTAAAAACATTTCATTAAATTTATAAATTCATCAAACCCGATAGGTGTAGTAACACGAAAATCTTTTTAATCTAGCATCAAATAAAATTAGTAGAATTCCTCCAAAATTCCTTATCGAATCATTTCATCACACCTATTATCGTATATAATAATCTAATAATTACCTTGAATAAATTTTTTTAGAAATATTTATTTGAGGTTCTGTAATAAAAAAACCTCTAATATCCATTTCATCACTTAGTCGTGGATCTTATTCATTAAATGGAGATGTTATTGATTATCCATTTGTCAAAATAGCAAATCTTAAAGCTTTCTAAATTCTATATCTATCAGATATATTAATTGAGTCATCATAACTTGTAAAATATGATTTCAACAGACTTTATGGATCTTCACAATTTTGTAATAATTTTAATGCCTCTTAATCTGCAGCTTTAATTTTCTCATCTGAAAATTACTCTTTTCTTGAGTTAAGTAAATAATTTAAAAAGAAACAACATCCCCCTTCCAAAATAGGATTATCAGTTTATTTCAATATTTCTAAAACATCTTTTTTAAAATGATAGCTTGTGATACTCTATTTTAAACCATCATATTTTCCTATCAATTTATAAGTCTCTTTATTTTTTGGCCAATTACTTGATATTGGCCAATTCTTATAAATCTAAACTTATATAACAATTCATACTTACAGAGAATCTACAGGTATCACTGGTGTTTTTAATTATTCACTTAATATTTAAACTACTGTTGATTTTCCTGATCCTGTAAGTCCTGATACGACAAGCAATTTTTTCATAATTAAAATTATTATATGTTCAAAATATCAAATATATCATAACTCATTATTAAGGTTATTATTACTATTCCAAATATTTACGAATCTATCTTTCTACTAATTCTTAATTTTTCATAAGGAATTTCATATTTTTAGGATCTTCATTTCTCATTTCATCGTCATTTTACATAAGTTCCAAATAAGAATTTTATTGTAAAAATAAGTTTTCCAAAAATAAACTTGGATTCTTCTAATATTAATAATATGCATCTCTTTTTAATTTATGACTCTTGCTTTATTCTATGTATTTTTAAATCTATTTTTCAAATCCTTTAATTTTTTAATTTAACTATATAAATGGATGTTCTGCTCTTTATTATTTCTTTTCTGAAGTATCTTCTGTAACAACTTTTTGAGCTAAGAATGGCATCAATTCAGGTTAATAACTCATTTCTTATTCAACCACAACATCAAATCCAATATAATTGCTAACTCCTAAATGGTGTTTAATAACAATTGGTTCTGGATTTTCTATAAAATTTTTTAATAACATATTAAGATTAGATAATGGAATACGTTCTTAACCAAAAAGTTGTTTTAATTGTTCATCAGCAATTATATAATCTTTGCTCTCCTTATCTGTCAAATTATTTAACTAATGATTCAATAAAGACTTTTTACCTTAACATATTCCCAAAAGCAATACAAGATTTAAGATCTTGTTCCTTCTTTAATTCCAAGTAATTATTACAATGTTTTATGCAATTTATACTTTTATGGATAGGTTTATAGACTTATGGATATAATCACATCACATGCTGGCCCTTTTCTTTTTATATGAAACCCGCTTGTTTCTTATTGCTATTATTATTAAGATTATTATTGTTGTTATTATTATTGAATATGATTTCTGCTCCATTAAATAACATTTTAGGAGGGATAATATGTTTTATCAAATTAGACTTCAAGTTATCTGATAAAATATGAGAAAGGTTTCTTGTCTTCTGATATCACTTATCCTTTGATAAAAAGATTCCATTCATCACAAACTAATTCAGAGTAGACAATGATTCTGAGAGTCTTTTTAAGATATTATCCTGGCTAAATAAAAGATTCTTATAAATCAACTCGCTTGTTTTTTATCATTTAATCTATTCGATTCTCGTATCTTTATATATTTATTAATATTACTTAACTAGATTGTTCAAGACTTAAATTTATGGACACAATTCAATTGTTTCATCATCAAATTAAATACTTGATTTATCATAAAGTTATTTTAATTGAGTTTTAACATCCTGTTATCTAACAGGTTATTTTTATTATACTGGTTGCTATTAAGTACATTATTATTATTATTATTATTGAGATGCCATATAATAAATAAATATTTTATATATAATAATTTTAATAAGTAAATAATGTTGGAATATCAAAATAAGCAATATATGATCATAATAATGATATTTTACGTGATTGAAATATAAATTATTTAAAATTAAAAAGACCTATTCTGAACATATAGAAATAACTTTATAAAGTTCCTATCACTATTGATTGCAGTAATATTAATTTTTTGGGAATATTGAAATTTTACTTCACTAAAAATATTCCTATTTTAGTAAGAATATATATTGAATATAAGAAAGTTGATAATAGTTTAGTATTTTTGGATTATGATTAATCATGTTTGAATTGAATGTAAAATTGATTACAGAATACTTTGAATTTATGAGAGAATATTTGGAAAAGATATGTTTGTAATATTGTAAAATCTGTAAATAACTTTAGCTATGAAACTCTGATGATAAAAATTTTTTGGATCCTCATATTATTCATGAATCTTTCGAGGAATCATGAATAATCTTGCAGAATTTCTTATTAATATACTTGGGTATTCTAGCAGTTTAAAATTGCATTAATCATTCCTATTTAAGTTTCTTTACTGATATGTTCCTGTTGAATTCTAAATATAAATCTTTAATGTATCTTAATCTTTTTAAGTTATCAAAATATTCCAGATAATTTTAAACTTTAAGAGAAGCTAAAAACAATTTGTCTCTAAATCATTATTTAACTCAATATATTTTTAGTATTGTTTACATTTTCATTTGAAGGAATGATATTTAAAAAAATGCTAATAAAAATTTTTAAGAAGACCTTCATTAATAAATATTATTAGAATACAAGAAAAATGGAAATTGATATTCGTCAGCAAGAATGTTTAAATATTTTTTCTGGAATTTATTTATTTAATCAAAAATAATGGTCTATTCAAGCTATTTTTATTAGTTTAGGAGAAGGAAATGTAATTCAATATTATAGATATATAATAAAAAAAGAAGAATTATGAGAATTTAAAGTATCTAGACTAAGAATATTTAGATAAGAATATAGAATAATAGATTCTGAATTACTAGTTATGAAAGGAAAATAATTAAAGAATCAAAAAGATAATAAAAGATTTTAGGAGAGATTATTTTAAGATTTTAAAAGAGATAGTTTTAATCCCTGAACTTTTTTGTTGAAAATCTATTTTTATATAAAAGTTTTATTCAAAAGAAATGAACGAATAAGAGTTATAATTACTCAAAAAAATTGTAATAGAAGAAATAATTACAAATTAATAAAAAATAAAAATTAGAAAAATGATTTTTAAAATAATGTTCTCTTAAATAAAAAAAATTAGTTTTATTTCATTCATGTAATCGTTATCAAACCAGGATTAGGAAAATATTTGATTTAGTTTTGAATATATCCATATTTTTTAGATTAAATTACAATAAACCATGTAATGCTATTTAAATTAAATGAAGTTAACTAAAATGAGGTCCTTAAATAATGGGTAAATTACTAGATATATATTTTCTTTAAATCTCGATATTCTTATACAGTTGTATAATTTGAAGTACTTTTGGAAATCATTAAAAAATGATGAGGATTTCTTTAATCATTGAATAAATAATTATAAGATATAGTCTAATAAATATAGATATTCATTTGGTTTATGTTTTTCGATGTCATTCTTCTTATCTTATGGAAAATAACAAAAAAACATTGTTTTCATATTGTGAACCATCTATATACAGTTCATTAGACTAGAATGATTTTTCTAGATATAAACTTTTTACTTACTTAGTTTAATATATCTATATTTTTTTTTTTTTTTTTTAATCCTTCTGTGAGCTAAAGTTAAAAATCTCATTTATCTTCTTAGTTCATCATCTTTGCTTTATGTTAAGAATTTAGAAATTTTTTAAGGCATTTACTCTTAATCTAGATGATCTAACATCTAATCATAGACTCCATAAATTTCATAAATTTTATAATAATAGGGTTCTTCATCATGGATCATTGAATTCATGTTTTAAAAATTATTATTATTAATATGAATAATAATATGTCTTGAAATGTTATTTTTGTTGACAATACAATAATTAAATATTTTATATTATTGCTCAATATAAGATATTTGTACATCCTAAATGCAAACCAATTTGCCTAATGTCAAGTTCCGCAGAGTCATCTTGATTTTCATAAAATAAATATGAATTACCTAAAAATAATAAATTATGAATACCTTTAGCCTCTTCTAGTAAAGAAAATAAGGACAATTCATATTGGTTAGCTATTCTTAATCCTGAAATAGTTGATGAAAGTCTAATAATTTGATTAATTTAATTGATCACACTATTATATAAATATGTTTATGATATACATTCTCATTTAAATTTTTTATGATTAAATAGAGAATCTAAATATAGATTTAGAAATTGGAGCTACAAAAGCTCTTGTGATAGCAAAAAATCCTCGCATTAAAAATAAAATTTATAAATATTATTGATATAAATTTGTAATAATATTTGTCATTATCTTCTAATTCCTCCTCTTTCTAAAGCAGATTCTGCTTATGATAATAACATCAATTCATTATCCCATCCATCATTGAGTTATTTATTTTATTCTTATCTAATTAAATATAAAGAATAAAAAATACCTAGCTACCCATCCAGAATTTACATTATCAAGATTAGATTATGCAGTATCTAGATTTGATTATGCATCCTTTAACAATTCTTATTTAGTAGCAATTTCTCCATCTTTAGTTTAAATATCTCCTTTCAGTTATGGAATTATTTCATTATTTAATAGATTGATTGTTTCTTCTAAAGATGTTAAAATTCCATTATTAGTGTCCTTTTCTAATTAAGCATTCATTAATAAAGCTTATTTAGTAGCTACTAAATCTTCTCTTAAATTATGAAGCAATTTAATAGCATTACCTGCTTATTCTTAATCTGCAAAACTATTATATTTAATAATTATAATTACCCTTATGTACTCATTTATATTAATACTTTTGATAATGGTTCAAAAAGATGAGGAAGATGAGATACTTCACTTAATCTTCTTGAAAATGTTGCTGATGAAATTGCCAAGTCTTCTTAATTTACTTCAATAAATGATGATTCTAATGAATTTATTAGTTTAATTTACATTTGATAAGTTGTAATTTTGCTATCACTTAATCTACTATAGATATTGATTAATCATATTCTGCTGTCTTCTTTGATGTTGCTTAATCATTATTCTACACTGTTCTCTATAATTAACTTTAACTTCTTTAAGCATCATTCAATTATTGACTTTTATCATATAAAGATTATTGTAAACTGTTTCTATCTTTTATGAATGTTGTAATGTCACTCTAATGTTATGCAACCTTAAATAACATTAATCTAATATTATTACTTCGGTACTATATTCTGTTACTTGATTTTAATAGAACTCTGAATCACTCAAGAATTATTAATAGTAAGTATCTAATTGTGCTGCCTCTTCTTCTTTTGCTTCTTAAGTTGATGCAACTATATCATCTATTGCTGTAAATAATGGACTAAAATCCACCTCTGTAAATTATTGCAATGATATCATGTTTAAAATAGTTTTCCCTAATTTACTTTTAGTCAATTATCCCAGCTATTCTTCAAACATACTTGCCTAGCTTAATCATATTTTTTATATCATTACTTTGTAGTTTATGTGCAATATGCTATTGCTATTATACATAAAAGTGCATAAACTCTCATTAAAACGGATATTATTATTATTATAATATATATATAAATTTATTTTCATCATTATTAAATAACATTCTTATCTTCTTCTAAACCTTCTTAAATTATATCATCATCATCATCTACATTTTCAACAACTACCATTGGTGATTGCAATGGTGTATGTTCCTATTAAAAGAATTTAAGAGGCTACTACTACTATTACTACTATTCATTATTCTAATCTACAGATTTTGTTGGTGAACCTATTCTAGATGATGAATGAATAGACAATTTCTTCTCTTTCTCAAAATAATCTTAAACTTATTCTGGCTTTGGATGCATAAATTAAATCTTATTCTGTTCACTTCGAAATTCCAAAAAATGCAATAAAGCTTTCAAACATTTTTATTTATCCTATAAATAAATCGATATATACTAATATATTTATTAATTTCCTTTACCTTTTTTAAATTTAATTCAGTTTCACAAAAATACATCTACTCTGTTGCATCCCAAGTTTTTATTTATACATATGATTCCTTTTCTTCAATAAACAATACAACAAATACACTCTTTGTTGTGTTCAAATTATTTGATATTTACAATATTAATGTTCCATCAGCATAACATCTATTATAAATCTTTCTATATTCCTTATAATTAGATTCAATTCTTCTATTTCTAAACTTCTTCTACATTGGTCTTATAGTACTTTCAACAAATAAAATCACATTATCATCTGCCTTCAATTTAACTCTTTATTAATCCTATTAATTAAAACATATATATATGAATTTTTAGTTTATTATTTGCAAATTCTTTGTTAAAATTTTAGCCATATTTTCCGGACTTTTTTCATGAGTTAAAATTTCTGCATCATCTGGTGTCAAGTACCAATAAAATGGTTCTTATCTTTCTTTCAAATTTTATGCTCTAATCTCTAATATTCTTTCATGATCTTCAAATACAGAATCTCTATCTTAATTTAATATTTTTTATATCTTGTTTTTAACTGAACTTATAACAATCAAATATTTCTTTCCAGTATAATATACAGTTTCCTTTGCAAGTACATTTGTTGCATAAGGTCTTTAAGATAAACGCATTCCTCTATTGATTGTAGATGGAATCTAAACTTATGATTAAATCTAGGATTCTATTCTCCCTCCTCCAATACTAAGTGGATTTATTAATGATGATTGAATTCTGCTTTTATCTACTAAGAGACTCCCTGTAAATTAATCCATTCTCACTCCTTTTATTAAATTCTAACTTAATATTTTAACTGTATTAGTGTCTTTTACATTGAAATTTGGATATAACTTTTTAATACTTTATAAATCAACCTACAACTTTGTCACATTATTTTAAGAATCATCATATGATTTCTTTTCTAATATTTATTTTGAATTAGTGTACACTATATTGATTAAAGTATTTCCTGATTTCTCCTAATCAACCAATACCTCTTATACATCTTTTTCAATCATTTTTTCATCTACCATTATGTTTTACTATTCATTTTATATATAATCATCAAAAGTTGTTGATATTCCTTCATCTTATACTTTTTAAAATGAATATTCATCAAATTTTATAATACCTCTTTCTATGTAAATTTTATTGATAAAATGATTTGCTAAAGATTATGAACCTATATCAATCAATTAAAAATTATCATGAGAATAAGATGCTCTCATTTTTGTTTTCCTCTAACTTTTATTTATTGATATCAATTCAAAAGTATATATCGTTTGATTTGGTATCTTTCCAGGTTATTTGTATACATTTACAATATAAAAATGATTTTCATCATCTTCTTTTATTTATTTAAAAGATCTCTTTACAAACTCCCCTAAATGTTTATTCTTTTCTTCAATTTATTTTTTTCTAGCCAATTTAGTTTATAACCATTTTTTTAATAGTTTTTTTCTAAAAGTGGCTTAAGTAGCAATAACAGCAAAAGTCATTAATTAAAATTTCGTATCATTAGATAAATTCTTCTTTTTCTTTTTGGTTATATGACTTTCTATCATAATAATTGGTAGAGTCAATTAAAATTAAAATTTATTGAAATTAACCACAAGATTCTTTTAAATTAATAAGATCAATGGAGTCATTAATGATCTATAATATTCAATAGTTTTCATTTTATCATAATTAGATAAATTTGCAAAATCAATTCTCTATAAATCTAATTAGTCTTATTTTTTAGATTATGAGCTAATTAATTAATCACTTTATTATGATAATTTATCTAAATTAATAATAAATTATTTTTCTCTTAACCTTCTTTTACTCTTAAGAGTTTTTGTTCTCTCAACTAGATGACCTTAAGGTGTAACAAAAGTCAATTCACGCATATTGAGTTATAAATTACTAGATTATTTAATTAGAAAATAGGCAATTTCGATATAATGTTAACCATTATTCAAAATGAACTTATGTATATGAAGTTTAGAACGTTTTAATTGTTTATACAATTTAAACTTTTCCACCATTCTTTTAACCATTAACATTCCTTAAATTTTTTAAACAAACTTCTCTCTTAAAAATAAAGATAAATCTCCTCTTAAGTCTTCAAAATTATGAGTGTGATCCTTCTCATTTATAGTAATAACCTTAGTAATTGTTCTAGAGAATTCTTTAAAGAATTTAATAATTCTTTTATTACTTAAATCTTTTAATCTTTCATCAATATATTTAGATTAAAAATTATGTGTATCAATTTCAATAACACGTTTCTCATTAGTATTATTAAAATGAATGATAATTTTAACAATCATTTATTCTCTATGAAATTCAAAGTATAAAGTACTCGTACTTTTTTGATAGATAGCAATCACAACTTTATCAGTCATTTAATCAGGATAAGTTTCCTCTATTTCTTAATAAATAGGCTATCCTTATTTAGAAGACTTAGCTTCATTAAATTCATAGGCTAAATAATCATCTACAATTTTTTATAATTTGAGTTCATCTTTTGAGAATATAAATTTTTCATCTTAAAAATCAATTAATGGTAAAATAATATTTTAAGGATTCTCTTTTATGTATGAGTAAGGTAATTCATAATTGCTAACAAGATCTGATTTTAATATTGAAGTTTTATATATTTTTGTAGTATAAATATTTTATGCATGAATTATAAATAATTAGGAACTAATTTGATAGAAGATTGATAATTTAAATTATCCATCAAAAAATGTAAGATTGAAGTCAACAACAAATTCTCTATCATCTTTGTTTGAATGTTATGATTTAACATCATTAATAGATAACTAATCTTGAATAAAATCATTAAATAAATTCGGATTAGTACCATATTCAGTAGTAGGTAAAACATTTTAAACATAAGCCTTTATTGAAGTATCATCTTCTTCATCTACATGTTTTGCACTCTTGATTTTTTGAGCAATTTGAATTTTGAAATCTCTAAATACATTCTATAGAGTAGAAACAAAGTTTTTTTACTTATTATCTTCTGCTGAATGATTTAATTACATCTCTGGTGAATCTTCTAAACATGAAACAAATTATTATAAATATTTATCCCTTAAAGTTGATCCAATTTTCAATCTCGCTTCAAGAGTATTTTCCTTCTTCTAATTCACATCATCTTCTTCTCCTTATAAAGATAGTATTTCACCATGAACTTAATCAACACTCTTACAATCAACCTTTTATTCCCCTTTTTTATTTTTTATTATCCGTGTCACTTCTACCATTCTTTATGCTACTGTTATTATTTCAGTTTTTGATAATGGATAAAATAATTTTTAATAAAATGGTACACATTTATCAAAAGCATAAACATGTTCTAAATTCTTTGAAGTTATCAAAACACTCTAATATTCACTTTAACCCATTAAAGAAGTAGTTGGATCAGTTCTCTCTATCTCCAAATATAATGTTGTTAAACAAGCTCTTTAATTCATATCTGATCCATATAGAATAGCCCTTCTAACTAAAATTTCTTTCTCTACATCCTTTTAATCACTAACATTAAATTTATTTTTGTTTATCTTCTTTATTAAACATCTCCTTTTTAGCTAATAACGTAATACTGCTCTTTAAATTAATATTATAGAATCATCTCTATTCTTTGTTGTGTATATCTCTTTACCTCCTCTCTTTTCATAATCCTCTTATTTCTATACCCAATAATTAGCTTCATCACTATACTCAATACTAGGACCATCTAAATCTATTTTCAATATATCATATAAATTATCTTTATTTATCTCTCCCATATTTTATAATACTATCTACTTAATTTCCAAATCATTCGATTTCTTTTAAGTTTCAAAATTTATTATATATAAATAATGTCTCTTATTCATTAAATGTTATGCTTTAACAATCTATAAGTAATGGCCAGCCACCGTTTTTATTAACTTTGTTGAATAAATTTACTTCTATTTTTAGTTAACCCATTTTTTTATTCTAATCCTTTATAAATATCCTTTCATAAAAGATTATATAAATTTGATTGCCTCTAATTCATTTGAAGCCAATTATTTTGTATAAAGAGGTGGCTTAACTTTTCTAATCTCTTCTTCAAATGGAACTAAATCATTGTACTCAAAATTATTTATCCCCTATATATAAAGCTTATTATTTTCAACCAAAATCAATTCTTACATTATAACTGCTGTTCTCTAGAGTGCTTATCTAAATTAAGTTTAAAATTCTGCTAAACACCTTACCACATATTTACCATCAACTTCATTCATTATTATAAATTACTATGCAACTGTTTATAAATTCTTTAAATTCCTTAATAATTAATTCTCCTCTATTATAAAACATTCCAAATCATTAATATATTGATGTAATAAACCCAAAGATTATAATAAACTCAAAGTATCCATTTCAAAATAGTATTACTACTCTTTTCTTTTGTTTTTAACTCCATTTACTAAAGAAAAACGTACAAATGAATCATCATTAGTTATCCCAAATGTAAATATATAAGCATCTTTAAATGGTTCTATTTTCTCATGAATCATTTAATTTGGATGACAATAACTTTATCTCAATGTATAGAATTATCTTGTTTTAACTATATATTTATGTAAAAGCATCTTTTTATATGCTTTATATGCTTCTAATAAAGATATAATTCTCTTATAAGCTTTATTTTCAGTATTTGGATATTTCTTTAATCTATTTTTTTAAATTATTTTCTTTGTAATATTTCTCATTTTCAATTCTTATAACTTCCTTCTTACAAATCTCTAAAATTTCTTTAACTTCAATTCATCAGAAGGTAACAATTCTCCTTAATCCTTTTTTGCTTTTTTGAGACAATAAAACTTTTTTCGTTCCTTTTTCATTCTTATTTAAGCTTAAATCTTTGCAATACTATTAGCATTATATATCTATTCTTCAATCTCTCTTATTATCTATTATTCTTTCTCTAATAAATTATCATCCACTTTTTATTTTGAAGTATTTTATTTATTCAAAAAATTCAATCTTTATTCTTTTGTATTAGTTTTTGTTAATGATAACTTTATTTCAGATGGTTTTTCATTAAGTCTCTATTTTTTAATTTCTGTATCAGATGGTTCTGAATTTGACCATGATTATTCCAATTATATTTATTCTATTTAACTTAATTTCCTATTGATTATCTATATTTATTTTTTAGGTTGAATATTCTCTTCTTGCAATTCCTCTCTATTTATTTATTTAACATCTTCCTTTGTTTCTATTGGTTTTTGATGTTTAACTTCTTAAAAAAATTCATCATCTGTCATTCCTTTCTTAATTGTTGCACTACTATCTCTTCTTACAGAATCTTCCATAAAATTATTGTTTTTCAACTTAATATTTTTTTTAGTTTAACAGTATGGAGTAGTTTATTTAGAACATTCATCTATTGGAACATCATATTATTTTTTTAATTATAAAACTGTCTTAAAAAGACCTGATTATTATTAATTCATTATTACAATCAACTTTTACTTAGCTTAATGATGTTGTATATGAAATTTTGAAAATAAAGGATCATGATTACCTAAATGTTCAAGCACAAATTATAATGATCTTTTATATTATTTTACAGCTTCTTCCAAACGATCTAACGATTCTAATTCAAATGCATAATTAAAATTAGCCAAAGCCAAATATCTAACTGTTTCAATTTAATTTAGATCAAATTCCCTCTTGCCAGATTAAATTGCTTTTAATGCTGCCTTTAATGCTTTGTCATGCCTTTTAAATAGATATCAAAATTACATATTCATTTAACTTAAAACAGTTGTAATGTTCAAATATGTTATTGTTTCTAATTTTAACTAATCATACATTTAAACTAATTATAAAGCATTCTCTAAAGCATTAAATGCTAATTATGTTTATCCAATTCTACGATAAACACAACCTAAATTATTATAGGCTAAACAACTATCAAAATAAAAATTGCATTAATACATTTAAGTTGGAATTTCCTAGAATGATTAATGTTGTATAATCCATTATAATATCATAATGCATGTATCATGAAGTCCATGTTTTTCAATCAATTTCATTGCGAATTTGTTTAGTTATTTAAACATAGAATCTACTTCACTTTATTGTTAACTAGTTCCTTTTAAAGTAATCAGCTCTATTCTTAAAATAAATTGTACATTTTTCATAGAATCCTAAAGATTCCAAAACCTAAGTTTTCTTTAATTGTTAATCAGGGGTTTCAATTTATGAAGCAGAAGGTTTTTAGATTGGTTAAAAAAGGGATTAATGAGCTGATTTTTTCCTTGCTGTTATTTTTTGATCAACTTTTGGTAATGATGAATTTGCTGAAGAAGGTCTCATTAGTTACATTTCCAAATTTATTATATATCAATTATTAAACTAACAAAAACCAAATATATGATTAGAAAAATAAGTAAAGAGAATCATTTTTTCTTACAATTTAGAGATTCAAATTACGTTTAATAATACAATATCAAGATAACTAGTCTAAAACCAATGTACTATGTCTTCTTCTAAATAATGGTGATTTACACATTTGTAATTTGCTGCTCCTTATTGTTGAACAAGAAGTAGCTTCAGAAATTTCAGTGTCAGAATCCATAGATCTAAATGAAAATATAGTTTTTTTCTTTGACAATTCAAAGTTGATTTGTTTTAACTATGGATCTGTGAATTACTTCAACAATAACTCCTACTCTAGATATTCGATAATCTTCTTCTCTGTCTCACTTATTTCTGAAGGGGTTATCTCTATTACAATAGTATCATTCATTAATAATTAATCTTATCTTAATTATATTATATTCTTCAAAATTTCGAAAATCTTGTTTTAAATCTAAAATTAGTTAATATTATTCAAATAATTAATGTATTTTCAAGATTCACATTCAAACTAATTATAATAAAAGATATTAATTGATAATTTTATAATATGAAATAGTCTCCATTAAACATTACTTAATACTTACTATTTCAACTCGCCTTTCATAGAATTTTCTATCTTTTATTTCCTTTAAATATTATAGATATGGTTCTTATTTCTTATTTTCTGCTATCTACTATATGTTATTAATATATTATTACAAAATTTAAAGACAATACAAATTATTTTCTTTATTTTATAATTAAATTTTGCATCCAACTCACTTCAAAATTGGTAACTGTTTTCAAAACTATAGAAACAATAATAAAGATATTCCTTCCTAGCATAAATCTTTTACTATTAATCATAAAATTGCAACTTAATGAGTTTATTTTTGTTTCATTTTTATTGTGTAATTAAATTATACTTATATGACCTAAAAATAGTTATATTATATGTTTTATTCAAAATATTTCTGTAAAAGTCAAAAAATATATGTTTTTAAAAAGAATTTATATTAATACATTATCTTTATATTATTAATAATATGGATAATTTATAAATGAATAGTGGGTTGTCAATTTAACATTTTTAATTGCCTATATGCAAGTATAACAATTAGATCATAGCAAAAGTTAATCAAAAGTTGCTAATAAAAAATGATGGCTTCTTCGTATATTTAAATTAATACATAGCAATAATTTTATTTTGACTATTTTTAACAAAAGGTAGCTTTTTTGACATTTGATGGATTTGTAAAGATTTATGATATCATTTAAACTAGAGATGGCTAGAAACATATTTTTAATTGTGAATTTATGGCGTAAAATAATTTAATTTTTGAAGTCATTAGGGAGCTATAAAATCATTAACTTGGCAAAGCCCTTCAATGGATAGTATGATTGCTACATGTGGTGATTAGGATAAGACAATAAAAGTTTTTAAAGAAACTGGAAAAGTTTGGAGAGAAATAAAATAGATATCAGATAATAGAAAACCATTGAAAGTTTAATGGATTGAGAATGAACTATAATTATTAATAGGTTATTATGAAGGAGATATTGAAATTAGATAAGGGGATAATTATCAATTAGCTTTTAGTATTAAAATGTTTAAGAATTTAATTGATTTTGATTTACAATTAATGCAGCAAGATGCTATTCTTATAAGTAGTGGAGTAGGTGGAGATTCAAATTATGTTTTCTAAATCCAAATTATAAAATTAGGTAATAAAGAAAAGATTGATTTTAAATCAAAATTTACTTAACCGTTAGCATCATAAATTTAAAATCTGAAGATAGCTCCATATATTAATGATAATGAAATAAAGGTAGCCGGATTATATGACAATAGAGCAATAATAATATTCATAGAGTATAATGAATAGTTAAGCTAAAATATTGATAAAATTACTGATTAATTTATAGACATTGACTCAAATGTTTGGTAATTTTAATGGTCCATATTTGGAAATGAATTACAAATATATACTGAAAATGGAGTGAGAGTTTATTAATAAAATATTGATGATAAATTTGTGATATTGTGAGATATATAATTTAAGATTTTAAGAATTAACTGTTGATGTATATTATACATAAAATGTTATCAAACAATAAATGAAATTTCTGCACAAGCAAAGTTGGCTCCTTTGGCATTTTGAAACCAGAATTAACATGAAATTTTACCCTAATCAAATTTAAATAATTTTTTACAGATGGAGTATAGGTAGGGAAATTTTAAGTAAGGGAATAACTGACAGGATCTCCTTTATCATAAACTTCATCTTCAGGATAATTATCTTCAAAAGCTTCAACCCCATTCCATTTGGCTTTAAGCAACACATTTGCTAATTCTACATGTAGATTAGCATTTCCATATAGTGTAATGGTTTCATCTACTCCTTTGGCTGGTTATACACTAAATGTAGCGCTTGTAAAAACGATTTTTGGATCAGCCATACAATTAGTCACTTTAGTTGGTATTGCAGCAAATGCAGTACCAAGAAGAAGAGTGATAAGACAATAATTCATATTTTAATAATATTATTAAACAAATCCTAAAAATGTGCTACTATTTGAATTCGAAAATACGGAATGGAAAACAATAAAATCTTTATTAAATAATATTATTATTAGGATTTATGAAAATTTGATTATTTATATATAAATTAATTTATTTATGGGTTTATATTTAACAAAGCCAGAGACAACAAAGCTAACCCAATCAGGTAAAGTGTTTGATTTTGCTTATACATCAACATCGTTGCAAGGTTGGTAAATTCAATAGGATGAATTTGTAATAATTAAAGAGAAATTTGATCAAGAGAATTGTTTATTCTGCATAGTAGAATAATATGGTGGAATGGAATATGGCAAATATATTCAAGATCACATAATAGAAGCACTAATTAGTGATCAAGAATACAAATAGAAAAATTATGATAAAGCGATAATTGGTTTGTATGAACGATTAGATAATTAACTAAAAAATTAATTTAAAGATAGCACTAGTTATTAAGGTGTAACTTTATTATTAACATTAATCACTAATGAAAACATTTATGTAGCTAATGCAGGAGTAATATAAGTATTTTGATTAATAGTTATCGAGATGTGTTATTAGATATGAAGGTAAGCATAAAGTAATGACTGTTGAACATTATCCAATGAATGATCTTGAAAAATAAAGAATCCTTGCAGCTGGAGGAGAAGTTTGGGAAAATAGATTAAATGCTCATCTCCCATACAGTAGAGGACTAGGAAATTTCGAATATAAATCCAATTCTAATTTAGATTAGAGTAAATAATTGCTTATCTCTGTTCCAAGCATTAAATACGTTGATAAAGAGGAAACTTAGTTAATCTTAATGGGAAGTCATGGTAACAATTATTAATTTGATAAATTTTAGGATTTTGGGAAACTTGGACAAATAATGCTATCACAGAACTTATTCTAGAGAGGATTTAATAAGGAAAACAATTGCCTGATATATTAGAAACAATTTGTGATTCGATTATAGCTTAGAATGTTGAATCTGAATATGGTAAAGATAATATCTCTAGTATTTTAATTTATTTTTAAAGAGAATAAAAGCAAGCTATTTGAGTTTAATCAATGATTTAAAATAATTAATTTATAATATCTAAATGTAAAAAAAACAAGAATCTCATCCTTTTTTGTAAAGCCAATCTGAAGTACCGTTTTAATGTAGAGTTGTTCGAAAACATTTTTTCAAAGATAGAGTTTATTAGTTAAAATTATGGAATAACTCAATCACAATGACTTATGTAATTGAAATTCATTTATCATAGCATTTAAATATTGATGCTCCAAAATATATAATGAAAATTGAAGAATTTACTACTTTTGAATGGTTAATCAAACAACAACGATTGATTGGTTTTACATTTCCTTATTAGGGGAAATTCAAAGAGTTTTACGCTGATTAAAGTGACCTTATCTTACTCAGATAGAGATTAGGCAACAAAATGATTTTCCTCAATCTAAGTTAAAGCTATAAATATCTTTCAACGTTAGAATCAGGGTCGTTTGGTTAGGTTTTTTTATTTAACTACTATTTGATAGGTTACGATGAATGAATGTTATTTTAATAATAAGAAAGTGGCTATTAAACATATACTGCTAAATGGAAAAAAAGACCAATAAAAACAAATAGAAAATGAAATCTAGATTCTCAGATCGATTAAACACCCAAGATTGGTCGAGATCTATGAAGTTTTTAAAACTGAACTCTACTACTAAATTGTGACTGAATTTATAGAAGGTGATAATTTAAAACAGCTAATAATAAATAAATAAAGCCAAATTAAAAATGAAGAAATTTTAGAAATTATGCAAGTATAAATTAGATAAAATTTAAGTAATTACTTGAAGCTTTGACTTTTCTTCATCGCAAATAAATCCTCCATAGAGATGTCAAGCCAGCCAATATAATGTATCATAATTACAAACTAAAATTAATTGATTTTGGGCTTGCTTGTTATGATGGAAAATAATTATCTGAAAATCCTAATTGTGGTACAGAAGGCTATGTTGCACCTGAAGTCTTAAATGTTCATCAGACTAAATTTAACTACGATTTTAAAGTTGATGTCTATGGAGCTGGATGTGTTTTATATATGCTTTTAACAGGAACACGAATGCAATCATAAAATTGTTCAAATTTTAGTTTTCAAAAAAATAAAACTTATTAAAATAGTGAAAATAGTTAATTATTCGAATTGGTCAAAATCATGACCAGACCTAATCCACTTGATAGACCATCTAGTTATTAGTTGCTAGAGTTAATAAGATTAATTAAAGATAATTGTACTTATGATATCAATTTATGGTATAGTAATGCATTTAATCTTTCTAATTCGAATAATTCTTATTAAACTGCATCTACAACTAGATAAATTCACACTTCAAAGAATTAAAAAAGTGTTTGTAGTTTCAATAGTGCTAGAGGTATCGGTTAAACTCTTAGCAAATAAATTATAAAATGATTATATTGATTTTAATGTTGTTTTATTGCAAATTGCTTTAGATGTTTTAAAGAATAATTATTTTTTAATATTTGTATGAATTCTATTTTTATCATTTAAATCTCAATAGAATACCTTTGAATATGGGAACTCCACCAAAACTTAACTAATAAAAAGGAATAAGAATATTACATTGCTTATTTAATTAGAACTTTTCTCATAAACTTATTGAGACTTCTTCTAACTTAATTTAAACTCCCAAGAGCGGGATCTCTCACGAGGATCCTCTATTGGATCTTCAGCAGGTCCACATATAGGAGTTGTCAACTTTTTTACTTTTTAAAATATACATACTTGAGACTTGGATTTCTGTTTATTTAAGGAGGGGACTGCTTAGGCTTATCTTTCTTTCTTCAGGATATGGCGTTATTACTTATATTACATAGATTCTTGATACTTTTTCAACCTTTTTTAGATATAAACATTGAGATTTGAGAATGAAATTTTTCATGATCAAACTTTTACATACTTCTTAACATTAGAAGAGATTTTTGAAGAAATAATCTAACTGTATTCTTCTCTCTTCTAATAATTCTTCATTGTCATTGGTGGATCTCCACCAATTAGTCGGAGGAAACTTCGGCAAACTCGCTTTAAGAGTCTATAAGGATTCATGCAATAATTTTAAATGGGAATAGCGATAATCAACTGAAAAAGAGCATCTTTGATGATGTTCGGTGAAACTATGTTTTAGAATCTGATCAAATTCTTACATTAATTGATAATAGACAACATCATCATTCTTTTTGAAGGAGGGAACACAAATTGAGATAGCAAACTCATTTTCTTACATATAATTATTTATTTAATGTTTTTATATTCTCACTTTTTGTACTTTTAAAATGTTTCTCTTTGTTTACTCTTATTTCTACCTTAAGAATTCACTTAAAATGAAAACTAACTAAAGTTCCCATACTCTCTCTATTTTTTAGTTATAACAGATATTATGATTACATATTAATCAATTAAATCTTATATTCTCAAATAATTTATATTACAATATATTACGTTAAAAAGATTGAATGTTATAAAATAATTATAATTAATTATCAAGAATTTAGAATTTCTCTTATTTGCTAATACTCTAAAATTAAATGTTTAATCTAAGCCATAAAAAGAATATCTTACTTCATAAGGCGCTTGAGACTTAAATTTTAAATTGTAATCTTTTATTTTACAAGTAAACTCAATAGGAAAAGACTTTATTTCTGTTATCTCAACATAATCAATCTTTTTTAGCAAAGTTGGGCTTTTTGTATCTATGAAATGTAAACCATTATAATTTAATCCTTCTATTATAAATTTTAATACCAATAAATAATTGAGCCTTCAATTAAAATCCAAAATCTTTTGACTATAAAATTTAAATTGTTTCTTTTGAGCATTCTACAAAAAATTATTGCATCCCAAACAAAAAATTATTCTAAAAAAAATTTCTTATGAATAAATTTAATAAATTCTTAATATTCTCATCTCTATTATTGTTGTTTTATTACATCTATTGTTATTATCTTTAAACTTCCATAAGTTTTATTTCTATTTCTGATAATTCTCTTTAAATCTATTCCAACCATAGTTACTTTGAATGTTATTAAATTATAGAACTTGACATTGTTTTTTTCAATATATTCTAATTTATTTTTTACTTGGTTGCAATTATATAGTATGCAGTAATCAAACAAATATCTTTGAAACCTAAATGGAATTCTTCATTTTTTGCTGAAAATACAATTTCAAACATTAATTATTACTATCGAATATCATCCTTTAGATATTCAATTTCTTCCTATTTCCAAGGTAAATATATATATTTTCGAAAAATAAATTGAAATTTTGTCCCATAATTAAACATATTTTTTAAAGTCTAAAAAAATCTAGATTTGCTTTTCTCTAAAATAGTTGATATCTTTTCATCATCTTCTATTACTCGCAATGTTCCTCCTGTTTCTTCAAGAAAAATTTTAAAATCAACAAAATAGTTTAATTTCATATAATTTGCAACAGCCTTTTTTATAAACCAAGTCAATGTATTCTTTTAAAATCCAACTTAGAGTTTTTGTTCAGATAATAATATTATTTCAATACAGAATGGCAAAGAGGATGCCTAATTTCCAATTTTTACTATTTATTCATCTTTATTTATATTTTAAGAAACATTCTATTCTAGACATTATTGTAGAAGTTCCAATGAGATAATCTATTATTTTTAACTTTATCTTATTGGTATACTCTAAAACTATTCTGGGTTTTATCTTTTTAATTCAGGAAAACTATAAAATCTGCAATCTATATCTAAAATTTCCAACACTTATTTTTAATATTCAGAGTTTTCAATAATATATGGTGAATTTAGAACTATTTATAATAATTACTCAATTTTTAACTTTCTTTCATCAATTGCTTTTTAGGTTCTTGATGATAAACTTCTTGGCATAATTGGAATTTTAAGTTTACTATCATATTTATTGACAACTTATATTAGACTTTTTATTTATTTAAACCTTATATGGCTTTTGATATTAATATTATTAATTGCAAAATTTGTTTTATAAAAAGTAACTTTCTTGTTTAATTTTAGATCTATTACAACACCTAAAACTTCTACCTTAATGCAAATATTATTCTCTAATTTTTTATCATTTTTTGTTTGAAACAACTCAATTTATGAATTAATTATACTTTAAATCTTGGTCATCAATATTTTTTTAGAATTGCTATCCCCATTAACTATTACAATAGTTTCATTACGAGTGATAATTTCAAAAGAATTCTTTAGAATTACTAAATCTTGTATATCTTTTATATAAGATTAATATGTAATTGGAATATGTTATTTGTATTTTAAAGTATTAAACTTATTTTTTTTTGCAAATAATAGCAAATTATTAAATGCATATATTGTAATTCTTTATTCTATTTTGTTGGTAAATGTTGAACAAATATCTTCAAAAATGAATTGTATGTTAGGTTCAAAAATATGCAAATTTGAAATATTTCCAAATTGTTAATACAATTCTATAAGTTTAGCTTGTTTTAATTAGGCGTTCATTTCATTATTATTTTTATCATTAATCTTTTCAATTGTTTCTAAACAAAATTTTACATTCTAATAATCTGGATGAGAAGGCATAGTATGTTTTAACAAATCCTTGAATAAAAGTACATACTTTGGTAATCTTTAAACAGGCTTGATAGTGTAATCATTTAATGAAAGGCCTTTTAATAAATTTTATTATTTAACATCTTACAAAAATTACTCAAACCCAGGGTAAGTTTCAAGTTAACAACACAATTTTCTAGCTAAATCATAAGCTTTACAATATTCATAGTAGAATATAAATCCATGAAGTAGTGGAACTATATTTTACATCACAATAGCATTTGGATCCATCAAATTATTTTACTTTTATAATTCACCCAAAAATTCTGTGTTAAATTTGAGAATATCATCAATATTAAACATGATCTTAATATCATCTTGCTTTTTTGGAAATTTTTCAACTAATAAAGCTTTAATCATATTCAAACTATTTAAATCAGTGACATACTTGTCTTCTGTTTAAATTAACTCATTTAACACATTTATTCTATATCTGTTCATTTTTTATATTGCTTATTATTCTTTTTCAATCATTTCCATTCTTTCCTTTTTAAGTTTATATTTAATAAATCTTTAGATGAATAAAATCTTGTCAATTTATTTTAAATAGTAATTATCATCTCGTACTAAAATGAATTAGTTTTATTTATTGATAATAATTTTTGATTTTAAAATTGATTATTATTTATCTTGAATATTTATTTATTATTAATCAATCGATTCTCTTTTAAATCTTTTAATATCAGTTCCTAATTCATTAGTGAGAATACCTAAACAAATTCTGTCTTCACTTTATAATTCTTTATCATTGACTTATTCAATTAATTCTTTGGCATAAATTTAATTATTCTTTTCAATATTTTTATCTGATTCGTCTTAAAGCTATGCTTACTTTTCAATTGTTTTTAATAAATATCCCTCTATTTTCTATTGATCCTCTGGGTTTTAACTTTACATTTTATTTAAGTTTTAGATAACATCATTTTTTCTTGTTGTTTAATTTTACTCTTAGTATTCTGATTGTCTACATAAGATATATTTATATCCAATACTTTTAGATCAAATTAAAATCATGTGGAACTTTATTAATCTTAATAGATTACGATATCTAATTTGATTTTTTTTGTTTTACTTGTTCTCTTTTTTCTTTCTCAAACGGTAAAGATCTATCATTGACATTCCTAGAATGAAAATTTAATTTTACATAGAGCAAAACTGATTGCAATATGAAAATTAATCAATTGTATACTTCAATAGTAATAAAATTTTTATTCATTAGGATATAGAAAAAAATCATAAATCAGAAGTTGAGAGAATGAATTCATAAATTTTCTCCTCGATTGAAATTATATTATCAAAGAATACGTTCAGGAAGATAGTATAGAAAGAATTTTATCTAATAGATATTAAAATAAAAATTATAATAAAAAAGATTATAAAAAAATATTACAAGTCTTCTATTCTAAATTTACAATCTTTCTTAACTTTTTCTATTAGAATGTCATAAAATTTTATAGATTCTAAAAAACTTTTGATTTTTAAGGAACTTGAATGGATTTAAAAATATAATTCCTGAATTTTTTAGATAATATGCTTAAGGAAATAGTATATTTATACTGATTATCAAATTTCTGTGTAGAATAAAGAATAAATTAAAAAAGAATTAATAATGTACATGACATGATTATAAACCAAATAATTTTTATATTATTTTCTTCATTTTGATCATTTTTTTAATGATAAAATATTATGGTAATTAAATTTCAACCAATCAAATAGGAACTACTAAACAAAAATTCTTGTGTTGTTCTTTTAACTGATTGTTGAATTGTACATTGAAAATAAATAAATCTTAAGAATTGAGCAAATTAATATTATGAAAAAGGTTTAGTAAGACAAAAAAATGAAAAAACTTTCTAATAAAGAATAATGAGGTAATAAAAATTAGAGAATGGCTTTATGTCTCATTTTAATACCTTCGATGATGGCTTATTTTTATATTACTTGGTATTTTTTAAAACCATAATGTTAATTGTTGATTAAAAAAATCGATTGAGAAAAATATAATACTCAGTATATGTATGTATACTAAGATATAATAGATTTTGTGCAGCATTTTTCACTCACTAAGGAGCTTAAAATAGTTAATAATTTAATAGGAAAGAATTATTGTTGAAGTTATTATTTTTTTTGATTGATAGTTTAAGGAATTTTATCGGGAATATTAGGATTTAATTTAATATTGATACTTTAATACATTTATATTAAGAATAACATATTAATCAAGATTTAAAGTAATTAATTTTGCCATAGACAAAAAGTCTGATATTTAAAAGGTTAATAAATTTCAAAAAGATATTCCAATAAACACTTTATTTTTATATTCATTCCCTTATACTAAACTTATTAATTTTTCAACTGATTTGAATTCTAAAATTATAATTTGGAATTTTATATTGATATAAATATTCAATTCTGCAGAGTTCTTAAACATAAAAATATAAGTATGCATAGTTTGTTTCAACAAATTATGGATATTTAAAGACGTAGATGATATAAAACATCTTATTAATAGTTGCTGAATTCAATTGCCTATTTTAAACTATTTCATCTAATCTATAAGATAAAAATCCAATTAAATTCTTGATGTAAGAAATTCTATTGATTGGCATCTGGATTAGAATTTTATCCCTCTTATAGTTAGATAAGTTTAAAATGTTGGTTTACAAAGATATGGATTAGTTAATGTTAATTGGTTGAGTTCAAACTTAAAGTGATGTCAAATAATTTCATTTTTTATATCTGATCCTCTATTTTAAACTTGCTTATCATTATATATGATAAAGTAGTTTTAATTTAAAAAATTTTTAAATCTGTGATCTCCATTATATTTTATGAAGATAGACCTACTTTTTAGTTGAAAGGTAGACATTTATAAATTTTTATTTAATAGATTTATAAAATAATGAGAGATAGTTTCTTTAGGAAATTAAAAAAAAAAATATAAATAGGGTTTGTATTTTCAAATTATAGCAGAGAGATATGGAAGTGTATAAGAATTGGTGGATAATTTTTTTGAATAATTATGTAATTAAGAGTTAGAAAATTTTCTTTAAATTTAAAAAATATTTTTTTTTAAATATCTTAATATGTAATAATTCCAAAAAGAAACACAATAACAAACAATACCTGCAATGTAGAGTTAACAAAATAATTAATAATAAAAAACAACGATTTATATTGAGAATTTAGACTAGGTAAGAATAAATTATATACTAATTAGGGAATTTCTGAAGATTATTTATATCGTAAATTTAAAGAAATAGGAGAAATATAGAGCTTAAAAATCACAAAAGATAAGTCAACATAAAAATCTAAGGGGCAGGCATTTATAACATTTATACACCCAGATTAAGCTGAAGAAGCTAGGAAAAAATTAAATAACTAAATATTCATTAGAAACATTATTAGAGTTAAACCTTATTTTAATTTTCATGGAGCGGATAAGAAAGCTAATATCTTTATACATAATCTACCTGAAGATGCAGATGATTTAGAATTAGAGTAAGAGTTCTCAAGATTTGGAACAGTCTTGTCAGTTGATGTTCATAGAGATTCAACAGGAAAACAATTGAAGTATAATTTTAAATTTAGTAATTTAGTTATGGGTATGTACAATTTGAAAGAAAGGATGATGCTGAAAATTTAATAAAGAGAATATAAAATCATCCAATTATTCACAAAGGAAAACTTTTAAAATTAGAATAATTCAAAGCATAATCTGAAAGAAAAGTGGAATCAACATCAATTTATTTAAGAGCATTTGCATCTTAATTACCTAAAGAAATGATGAATCATGATATTGCTATAAGATCTTTTGAGTATGGTTGGTCTTTGGTAATTAAAGATTACTTAATAAGAATATAAGGTGATTAAGTGAAGGATTGTTTTGTTAAAATAGATTAAGTAACAAGACAACCATGGGCAATGATTACATTTGATACTTATGAATAGGCTAAAGTAAACTTAGATATATGTGAAAATTAAAGAAAACATCCTTGTTTTAATTCAAGTGCTCATAATGCATTTGAATTAATTAAAAAGCATGGACCTCCTGCTAATAGTGATGGTAGTTTATCATTTACTGTTTAATAAATTACTCCCTTTTTTGAATAAATGATTAAAGATCCATTTGATACATTTAAAGGAATAAGTGATAACTTCTTTTATAATATGGTTTATAGTAAACATTTAAATCCAGATGAAAGATTAATAATCATTTAAAATATTAAAGAAGATGTTACTCAAGAACAAATTATTGAATTCTTAGGATAATTTGGAAAAATTATTCGTTTAACAGTTAGAAAAACAAAAAATCCAAAATTTTAAGTTTAATAATGCTTTGTTCATTATTAAACTATGGAAGATTCAAAAAGAGCTCGTTCAGAACTATATGATGATTCAAATTAAAAGATAGTTAATTAAAGAAAAAAAATATTTAAAGATGGACATGCTGTAGCAAATATCTTATTATCTAAAGCCATGAGAAAAGAATTTAAAGATATTAAAAAGTAAAGTTAAAATATATTTACAAATCCTGGAGGAAGGTCATTATTATAACCATAAATTCCTAATTTTATAATGCCTCCTCAAATGCCAAACCCTTATCCTCATTAACGAAGAAATCAACCTGGAGGTTTTAAATATCCATTTCCACCATAAAACAGACCTATTAATAAATTTCTTCCTATTATTAAACCTAATGAACTTATCAAACCTGTTGAAAAATAATAACCAACCTTTTTATAAGAATTTATGGACTATCAAACAGTTTAGAATAGAATGGAGGATTTCTTAAAAATACCTACTAATGCTTAAAGATAAGTTTTAGGTAATTTACTATTCCAAAGAGTTTTTGATATTGTCAAAGAAAAAGAAATTACTAAAAAAGTCGTCGGTAATCTTTTATAATATTTTAGGTATGCTAATTGATCCTTCTCAATTTGAAATTGGAGACATCTTAAATATGTTTGAAGATAGTTCTGAACTTCAAACTTATATTGATGAAGGTTTACAACTGATTCGTGATGAATAAAAAGCCAATTGAATTATTAAAATTAAATTACAAAAAATATAATATAATATATTCACTCTAGAGCATGACTGTAATTCTTTTATTTTTCAATATTAGTATTATAAATCTATAAATTGGTCTTCATTTTTTTTACTAAAATTACTTATACAAAATATCAATAATTAAAAGAATAAAAGATAAATAAACTAGAAAATATAATGAAAATATCATTCGTAAATTGATTTCATAACTTTTTATCTAATCTCTGTTTATATTATTCCTTTAGTTTATTAATATTATTTCAATCTGTTCCTTGCATTTTGTAAAATTCCTTTATATTTTTTTGTTTTCTATTAAAATCAAGATTAATTTACTTTTTATAATTACATTTGATCTACATTTTATAATCCTTCAATCAAAGCATCTTTAATTGTTTTAAATTCTAGCTTTTTCTTTTCATCTTATTATTTAACCATTTCCATTAATTAATCAAATGAAGTAGGATACAATTTTAAAAATAATTCTCTAAATCGTTTTTAATCATCCACATCAAAAATATCTTAAAATTTAGCTCTAGGAATAAATAATAAAAAGCAATCTTCTAAAGCATTAATTTCTTCAGTTCTATTTTTTAATCCCAGAGTTTCCTATGTGACTATCTCATAATATCCTAATAATGACTAAGGTTCATATTTAATTGTGATTTCTTATCTAGTTGCAACAGTATTTTATAACCATACTTTAGTTTTTACTGGCCATCTATTTGATTTTTCTAAATTAACCACAACTTTTTTAACGAGAATACCATTTTTTACTATATAAAAATTATCAATAGGATCTCCAACTTTATATAGACAATCTTTTGCAGACATGAATTTCCCTTTCAAATCATCACATAATCTTTAAATTTTGTAAGGTTAAAAGTTTCTAAAGAAATGAATTTAATTGATAAAATTAATCCATTTTGGTCTCTCTATTTTAAATAGATTATTCAAGCATTATTAATAGTCCCATCTACTCAAAATTAATATATGCGAGTTTTATGTACAAATTAATGTAGCATTTCTAGGAGCATCAGTTTCTAATGCTTATCTTCCTAAATGTTCATTATCATGAAATTCTTTTACACAAATATCCTAAAAATTTAATTTAAGAATTTACTTTTATCATTACTTTCACAGTTCCTTAAAAAATGATGAACATACAATTTCCGATTTCACCTATTTTGCATAAAATTAAATCAGATTCAGATCTAATTTCCTTATATGTTAATCTACCTGCCAACTCTTGCAAAAGTACTAAAGGCATTAACTTGAATAAACTCAATTTTTATAGATACAATGCTACAATTTATTTTTAGGCAGAATCTCTTTTGAAGGTTTCCATTCTACAGATTGAGACAATCTTTAAGTTAATATCGAAATCACTTAATAACCATTTAATTGATTGAATACCTATGAGATTTCCATTTTTGAAAGTCATTTCTTTCTGAAATCCATTTAGGAAAGGAGAATTCATAATTTAGGTTGTTATTAATTGAATTAACTTAAACAGTTTACTTTTGTATAAGTCTTCTACTATCATGTTAACTTTTTCTAGCAGAAGATTAAACTAGAGATCTTTAGGTTTACAAATTGCTTAAAGAAAGTGAAAATTTATTTTTTTCTAGTCTTGTTTAATTTGGACTCTGATTGCATGTCTTCGGTTCTTAATCAATATAATTGTTAAAAAATTCTTTTCTTTCAGTTTAATGTCCATCATGAAATAACATAGTTCCAAACTTTTATCGATATTTTTTAAGTTCTTTTTCATGACATTCTTCAAATATAGGTTTCATATATATAAATAATAAATAAGAAATAAACAAAAAAAAAAAGTTAATATTCATAATTAAATATTTTCTAAGAGTTTAATGAATTCTTCTTCTTCTATAACTCCATCTTTATTAAAGTCAAACTTATCTAGAATATCTTCCCAAGCTTAACTATCAATTTCTATTCCTCCAAAAATACTTTCTAATTCATTTTTACTTATTACACCATTACCATCAATATCAAACATTTTAAAAGCATTTTTTATATTATTAAGAGTTATTTTTTATTAAAGAACAAGAGCAGCAGATAGAAATTCAGTAAAATCAACCTTACCAGATTCATTGACATCTAATTCTTACATTAAATCATTTACCATAGTTTCTGCTTAAAAATGATCAATATCTGCAGTTAAAATTCCTTTTAATAGTTCTTCTCTGCTTAATGTACCATCTCCATTAATATCTAAAGATTTAAATGTTTAAGATAATTTAATGCTTTCTTCTTTATTAACTAATTGAACTGAAATAAACTAAATAATAGCTGCTCTTAATTTATTTTAAGCAGAAAATTAACTAAGTGTTTTGATTATATTGTAATCTTAAACTTCATTATTTTCATTATTTTCAGTATTTTATATCCAAATATGGTTAAAAGCTTCTTCCATATTAATTCTTAATTTTGGATCTACAACTATCATTTTAGTGATCAAATCTTTGACTTAATCACTTGATCTATTCCAACGTTCATGACTTGTATTAAATTTACCTTATTTAGCTAATTTTAAAGTTTCTATATCATTTTATCCTTTAAAAGGTGGTCTACCTATCATCAAAATATAAAGAATAACACCACAAGACCAAACATCAACTTTTTAATCATATCCTGGTTCTGATATTACTTCTGGAGCCACATAATAAGGGGTTCCAACTTTTTTTGTTAAATAAGATTCATTAACCATTTTTTCACTTGCTCCAAAATCAATCACCTTTAAATTAGCATCAGGATCTTTTGAATCAAATAAGATATTTTCTGGCTAAAATTTTATTTTATAAATTAATACTTTTAAATCTCTATGTACTATATTTTTATGATGACAATATATTATTGCTGAAAATACTTATTTCATATATTTAGCTGCCAATCTCTCATTATAATTAGTCATTGTTTTTATTCTATCTAATAACTCACCTCCTTAACAGTATTCAGTTACTATATAATAATATTTAAAATCAGCAAATATTTCCAAGACTTTTACTATATTTGGATGATCTAAAGTTTTTAAAATTTCGGTTTCTTCTAATAATTTTTCTTCGCAATTGATTGTTTTTCTAAGAATTACTTTTACTGCTCTCAAATTTTCAGTTGATAAATGTTTTACTAAATAAACCTCACCAAATCCTCCTTATCCCAGTTTCTTTACAATTTCATAATGGGACAGAAATTTCTCAGTAATACATTACTTTCTAACCAACATCTCTGGTGTTAATTTCATTTTCCCACTAATTGTTTTTCTAGCCATGTCTGAATTATTTTCTTACTTATTTTTAGTTTATTCTTAATCCTATTCTTAATCCTTTTAATAAATTTATTCTTTCGATAAGGAACTTGATTTAATTCCTGTAGTTTATTTATCTTGAAACAATATTTTTGTTGTAACATTTTAAGCATTATTATTGTTAATCTCTATATCTATCTAATCTAATTATCTATCTTCTATTGTTAAGACTTAAGTTAAAATGTTTAATACCTGCTTCTTCTTTATACAATTTAAATGTACAACAACCCATGGTATTAAAAAAGTAAAATATATTTTTTATAAGATTATAAATTTTGGTATTATGTTAATCAATCTATTTTTTGATAAAATAAATATATTTGAAACATAATCTAATTTTCAATATATCTATCAATTTTGATTTCAGAGTTATTTAAATTCATTTTTTTTATTAATACATCATATACCTTTATCATTTAAATGATAAATTTTGATTCTGATTTATAGAGTTCTCTTTCTAATTATTCTCTTTCTTTTTCATGTTTATATTCACAAAATCTTTTTAAACTTTACATACTCCATTTTATCAATTTTTTCTAAATCTTTAAGTTCCTTTCTAAATTCTAAGGCTTATTTAATGCATTTTTTGTTTATGACAGAAAAAAATAAAATTTATTCATTTACATTTAATATGTTAATGAATTAATCAATCTTTTTAATCAAAAAATAAGAAACATTTATCAAATTTAATTAATAATGTATTACAAAATAATTTCTCCTCATCTCATTTTAAATTTTTACATTGTCCAGAAGCTAAAAATAAATATATTATATTATATTATAGTTTTGATGAAGTTAAAAATTACAGAATCATTAAATTAATATAACTTTGCACCAATCACCATTTTTTTATATTAAATTTAATTTATTTATCAAATAAATTTACAAAAAAATTGATAAAAAATTATCCAATTTTTTAATAAAACACTTATTGTAAAATTACAGTTGTATTATTATCTGAAATAGATGAGATTAATTTATAAATGTTATCATAATCATTTAAATTAATTAATTAGATAATTTATTAAAATTTGAATGGAATAAGAAGAAATTACAACAAATTTGTAATAAATAGTATAAGAGGATGAAAAGTAAAATCAAATTTTCATGAATATTTAGTTAAAATAATGTCCGACACAACGATATTATATATTTAAAATCATATTTACCTGAAGATAATAAAGGTCTAATTTCTGGTGATGGATTTGCAACAAATAAAGTTGAATGCCTTCTTCTTTAAAAATAATCAAATGATTTTTTTGCAAGTAAATAAACCGACTTTTTACCGATAAAATAACCAGAAAGTTTATAAAACAAATCAGCAGAATGGAATATTTTTAAGTGTTTATTTAGGATTCTTGATAGTAATCGTTTCAATATCATATAATCAGGAAATGAATGCGATTAAGAAACTCAAATAGAAATTTAAGAACCTAATGAAAGTGACACAAATATCATATATGGATAAGACTTTTATTTATAACATTTATATTCAAAATGTTATTTAACATTAAACAGTTAAACTTTAGCAAAAGAGAACTGTTGTAGAGAACTTAGATTAGAAGAAAAGAATACACTTATACCTGATTATTCTAAATTTATGTTTTAATCGAATACCAAAAGCTATGGTGAACCAGTAGTATATGGTGATATTCTATTTTTAAAAAGCGGTGTTCCTCATTTAATTTAATGGGGATTAGGAATATCATAGAAAAGTCCTTTTTCTGATGTTCATGCTTCATAAATTGCTTCTAAAATTAGAATTTGTAATTATGTCGTAAATGATAATGAAATTATGAACGGAGATATTATTGTTTTTAAAAATAGACTTTTTGGAGGTTATTTGAGTTTAAAAAGAGAAAAATCATCAACTAAGTTACTAAAAAAAAGAAATATATATAAAAACAATTAAATTTTAGAATAAGATTATATCGATTTATACGAATTTAAATCATAAGAAAATTTAGATGAAATGTTTAATATTACATTAGAAAAGGATCTATAATTAAATTCTCTTTGGCAATTAATAGGTTTTAATAAAAAAGTTGATAAAATAATTTATAAAAGTTATATAATAAGAAATGTATTAACCGGAACTTTTTTATTTATAGAAAATGGAAAATTAGGCTTATCATATAATGGTTTAAAACATAAAAATGAATTTTAAATTAAGAACTTAAAAAAAGCTGAATAAAAAATAAATTCTGGTTAGTTTTATAGGATTTTAAGAATTTAAAAAGATCAAAATACTGATGAATCTTAAACTTTTATTATTTAATGTTCTAGTAATAATGAAGTAAATATAACTACAAATTGTTAAAAAACATAGTATGATTAATAACTCTTTAAAGTTGCTAAAAGTTCTAATCAAGATGCTATGGCTGCTAATAAAATTTAAGCATTTTATTTTGGAATCGTTGACTTTTATATATTTTTATAAGATTGGGCTTTGGATAAAGAATTAAAATATTAATATTATATTGCTGTCTATAATTAAAAATAATTATAAGATGAAATCAATTAATTTAAATAACTTTTAAAGAATATTAATTCTTTTTTAGATCAAGATAAAAATGTTATAATTGAAGAAACAAAATAAAATCAATTTAATCTATGCAAAAATGATATTTTAGATTTACTTATTAAATTACAATAATTAGTCAATTTAATATAGAGTTAAGACTGTTAAAAAGAGTTAGACTAAATGGATAAAACAGCAGAAAGAATTGCCAGATAAAAATTTGAAAAGAAAAAAAATTTTGATTTAATAGAAGAAGTTTACTAAACTATATATTCAATTATTTATGATAATTTTGACTGTTGTAATTAGATTATTTAAGAGGATACTGTTATTGACTTTTTATTTACTCAATTAAGTTAACATAGAGAATAAATTGAAAAAATTTTTAAATAAATAGTTTCTAAAGCTAGATATAATCCTAATATAGCTGAAAAATGGATAAACAGAATTTCTACAATAACAGAAATAAATTTAGAAGATTAAATTTTCATTATAACAATTATTAATTTATTTATTTCATAATCCTAACAAGTCAGTGTAGAAGGTTAAAATTTATGTAGAAAGATGCTTTTTTAAAATAAAAAATGCAAATTGTTAAAATGTTTGATAATAGAATAATTACCACTACCTATCTTAGAAATAGAAGCTGAACCTGAAAATTTTGCAAAAAATAATGAAAAATTTTATCAAGATCATCATACTCATTATCCTAACCTAGTATAAAATCAAATTTGTTTTGAATATTTTACTTAATATGATTTACATTAAAATTATCATAAATATGAACAATATTTGCTTAATATTATGAATTTATATGCAATCATGTGTAGAGGTAGAAATTTTAAGAATATATAATTAATAAAAAATGTAGTAGGTATTAATGATTAGTTCTTTAGAAATTTAATACATTCTAAACATAGTTTATCATGCAAATAAGCTATTATAGAATTGCTTTCATCCTTATATTTTGATATAGATCCTTTGACTAAAATTTCAATTTTCGAAAATACTTGTTATTTAAGTTAAGCTTTATAGGATTTTAATTAAGAATTAGAATCTGGTACTTATTTTTATGAAAATATATCCTCAATTAATCTTACAAATTCAGGTTAGTTTAAAAAATTTTAAGAGACTTTGGTAACCTAAGAAAATATGAAAGATCTATTGTATCTAAAATAATTTTCTTCACATATTATTACAAGTTAAAAGTATCATGAATATTATATAAAATTATTCTTATAAGATGAATATCCATAAATATTAAGGTCAGAATCAAATGGTGAAGTTAATTATAAAAAAATAGCTAAAATTTAATTGTAATTTTTTTTAAGTTTAATTCGATTAATTAAAAACTCGATTGATTTAGGATACAATAAATTATCTTTAAATAAAAAAATTTAAGAAACTTTACCGAATATATTTTTTATATTGAAAATTTAATAAAATTCAGAATTCAAAAAATTCGAATTTATAGATGACAAAAGTTTTTAGTAAAATAAGTAAACGTTGGAAGAATATATATCAAGTCTACCTTGTGAAAAATCTAATAAATCATGGATTGCATAATTTCTGCTATGGACAACATCAATTTGTACTGAATCAGATTTAATAGAATAGATATTTTTAGAATCCTTAAACATCTATAAAGTATTATTTTACTTATAAGCGAATTTATAAATCTTATAATACTTGACTCAAAAATAAAATTCAGAATTGTTTAAAAATCATAATACAATTTTATTTACTTGTTTACTTGGAAAAATAAAATTTCCAAATCTTAATAGTGAAATCTTGAAATATCTAATTTAAAGTTTTAATAATTACTCTTATAATTATAAAGAAATTAAAGAAGTTGAAATTCTTGACGATAAAATAGAACAATAATATTTTGGAATTATAAATGGACATTATGGAGCTAAAGATGTTTAAGGACCAAAAGAAATATAATAATGTGTTAAGAAAGCAATCAAATATATATAAAGTGATAATCAGAGATATAAAGAATCTTTTTAAAAAATATCTTAATATATTTAGAATTTAAATTAATTATTTGAAAAGATAATAAAAGAAAATCCCTGTTATTTCAAATCTTTCTAGAATATGGTTAGAAATGCTGGGATACATCACATTTTTGTTGAATTCATAATGAATCCAGATCTAATTATTGAAAATGAAGATGTTGTGTATTTTTACAAAAGTGTATTGAAATTTTGGGAAAATTTTATTAGAGGTAATTAAACTAATTTATAAATTTTGAAACCTAAATTAGATGTTCTTTTTAAAATATTATTAATACCATAACCTTTATTTTTAGGTGAGAAATTTTTATATAAGTCTTTATCAATTTCTAAGCTAGAAATTTATTGTGAATCTAGTTAAATTATAGATATAATTATAAATATTACTAATTCATTGAATTTAATTGAAAATTTAATCCATATTAGAGCTGGAAGATAATATTTAAAAGTTTTAAAAGGATTTACAAAAACACCCACAAAACTTAGATCAAATTAAATAAGCAATTAAAAAGAAATTTTACATTTAACACTTTAAAATTTTAGAAATTTAATAGATCCAAATCAATATTTTTTAGAAAATAATCAAAAAGATAAATAAATATAAACTAATATTCTTAGATATTCTTAACTCAAACTTCATTCCACTGCCTTAAATCTGATATCAGAATCATGTGAAAACTATTACTTAGGTATATCTGAGACTTAAAGAATTTTATTGTTTGAATAATTAATAATTGTTTTATAGGAAGAACCCTATATTGTAAAAGCTGCTTATTTAAGGTGTATCTTTGAATTATATATAAATTCAGTCGAATCAAATGATCTTTATAGAGATCTTATTGATAATCGTTAAATTAATGAATTATTTAAACAAATAATTATTCCAGATTTTTAAAAAATGGAACAATTTAATAAATATCATCATTTAGGCAATTCAATATTACTTAATAATAAAGAATATTGGAAATATATAAAGTATGTTTTTGAATTTCTAATTTTGGTTATAGATGAATTTAAAATTTAGGGAAAGCTAATTGAATGTAATTTTATTGAAAATTATAAAAAGATACTTATATTAATCTAAGATATGTTACTGAACTCATCCAATCATTTTATATCAGAGAACAGTGATTACATCAAATTAATAACTAAAATTATTGAATCCTTTGTTACAAATTAAGATTTCAATCTCGAAGAAAGATTATAAATTTATTGCATTAGATAAAAAATATAATAATCAGATTTAATAGATTATGTTGATTACAAATACGACATTAATAATTTAGAAAAGATTTGTAATATAAATAACAAAATTTATGTTAAATAAGAAGATAAAAATGATAAAAGTTGGATTAGTTTCAAAAAAAAAGCATCAAGTTTTCAAAATGAAATAAATTAATCTCCATCTTCTGATAAAACAAGGTAGAAAGCGGAAACGAATTTGTAAGATTTAAAAGAAAAGTTTCAAGTTGAAGAAGAAAATAAAGTTAAAGAATTTTTTAAGGAAAAAGGATGGAGTAGTGAAAATTAAAATCTTTTGTCTGAAGATTCATAAATTTAAATCTTTTTACATGAACTTCAATCATAGTCAAATAATTTTTTTGAAAAAAACAATTTTAAAGACTTTTTAAATGAATGTAAATAAATATTTTCTTAGAATTCCAATTATTTAATTAAATTATGTAAAATATTTTTAGAAATGAAAAAGCCAGATAAAAAAGCTATATTTAATGATGAAAGTGATAATGAAAAACATTAAGAAAAATACGAACAATTTACAATATTCCAAAATTTAATATCTGAATGTGAAATTCATGTATTAGCTATTGAATAATTAAATCATTAAAATATGAATGAATAATTAGATTCTTTAACTTTGTTACATCATTTATTAGATTTTGGTAATGCATAAGTTTAATAAAGATTTTTCATTCTTTTATAAAATCATAAAAAGCATAAAAAAATATTTATTCAGTTTTTTAAGGATTTTTATAATGCAGATGTGAACAAAAAATTAGAGAATTTAAGTTCATCTAAAAATACTAATTTTATAGTTATATGCATTAAAGTTCTTCAAGTTTTATAAGGATTATGTGAGAATGTTCATATAGAGTTTTAAAAATTCTTGAGAATACAAAACTTATAAGATTCTATTACAAATAATTTTAATTTTGTTTTACAAACAACTGAATTAATAGTAAACTTTTTAGAAGACAGAACTGTTGATAATTCCTAGAAATGGGATTTATATTAGTAGGGATTATAAAGTTTAATTGAATTTTCAACTGGAGATAATGAAAATAAAAAAGAGATAATAAAAATTCCTAAATTATTTTCTGGATTTTATTAGATATTTAATACCAAGATTACTTAATCATTAAGAGATAATTTTGATATTTTAAAGACACTCTACATTTATATTTAATTACTGTTATCTTTATTGGAAGGTAATGTAAATGATAATAAATCGGTTTATAAATTCTTATTAGAAAATTTAGATGATGAGTTCCTATTGAATTTGGCATAATATATTTATAATTCTAGAATACGAGTTAAAAAAACATATATATATGTTGATAAATATTGCAGTTGTAAGCAAAATTTATAATGTGATAAAAGTTTCTGTAATAATGGATATGTAACAAAAGAAGATTCTTTACTAATTGAAACTGGATTAAACATCCATATTATAGGTCTAAAATTGTCTAATTTTAGTAATGATTAAAAGTTTAAAAGATTTTATTTTGAAAGTGAAAGAGATTTAAATTAAGAAGATAATAAAACTTAAAAAGATTTTAATTAGAAATATCCTTTATCTAAAGCTTCTTCAATTAATCCTTAATTTACTAAAAAATATACTGAAAATTAAAATTAGGTTACTTTTTTATTAGATGGAATTAAAGAAGAAAAATAAAATAAATTAGACAAATTACCATTAGTAATATAATTAGAATCTAATTAATTTTATAATTAATTTATAGGTAGAATTGAGGTAGTGAATTAATGTGGTGTAATTGAAAGAATTTTATTTTAGAAACCTTTTGTTTGTAAATATATTACATAAAACATTAAATAAAGTTTGATCTATGAATCAAATAGAGATTCTGATGAAGATAGACTTAGTAGTCTTTTAGAGAATATCAATTTTTATCATGCTTAAATGATTCATTATTAAAAGATCAGTACTTTTCCAGTAATGCATTTTGGCTAAAAATATTGGAGAACTTTAAAAGATATTTCTTTTATTTTATGCGTTTTTATTGTTTTATTCTTTATTTTATTGCCTGATGATATATTAGATGATAGTATTTTTTATTTAGAAGATGAAAACAATAGTTAATCAAAAAAAGTAATAGCGGTGTTGTATTTAAATAATGTAATTTAATATTTATTAAATAGATTATAACAATAATTCAAATAATATTGAATTTTATTATTATAATATTTTGTGCTATTGAAAGATATCCAATTGCTGTTAATTTTAGAAGAGGAGCAACTAATGTTTAACATATTCAGAAACTTAAAAAGTAGGCAGGATTTAAAATTCCAGAATACAAATAGAAATATTATGAATTTTTTGGTTAAATGGAATAATATTTTGAATTACAAAAAGATTAATAGATACCTAAGAGGAAAATTATTGTATTACTTTTAATGGATTTCGATAATTTTTACAATGTATAATAATATTAAATATCTAGATAATGATATTTGGAATCACAGCTATTGCATTCTTCAATAATTATGTTTATGTAATATTATTATTAGATATTGTAAAAAGATCAGAGGTTTTAAAAAATATCATAAAAGCTTTTACTGGAAATACCAAAAACCTTATGGTATTTGGATTTTTAGGTTTAATAGGACTAGTTTTATATGGATTTTTAATAAAAATATCATTTAGTGATGATTTCAAAGATGAAACAAAATTTGCTTCAGATTCTTTGGGTTATTCTATCGCTCATGTTATTAATTTTGGTTTAAGAAATGGTGGTGGAATTGGTGATACTCTATCTGATTATTCTAATCCTTTTGATGAACCAAATCAATATTGGAAAAGATACTTTTTTGATCTAATTTTCTTTATCATCTTCAATATATTGTTTTTATAAATGATTTTTGGAATTATTGTAGATAAGTTTGGAGAATTACGTGATGCGAGATAAGAATTATTAAAAGACATTAAAGGCAAATGTTTTATTTGTAGTCTTGAAAGAAATGAAATTGATTCTAAGTAAATTATTAATTTATTTAATTAGAACTAAAGGAGGATGGTTCTAACATATTTTTTTAGAACATAATGTTTATCATATGCTCTTTTATTTAATTTATATTAAAAAAAAACCAATCACAGAGTGTAATTAATTGGAAAAGTACATAAAAGATTAAATACAAAATAAATTCTCTGAGTTCATTCCAGTTAAAATGACATATGAACTACAAAATTAACAAAAATAATAGTCATGAAAAACTTTTTAGCTATTTATATAGTTATTATAATGAAATCTATTTCAAAAATAATTTTAAAATAAATAAATTAATTATTTAAATCTATATTAAGTTTAAAATCATGAAAAATATAATTATAAATCATGATAGATTTGTATAATTGAAATCATTAGATGAAATCTAACTTTCATGCTTTAAAATAAATTAATAAACTTATTCACATTCTATATGAGTTGAAAAAGTTAAATAAATTTATTTATCTAATGTTACAATATGTAATGTTTAATTATTTGCTTTCCCATAGTTATTAATCAAATCATAATCTATGTGACATATATATTCTCTTTAATCTTAAGGAAGACTACAAATTAAACCTCTAAAAGTTATATTTAAGATAATTTTTATATTCGGAATACTACTTTTCTAATTAAACTCTTTTAGTGAACATTTGTAAGTTGATCCCAAAAAACGAGGAAATTGGTCTAATATTTCTAAAATCTTATATCTTGCATCTCTTGAATTTATTATTCTTTATTAATTATAATTTTAAATAATTTTACTCAACCTTTCATTTGAATCAAATGTATTCTTTTTAAAAAGTGGAATATATTCATTTATGTCAATTTATTCAGCTTTTAAATGTCTTTTTGGACCATAATCAGCAGCTAATTTAAGTGAACAAATTTGCTCAATTTCATCTTCATCTAAAGGGAAAAACTTATAATAAATTATAAAATTCTACATCATTTAAATAATCTTGAATTGCTACCATATATGCTAAAGTAAATATTTCTATATTTTAATATGGTGATGATATTTTCATTAATTTAATCACTAATTTAAATGAAGGTTGTGGATAATTTATTATTTCAGTTGTTTTATTGTAAGTTTGAATATGATCTTTTATTATTTTGAATAAACAATCATTATCATTCAAATAAATTTCATTAATCTTTTTACTTATTTTTATTAAACATAAACATAATTAATTTCGATGATTTAGATTTAGCTATTCAGAAATATAATTTAAAATATCACCACAATTTAAATCAACTTTCATTTCCATATAAAATTTTGCAAAATGATATAATTAAATTTCATATAATAATGGTTTCATATGCATTATTTTATTTATATCTTATTCAGTGAGATATAATAGATCTAAAAAATTAATATATGATTACCATTCTTAGTATTAAAAGTATGATATAATCTATTTATAATAAAATTACAATAGTTTTAATGTAATGAATTGTTCTCTTTTTTTTTATAAAAGTAATTTATTAAAGGTTTGAAATAGTCCTTACTAGGACAAGAAACAGAAGCATAAACTGCCATAAATTGATAATAATAGATTAAACTTTATGTTTTATTATTAGAAATCTATTTAACAATTTACATATAAATTTCATCTTTTATTGATTATTCCTATTTAGTGATTATTTCTAAAGCTTTTTACACTTAAATTTTTTAAAATTATATATACAATGAAATATAGGTTGATTTAAAGATTCTATTTCTTTAGTAAAACATAAAATGTGAAATAATGCAGTTTTTACTATTTCATTTTAATCATTATTTAAAGTCAATACACAATTTTTCAGGTCTAAATTTTTTTCATACTATAAAATAGTGGATGTTTTGATAGTGCTGAAAAATGATGGACTTTTCTTTAAAACATTAAAACTAAAGGTTTAAAAATCTGATAATTTAATATGATCAATAAATTCTGAAGAATACTTGTTCTCTTCAAAAAAACAATCTTAAGAAAAAGCTTTAAAACCTATTTTATAAAATGGATCTAAATAATTTTCTAAAACTATTTCTTATTACTAATTATTTGTTTCAATTTACTTTAACATTGTAAGAAGGGATGTTATTCTTTTAATAGATTATCATAACATGGAGACAATGGAGAATCTACATTATAATCACTATAATTATTTTCATCATTCTCAGACTCTGATTCTTAATTTACATACTCAACACTACAATTTTCATCATATTCATTTTCATTCTCAACATTTATGGATGTTCGATTTATCATTAAAATTATAAATATATAATTATTTATTTTATTTTCTCATTATCTCAATTATCCATTTAATACATAATGATCTTTAATCAAAAACATGTCTCTTTCTACAAGATTAATAATATTTTATAATTATTAAATCTAGCTAATTCTGAAATTTCTATAATCATTATAATCTTCAGCTAAAGTTTTACACATAGTATCTTTATCAATCTATAATTAATTTTTTATTTCATAAATCTAAGTAATCTTATTTAATTAATCTTAATAATTGTTCAGTTCCTTATTTATTTAGATTTATTACTCCTAAAAAATTTATTATAATTTTATTTTACTTAAAGGATATCAATCTCATCTTAAATTTATTAGATATTCTAAGAATAATAATTGATATTTGCTTAAAAATGTTACATATTTTCATCAAATTATTTTCTTATTTGATTTCTATTTTACTCAACTATTTCATGTATTTATACTATAACTTTATGTAATCTAATAAACATTAGATATTGATACTTTTCTAGATTTTAATCCTCTTTTTCAAATTAAGAAATGAGAAGTTTAATAAAATTATTATATTATTGCTTTTTTATCATTTTATTGATGACTTTTATATGATCTTGGATCTCTTATTTTAATTACAATAATTATTGGCTCTTCTGAATACTAAGTTAGTTCATAATCTTCTTTTCATATTAGAATCTTACATATTGAAGGAGTTCCAATAGTTCCTAATTTGTAAAAATTTACCTACATCACATTCTTTTAGATTTTAAATTTGATTCTCTTTTTCTTTTTCCATTTGCTAATTGTATTAATTAAATTATTCTTTATTAAATTACAGTTCTTTTAATTTTTGTTGGGAAACTTATAATTCAAATGAATTATTTAACAATTTCATCTTTTATTTAATTGATGATTCTTCATATTTTATTGCAATAATTTCATTTTATAAGTCATTCGTATTGCAATTTTCAAATTCTTATTTGAAATTTGCATCATCAATAATCTATTCTTCATTCATAGAACTATAAATTTCTTATAAAATTGATTTCAATCTAATTTTAAAGCAAATAATTACTTAGTTTCATCATATTGAAGTTGTAATAAGATAGTCTATTCTAGTGATTATCCAAATGAAGTTTGCTTTAAATCATCTAATAATTATAAGTGCCCAGTTGCGAATGTAATTATTAATAAAAACGATATAATTTTCATGATTATATTACTAATGTAATATAATTTATTTTTTTAATATGAAAATAAAGTGATAAGAAGTTCCTTTATTTCTCAAGTCTAATAACTTGAAAAGAACTATAGTTTTTGAACAACCTAATTATTTATTTATATTAAATTTCAGATAATTAAATTAATCTCTAAAATCTAGAAAAATATTGTCAACAAAATAAACAATCTTCCTAATTATTTACAAATGATAAAAATTAGTATCAAATATGAATAAATAAAATTTTCTTTTAATTGGGAAATGTTTATAATGAGTTTTTTTATAAATAAAGTCTAAAATTTGAATTTAATCTTGAATTTACTCAAAGAGATAGTTTGAAAGATATGTAAAATTATAAAGTTGTATATTATAATTTTTATTATTGAACAATTTAATGAGAAGTAACAGCTAGTAATAATAATCAACATAATAGTTAAAAGAAGTATTTAAATTTTAATATCAAGACAATTCATAAATTACAATAAAGAGATGCTTCATATAGATTGGAAATTGCAAAGTTAAAAAAATAATTAAATGAAAGAGATCATGAATACAAATTAGCTATAGATGAATTGTAAGAATTAAAAAGAATTTAGCAAAGAGTATTTGATAATTTATATTTTAAGGATAATCAATATATTATGAAAATAGACAATTATGTTATGAACTTAAAATAAAAATTGCATAAAGCAAATATTAAAATAGGTTCTCTTGAATCAAAATTATCATCATCAAGAGCTAAATAAATATCATCATAAGAAGATATTATAAATAATAATGAAACCTTTTAAACAGAAATCTCACAAATATCAAATCATTAGCCTATCATTAAATAATAATCAAATCGTTCCAATTAAACTTATGCTTCAAATAAACCAAAATTAATTTGTAAACCTGTTAAATTTTAACTGCCATACCCAAATACAGGATTTACAGAAAATTAAGATATTAATGAAAACTGTTCCTTTATCAAACCAAGTCCATTATAAGAATAAATTTTGAATAGAATTCTAGATGATGAAGAGTTCTCTACAAATTTATCCTAAAAATTAACTTAATTCTAAAGTTAATCTTTCAATTCATAAAAAAATAAAACATAACCAATTACATTCATTTGTAATTCTAGATAGAGTAACTTTAGTTTTGCAAATAGTGAAAAGAAACCAACAAATTTAGATAAAATTGCAAAAGGATCTAATCGATAGTGTAATTATTATATTATATAAAAAGATCACTCTGTTTCAACAGATGATAAAGAGAATACGCTCTAATATTTTAATTGATTCCATTAATCAAAAATAAATGAATTAAATATTATTAATATTATTTCAAAACTTTTATAATCAATGAATTTTAAGGTAATAATTGAGTTGATATAATCTATTTTACTTAAGAATAATATTTTAATGCAGTTTTTAAAAGTCAAAAATTTCATAAATTGCTTTTTTTATGTCTCATAAATTACTTTAGCTTCTGATTATATACAATACTAAGATTTTAAAAGAATTAATTTTAAAGTTTAATATCGTGACAACAGCAGAATTAAAAAGAATTAATTAGCTTTATCATCATTTTCTATTATTATAATATAAAAATATTGAAAATTGAATTTATTTGTTTATTAATAGAAATAAGTATAATATAATGTAAAACTCCTTAAATTCAAGTTTAGATTCCATAGACTTAGAATTATATCATAAACCTAATATAAAGATCAGATAAATAATAGATTATTTGAGAAAATAAAATTTGCAATTTTGCACTGATCCAAAAAAAAAATAAGATGATTATTATGCAAAGTTATCTGTATCTATTGATGAATTTTCCTTAAGAAGAAATAAATTTGCAAATAGAAAATCTGATATAATAATAGATTGCCCTGCTCTTTGAAAGTTTAAAAACTTAGAACAATTTTTCTTGAATATTTATAAATTCATCTTTTGCTTTTATAATTTATTAATATCAAATATGTTTCATAATTTAAATAATTATTTTGTATAGCAATTTTTTAGAATTTAAAAATTATTAGATTAAATAGTTTGATTGATAAAGCACAGTTTTTTTTTAATATAGAATACTCCTATATATTTAGTTGAATATAAGAAAGTTATAAATTGCAAAAATAAATATGGATAGAAATCTTGAGCATTAATTTGAGTAAGAAAAATAGCTTATAAGAATAAAATAAATAATATTTATGATAAAAAATCAAGAGGTAAATAAATAGAAATAGGATTTGAGTGTTAATTAATGTATTTATGTAATTGAAAAAGAAGAGTAAATGATTTATAGAATTAGTTTATATTAATATTAGTAATATTGATAAATAAATTATTACAATCATTAATTACCCGGGCAAATCTAAATTGCAATATTTCCCTCTTTAATTAATTTAAATATTTAAGAAAGGTATAGAAGATGTTTGAAGCTAAGTTTAGTGATGGAGTATAATTTAAAAAGATAGTTGAAGCAGTAAAAGAATTAGTAAAGAATGTAAATTTAGAAGCAAATGGAACAGGAATATCTTTATAGGTAAAATAGTGAACAAATAAAAAAAGGCAATGGACACTTCACATGTTGCTTTGGTAGCATTATAATTGAATGAAAAAGGTTTCAAGAAATATAGATGTGAGAAATCGTTGACAATGGGATTGAGTATAGAAAATTTGTAAAAAATTTTAAAATGTTCTGGGAATGATGATTAAATTACATTAAAAACTTAAGATGAAGAACCAACAACATTATCATTTACATTTGAATCAAAAAGTAAATAGAATGTATATAAATTAGATAGAATAAGTGAATTTCAATTGAATTTGATGTCTTTAGATTAAGAATAATTAGGTGTACCAGATACTGAATATTCTTCAGTAGTTAGAATGCCATCTAATGAATTTACAAAGATATGTCGAGAATTAGGTAATATAAATGAAGCAATTGGGATTGAAACATCAAAAGATGGAATAAAGTTTTATGTAAAAGGAGATATTGGAGAAGGATAAGTATCTGTAAAAACTAATGATTCAGAGAAATTAGAAGAAAGAGTGGAATGTGATGTTGATGAACCTGTAAATTTAAGTTTTGCAGTTAGGTAAATATCTATATCTATATATTTAATAGATATTTCAATTTATTTAATAAAGCATCAGCATTATCAAATTAAGTTATATTATCAATGTCTTAAGATTAACCATTAGTTATTGAATATATAATTGAAGAGATGGGATCATTGAAATTGTATTTAGCACCTAAAATAAATGATGAAGAATCTTAATGAACAATTTTTATATTAAAATATTTATAATTTGGTATGTCACAATAATAAAAACAACCAATTCATGAAAGACGTCGTAGAAGTGGAGCTTTACATGCTTAAACATGTGAAGAATATCTTAAAGTATCTACTTATAATGTATTAATCAAAAGAAATACGAATAAATTGGATAAATAATAATACGAGAGAGTTCAAGAAAAAAAAGTTTGTCTGAATCAGCTTTTCTTAATTTCGATTTTATACCTGCAGATGAAGGTATAGAAGAAGATATTTGTTAACTTAAAATTCTTATCTATTCTCCAAAACTAAAATTGAATGAATAAGAATTTTTACAAATTTTAAAACTTGTCACAAATAGATCAATTACGACAGATAATATATCAAATTCTAATTTAACATTCGATTTTGATTTCTTCTATAGAGAATATGAAGTAAATGATAAGAATTTTGGTCTACATTTTTGGATCCAAAATAATTCAAAAAGCAAACATACATTCTTTTTTAGAGGTATACAACTATTGTTAATTTTATTAAATCAGAAAATTATTATCAGTTCTTTAATGCAGCTATTCTATTTTAACGAGATAGTAATGTAGAGTCCTTAATTAGAGAAATTAATCCTAACTGTACAATTAAAATATTTCCATTTGTAATTCTTTTTCTTATATTTTATAGATGGATGAATTGCTTATGGAATCACTCTAATCTATTATTGCTGAAGTAACATTTTTATTTATTTCATAAGATCTGTCATAGCCATATCAAATCTTGACTAACCATATTTTAATCTACTTCTATACATTTAATAATATATATATCAATAAATATATAAATCATTAAAATTTATTGGCTTTTTTAACAACATATTGATGCATAATGTCTTTCATAATAATATTGTTCATTGGCCTAAAAACAGTAGTTCCAGTGGCCAACTTATCGAAAATGTTATTGAATTAAAGAAATGATTTTTTATAATTGTTAAGATTATCAGATATAGCTTCTAAAAGCAATCTTTTATCCTAAGTTGGTGCAGATTTTGGAGCATTTTAGAGCTCACTTATTATTTCTCGATATAAAAAGCCCCATTTATCAATAATTTAATCAGCAACCCTATTTAAATAATTGGTTTCACATTTCTTATATTATTTCCATTTTTATTAAATGTATTTGATTTTTAAATTGAACTAAGACATTTTATTCATTCCATTTGATAGATGACCATATCTATAAAGAAAATGATTTAAAATAGAATAAGCTCTAAGTTTAGCTTTATTTCTCATGAGTTTGGCACCAAAGTAAAATAGAATATTAGTATCAAGATATACAGCCTCTTTTTTACCATATTAATATCTTGAACTAATTTTATTAAGCATAATTCTCATAAATTTTCTACAACAAACCTAAACCTTATTAGTTATAACTATTCTCATGACTCGTTTCTATTTAAATTTAAACATACATAATATTAATGTTTGATAGCTTTAGATAATAATGTTATAACTAGTAACTCTAGCCATAACATATCTATATTGCTAATATGGCATTTGATTTCACTTCTTAGTCTTGATACTCTGGATTGCAACCTGTCAAGTTCATGAGTGTAAGAAGATTCTAATAAATGAACTTTCTTATTATGTTATATCATAGATTTCTTTTTCATCATTTCTTCAATCAATGAATTCTTTTATTTAGTATTCTTGATCTTAAAATCCAGTATAAGTTTAAATTTGACTTAAGACTCTTTATTTGATCGAATAAATGATGATTAATTAGTTTTTGGTTTATGCACTACTGAGATTTGAATAAAATTATTACAAGAGAAATTACTTCTATAGGTATAACTACCTGGTTCTCTAGCTGTGAATAATTCTCTTGGAATTTAAAGTGTTGGAGTCTATTATCTTTTCTAAAGACTTCTATTATTATTTGATTGATGCACTCCAGCAGTGGCTTTAATCTTTAAATCTGTATATTTATCAGTGTAGATTGATAAATATACATAGTCACATTTGAATTTGGGTATATGAGAGGGTGGTTCAGTAAATTAAAATCTTGATCTATTCTAATTTATTATTAATATTTTTACAATGACTTGTAAAGTATTATTTAAAATGTTTGGACTATCAGTTATTGATGATACAAATATCTTAATCAAACATTAATTATTATTGGATTCATAAACAAAATTCAATGGTTTTGTTAATTCTTTTACTTTAATCCTGATATATTTAAAAATGCTTGGGTACATTTACAATGTTAAACTTTGATTAAGGGAAATTTCTAATGTTTATTATAAAACAATTACCCAATCGATCAGCTTATCTTTTTAATTAAACTTGATCTGGTTATGAATAAGTCTTTCTATGACCTACTTCATATTATTTAAACTCTTTTGATGTTATATCATCTATAAATTTTAAGTTTGCAGTGTAGTCTAGTTCATTTTTATACATTATTATTTTAATGAATAAAGAATCACGCTATGCATATGTAACAATTCAAATTATTTACATAAGACAAAATCATCTATGTCTCCAAATAAGAATCAAAGATCTTCTGAAGCAAATGCTACTTATTCAACTGGTTTTTCTAAAAAAACATCCTATAAACCAACTTAATCTAATCAAACACCTCTATCTAATTAATTGCCTGAAATTTCTAAAAAGAAAATGAAGAATGATGTACTTTGTTATTCTCAAGAATTTTAAGATATACTTCAAGTTGAAATAGATGAAAGGTAATCTAATTCTAATTTACTTAAGGTATCGATATTTAGTTAAAAATGGAACCATCAAAAAAATTGAAAATGGAGGAAACATTATATTCTCTGAATTATAATAAATACCTGGCATATGGGTTTGTTATAGAAGACCTATGGAAAGAGCTAACAATTTAGAAAAATTAAGTCTTGATTATTTAGATTTAACTCATATGCCACTTTTAGAAGGAGAAGAAAAGTTAAAAATATTAACATATCAACATAACAGAATTACTTCTATTCAAAATCTAGTTTCTTTGCCTAATCTCTTATATCTAGACTTTTATGATAATTAAATTAAAGAAATCGATGAATTAAAATAAGTTCAAAAATTAAAAGTATTATTGTTACCTAAAAATTAAATCAGAAGAATATAAAATTTAGATCATCTCACTAAATTAGAAGTTCTAGATTTACACAGCAATCGTATTGTCAATTTAGAAGGATTAAATAAATTGAAAAGTCTCAAAATTTTAAATGTCGGCAATAATCTCATTACCAAATTAGAAGCACTTGAAGAATTAAACTCTTTAATTGAACTCAATATCAAAATGAATTAAATTGACAATATTGATCATTTATAAGGTATTTTCATATTCCTCATATAGTACTCCCTTAATTATAAAAATTATTTATGTCCCAAAACAAAATTAATACATTTCCTTGTGTTTTTAATTTATAAGAATTATCCCTTGAAAACAATCCCATCTAAAACAATAAATCAGATTATTATAAATATATTTGTTAAACCTTTGAATCTCTAAAAATATTAGATGGAAAACTAATTGAATAAATCAAATAAGAAATCTTATTTTCTGAAATCCCAAAAACTGAACCAATTAAAAAAAAAACTATCAATCAATAACTATAATAACAATTATAATCATAACAAAAACCAAAAAAACCTATTTAAATGGGCCTTGAAATTCATGGTGTTGCTTCAGAATTTAAAACTAAAGATGATATTGTGCCTTTAGTTTAAATTAAAAAAGAACCAATTATTTATAAAAATTCTTAACCCTCATAGTAATAACAATAACCACTTAGAGAAACTATATCAAGTTAAAAGAATTCTTTACCTACCACAGCTGCGTCTTAAGAAGATGATATTATTATTTTAATTAAAAAATAATGGACTGCTGAATAAAAAAGAATTTAATTGTTAGAAAAAAATAATTAATTAAATAAAAAAAGTTGTCTAGAACATTAACTTGTAGAAGGAGGACATGCTGAAGTTGAAGATGTATACTTTTTATGAATAATTATTTAGGATGTTTTTTTGTTGATTTATGGAACTGCATCAGCTATGGTATTACCAACTTAAAATTTTAATTAAATTATTGAAAAAATTCATTTCCAATATGTATTTTTCGATTCTATTATTGACACTTAATTGTCAATTTTAAAAGATTATTCAAAATTAAAAGAATTAGTCTTAAAAGATAATTATATCAATAGTCTATTACAAATAGCCAAATTGGAAGTAAATTATTTTTATCTATTTCAAAGCATTTAAATGAAATTCAAAAATTAACAATACTCAATAATCCAATTAATAATTGTACTTTCATGGTTTAATTTTTGGTTTATAGATTTCCATCTATTATTTAAATTAATGGAAAAGATATTAGAAATGATGATCGATAAAAAGTAGAGATTTTTTTAAAACTAGGCTAAACACCTATTTTCTAATTTTGACAAATCTTTGTAAATACCAGAAAAATTGTAGAATTTTGAAAATGTTCGTCAACTGAAAAGTTTTTAAAAAGATAGATCTTATATTAAATAATTTCATAAGTGTTTAAGTGATGTTTCAAACGAATAAAAAATAGTTTACAAATATCGAAAGATAGTAATTTATATCTATTAATGATAGTTTGATAATATTTATGAAGATTACTTGCTCTAATTAATATAATAATGTAAAGAAAAAGAAAAATGATTTTTATATATTTATTTAGTTTAAATATTTATTGATACTCAATATCACATAATAGATTTTATCAAACCTTAAATTTCAAAATAAACTCCATCTACTTCCATTTATTAGTATCTGAGTTCTGTTCTTACATTTTTATAGGAAATCAATTCATTTTAGAATTTACTCCAAAAATCATTTAAGTGTCTGAGTTAGTAATAAGGATTAATTTTTTTTAGTTTTTATTGTTTTTAGAGTTTGTTTTAATTTTCGAGTTCCTTCTTCTCTAACATAAATTATTTCTATTCCTATAATAAACAATAAAAATAAGGTGAAGGAGTAATAATTAATGGTGCTTATATACCTGATTTTACATGGTTAATTATTTATTTTAAGGTTTTCATTAGTTATCTTTTTTATTTTTACAATTTAAATATTTATTTAATCATCAATTATTCATTTTCAGTAGTACCTTTGAAATTATTAATCATTTTCAATCCTAAAAAGCTCTCTCTTCTTCTTTTATTAAGTTCTCTTTTTTATTTATTAAATTTCATCACTTTTTAAACAGCATCTCTGAATTTATGAAATAATCTCCATTTTCTTTCTTAATTTCTTCCAAAAACATATTTTAATATTCTTGTTTAAACAAATTAAAAAGATTCTTTTGAAATTTAAGATTTAAATTCTTTTTCCATAATATTTTTACTTATATCTGTTGGTTTACGTTATTCTTTGTAGTTTATACAACTTACTCTTCTTACCTTTTGATTTTCTATGTAAATAAAGTAAAATAATTACATTTCATTCTGAGATGGCTTTCTTTGATAAGAATTTTTCTTCTCAAACCCAATTATTCAATTTCAAAAGATAAATTCTCATCAATCTAAATGATATTAAGAAATATTTGGACTGGAAAAATGATTACAATAGAATTTTTAGAAGCAATAGCACTTTATTTTCTATTAACTTAATCTAATATTTCCATTTCACCAAAGATACTACCCTCCATAATATTTAAGAGACTTCTGCCTTAATCATCACATAATCTCACCTAAAATAATTATGAAAAGAATAATACTTCTCCTGTAATTAGAAAGAAGATATCCATACTAGGAGATCCAACATAATAAATAGTTTCATATTTCTAATAGAAGAAGATAGTCATATATGGTAATAATTTAGAAGCAATATTAATATCTAATTTAAATAGATTAGTATTAACAACTAATTGTTATTAGGAAAAACAAATTGTATATTTTTTAAGTTATCCTGGCAAAGAGTCTATTATTCTCTAATTATTACAGTTTAAATATACTTTCTATAATTCCAAAAAGAATTGTTTTCTAGATTGTAAGTTAAAAAGTTAGAGACTTAATTTGATAACCATTCTGGAATGATGATAGAATCCATCAGATTTTCTAGATCTTCTAAATTCTCTTTTTAAATTTCAGCTGATGTTTATTATTCTAATATTTGAGTTAGATTGCCAATAGTGAAAGAATAGAATCCCACTCCAATTAAAAGCCAAATTATTACTAGATTATATTACATAGAAGTAGAAATAGAAACATTACCATATCCAACCACAGTAACTGTTTAAATAGCCCAGAATAATCCATCAATATATGAAGTCCAATTATCATTATCTTCATCTATAGATATTCCTTCATAATATTTGACCTAATGCCATAAACAACCAAATGCACTTATTAGTATTAACATATTTTTGAATATTCTTAATACACTTAACACTTTAGCATCAATTAATTAAAAATAATCAAAGAAAGATAACTAATCTTATATTGTTATTTCAATCTTTTTAGGATCTGCTGAATGATAAAGTATTTTTCTATCTGTTTTTATGAAATATTTAAATAATCTTATTAATTTTAATAAATTAAAATAGTCTCTCAATTAGAAAGAATCTTCAATCTTGATTACAAATACTTTATAAGGTATGATAGTTAGAATATCAAAAATTAACCATCCAGTTAAGTTATGTATAAAAATAGATGGAAATGTTTTCAAAAGAATATTATTGTTATCTACTTAACAAATCATCTATTCTAATATCACATCAAAAAAGAAAAAAAAATCAATTATAAATGTAACTATGGTTATAAAATCCTAATATAAATGATTATTATACATAAGAATCAAATTCTGAATATGTGATATATATAGGATAAACAATAGTAGCAATAACTGTGTTAAAGTTCATCATTTCTCTCCATAAACGAATGAACTTGAGGTGAGGAAGAAAAGGAATGCCTTATTTTTAAATTAAACTCTAAGTAATATTGTTTTTCTATTTCTATTTTGAAAAGTATTTAGTAGCTCTAGCAAAGTTTAGAATGATAAGTAATCTTTTAATGGCTCTATTAAATTTAATTTTATAGCTATCTAAAACTAAAACATCTTCTTCCTCCATAATTTAATCTTAACTGGTAAACTAACTTATTTTTGGTTATAACATTTGCTGATATTATTGACTATTATATGAAATGAACTTTTTACATTTTAGGAGATAAAATTAAAGTTGCCTCTCTAACCTATACTCTTCTTCTTCTAAGATCATTGAATGTTTGAACAGAGCTGAATACTATTATAACTTATTAATTACTGTAGTCCTTTTTTGAATTCATTCTACTCTTCTCCTTCATTCATTGGGTGAACCTGTTTTATACTCATTATAAAACAAAATTAAAAATATTGAATATAACTTACTTTATTTAATAACAACTAAAAATAATAATGTATCAAAATATTTAGTGGGATTTGATTACTCTATAAAAACTATCATATATAATATTAATTAATAATCAATAAACTCTTTTATGAAAAATTATCTATGTGAAGAAGAATCTCAAATACAAACTATTGATTATATCTATGAAGAATTTAGAAAAGAAGTAAAGTTCTCATACATAATATAATAGTTTGATATAATACTAAATAAATGTATTGCCTTTGATCATTGTACCTATATTATAGATTACTACTATAATTTTAAAATAGGGCTTAAAGAACAAATTAATAAACTTGATCCAAATACAAGAGTAATCAATTATTTAAACTTAGTTATATAAATAACTATGTTAATTAGATGATATCTCAGAAAAATCACTTGAAATTATCAAAATGCTTAATGAATATGAAGAATGTATAATATCATTCAATTCTAATTAGATCGATTTCCTTCTAAAGTATAAACTATTAAATCTTTCAAATCTTTTGCTCCAAAAGCACTTCAAAAAAAGAAAACTGTGTAATTGTGTGAAAGCTTTATGTTTGAAGAAAATTAAGGACTCCCTTAAAATAGTTTGAGAAATAGTCAATTATAAGTTATTTAAGAAGAGAATCTTAAAGAAGATGAAATTATTCCAGATCAATTCGAACAATAAGTTGTCGAATCTGAAATACATTCGAAAAACAAGCTTCTTCAAAATAATATTATCATGAATCCTGAATAAGAAGAATTAAATAATATAGAAATGAGAATGCAAAAGGCTATAAATTTATATAAAGAAGCTTTACTAGATGAAGCTCTAGAAATTATATAGGATATTTTTCTTAAGTTAAATTATAAATAAGCTTAATGGTTTAAAGAGAAAAATTATTAAGAATTCTATGAAGATTTAAAAGAGAAAAAGATTATACTTACATAGAATTTAAATGAATTAGATTCAGGAGGATGGAGAATTGAAAAATAAACATAAAATTTAATCATTAAATATAAACTTTTTGAGGAAGAATAAACAGTTACTGTTTATTTAGACTCTGTATTTGAAGCAAATATAACAAAATTAATGGCATTAATAAATGAAATAGATTTATATTAAAATTATGTTCCATTTTGTTAAAGATCATCAATGAATAAATAATTAAGTAAGACTTGTAAAATTTGTGATATAATTGTATACTTTCCATTTATTTCAGATAGAAGAGCTGTTTTTGTTGGAGAAGGAATTGATAGACTTATGATTAATGGAACAATAGTTTTTGTTTGTAAGTCTATTGATTAGAATATCGAATATTAATAAAAACATGATATTCATTTTTAAACAAATAAAAAACTTGTTAGTTTGATAATCAATTACTATATTTTTGAATTGACTCCTATTAATAATAATAAATGTAGAGTACGTGCTATTACTAATTCAAATCCATAGGTTAAATATCTACCTAATTGGATTATTGGATATTTGGCTAGAAAAGTAATTGTATTATTTAATTTTTTAGATGGCACATGAATTATTTGAAAGAATGGAAAAAATAACTAAGAATTTTGAGAAATCTCCTTGGTTTGAAAAATATAATCAAAACATAGAATTTTATTAGTGGATTGACTAAAAAGTATAGAAATACTTTGAATTACGTTAAAAATGAACTATTTAATTTTAAATAATGCTAAACAACTGTTATACTCTTCGTCATAGTCCTGTATTCAGAAATCCAAAATCAAATGTTGCAGTATAATAATTAACTACTCTAATTAATGAAACTGCAGGTCGACTATCTCCACTTCAACCATAAGTCAAAAAAATAATTGGAATTAAAAAAAATTCATCAACTGATCATTAATTACCTCTTTGTGAAGTACCTTTTCAAACTAATTTTTTTGCATAACATGAAAATGATCTATCTTATTCAAATAGAAGCAATATTTAAACAAATAGATAATTTAGTAGAAATTAAAGAACTTAAAGTGTTTATACAGGTAATAAAGAAAACTTTGTAAGAAGTCCAACTAGAAGTCCATTCTCTAAACCTCTTATTCAAAAAGATTGTTATACTCCTATTTATAAAAGAAGTCCAATTTAAAGAGTGTAATCTCCTGGTATTATATAAGGCATAAGATAAACTAATCATTAAGGTTTTGGATCAATAAGTCCTTTGAGAATATAACATAAACCTAATTATAGAGAACCTTTGTCTGAAATGGTTGATAATTTAAAACAAAATATTTTGAGAGACATTTAAGAAGTTACTAAAAAATATTCAAATACAATCATATAAGTCAATTAATAACCAGATAAATTTAAATAAGATATTAGAGAAGTAAGGTATGATGATTTAAAAACATAAGAATTCAAAAAGTAAAAATATCTCGAATAATAAGCAATATTATTGCAATAATAATTAGAATTAATTAAATAATAATAATCAAAGCTAGCTGTTTAAAATAAACAAAGCTTTTGTTCTCAAGAAAATCTTATTAATCCTACACTTGAAACTAATAAATAATATTAATTAAAATAAAATGACTTAACTTTCTTAAAATCGTTAGAAAACTAAAATAAATCATAATCCTTTGTTGATTAATAAAGTAATTTTCAAAGTCTTAGACAAGATCCAACTTAAAAGATTAAATAAATTTAGGAGATTAAAAAATTTACTTATGATCCATAATATTAAATGTAGGTTTCTTAACAATAAATTGAAGAGAAAACACCAATACAAAATACTAGTAAATTCAATTAATAAATTGACTATTTGTAAAAGTTGAATAATAAGATTGAATCTATTTAAAAACATTAAAATCAATTATCAGATTATTTGAAACCTTAAGAAACTAAATTAAATGATGAGTATTCTAAAACAAATAGATTTTAAGATTAATAACAATAATAAATAAATACTCCAGATTTGTATTAAGAAAAAATTATTTAAACTTATTTATAATCTCCAACTAATTTTAATTAAGAAAAATTATATACAGTTTTTTAACCAGCAAAAAATGGTTATTCTCCGATTGCGAATCGAGAACATCTTTCATAAAATAAAGAATCTACTCATAATATATTAAATAATAATAATAAATTATTAGCAACTTTGAATTCTTAAAATGAATTATAAAAGTTAAAGAATTTACAATTAGAGCTGATGTAAAATAAGCCACTATTTGAATAACCAAAATAATCAAAAACTGAATTTAATTTTAACAAATAGCAAGAAATATTTGAACCAAAAACTGAAAAAAATTGTTTTACTACTTTTGCATAAACTCAATAAATTTAAGTCGAGAAAATTAACTAGTAAGAATCTATTTAAGAAAATAATTATGAAAACCTTAATTTTAATAAAACTAAATTTACTTCTAATATTAAATAATTATACTAGTAGTAGTAATAATAATAGTAATAATAGTAGTAGTAATAATAATAATAATAATAGTAGTAGTAGTAATAATAATAATAATAATAATAATAATCATAATAGTTGTAATAATAATAATAATAATAATAATAATAATAATAATAATAATAATAATAATAATAATAATCATAATAGTTGTAATAATAATAATAGTAGTAGTAATAATAATAATAATAATTCTAGTTATAATCTAAGTACATTTAATTTTAAAACTAATAAGAGAAATTATAAGCATTTTCAGACATAAGTAAATAATTAAAATAATAAAAATTACCAGCTTATTTGAAAGGAGCTGATGAAACAGATGATGATGTGAATAATTAAATTACAATTAGTAATTTATCTTCAATTATTCCAGCTGAGATCTCTGCAAATTAAAATAAGAAAATTAATGTTTCATTTGAAAGCAGTATAGAATAATAATAATTTGATTATCTAAAAGGATCAGATTGCAGAAACACATTCGGACCATTATAATTAGAAACAATTTTAAAATCTCCAAAAAACTTTCATGAAATTAGACCAGAATAAAATTCTCCTTGTCAACCTGAATTTGATTTAAATAGTTCAAGACAGTAAAAATAGAATCTTAATAACTATTAAGATATATTATATAATAATAAATAAGATAATATAATTGGTAGAGAATGTACAAATAATAATGAAAGCGAAAAGAAATAAACTGAATAAAATTATGATGAACCAATAAAGCACAGTGATTTAATAGAATAAATAGACACTATCGAAAAGATAGTAAAATCTTAATCTAATTCTAGGTAGTCAAGAGATATAAGATCTTTAGAAAATTAATCAAAACATAATAGTAAAATCTAAAATAGTAATTCAACATAAAAAACAAAGAGTCCAAAAAATAACAGTGTTGTTAAATAAAAATAAAATTTTAGTCCTATTGGAACTAAAAATTCAATTATAGTTTAAGCTTTTTAAAGAGATAGTCCAAGCAATAGAATAGGAACGAAAGAGAGTGAAAAAAATAAAAATTAAATAAAATCTCAATAAAGTATATTGGATAATAAAAGTTATGATAAAATATCTTCAGGATAAAGTTAAAGATATAGTGATTTTAAAGATGATGATACAAATTAATTAGATAAAGATAAACAAGAATAAGAATATTCTTCAAATAATTCATCAAGATATGAATAAATGTTACAAAATTTTTAAAGTATAAAAAATTAATCTAGAATTGAATATTAATAAGAAAATGAAGCATTTAAATAATCAATGTAAATGAATGAATGTCAACACATCAGTGATTTTGTGATATTTAGTGATAAATAAAATGAAAATCAATAGGAGATAGTGAAAAAGAAAACTGTTACATTTAATGAACAATTAATTTAATAATCTCCTAGTGAAAAAGAAAAACTATAAGTAGGAACAAATTTTAGTGATTTTATGAAGAATAAAGCTTTAGATATTGTCTCATCTGATTCAATTCCAGTAATTCCTTAAGATGCTTTTACCTTGACTTAATTATAACCAAAAGGAGGAATAAGTAAATATATTAATATATTATTAGGTTTTCTATAATACAAGTAATAGTTAGAAAATTGAAATGAACTGATTTTATTTTTCTATTGAAATTAATTATTATAATATAAAAAATGAATATATTTAATCAGCATCATTTTACTCCAGAGACTCCTTAGTTATTGTAAAATTTAAATTTAAGAGATGGTTAAGTTGCAAAAAAGCTAATATAATTATTATGTCATAGTAGTGAAATTTAATTTCCACAAATATAAAATACGAAAATAAAATTGAGTGAGTATATGGAAAGTCTAACATAGAAACCTAAAAACTTATTTTAATAATGCTCTGAAAAAATATATGATATTTTTGGATAAATGGATAATCAGACAATTATTAATGCTATCTTGGATCATTTAGATGAACATTCTTGTATAAATGTTTTAATGCTATTTTATAAATGTTTGTTAAATTCAGGTTTAAGATAGTAAGTCTATGAGGATGGGTAATTTTTAAAATCTAATTTAGTTATTTAACAGAAATTATTGAAAAATTTGAAAATGCTTTAACTACTCCAAATTCGATTTATATGAAATTATCTAAACTTAGCACTACTGGTGATTTTCATATGAATTTTACTAAATTCTTATTAACACATTATCCAACAGTATATTCAAAAGAAAATAATCTTTAACCAAGATAATCAATATAAGAAAAATCATTTTAAGTTGAACCTTCAAGATAATAAAATAAGAATTTTAAAATCCCTCCATTGAAATTACCTTAAAATAGTTTAGAAATTATAGGTGTAATGACTCGTTCAACAAGAAGAGCAGATCCTTTTAAATCATATTCAACATGTTCAAATAGATTTTCACATTCTATTGATTCTGCAATTAAATTTACAAGTGGTTCATAAGCAATTCATATAGAAGAAGATTAATCTTGTAAATTAAATGCAAAAGAGGAGTAAATATTATTATATAATTTAATTAGATTATAAAATTTAGCATAATTATTGGGTAGTTATTGTTTAACTTAGGATTTATCATGTCTATTATTGAAATAAAGAAGATAGTAATTGGAATCATTAACAAGATTGGGTATTAATACATGGCCAAATATTTTAAAAGAAGGTGAAGATCCACTTGCAGAATCTTTTGAATAAGATTAAAATAAAACTCAAAAAAGTAAAATTTGTAGACTATGGGGAAATATTCTATATCTCATTCTCAAAGACATTAAAAAAATTCAATATGAATTATGTCCATATTCCACTATTTTAAATTATTTGTGTTCAAGTTCTTTTTAAAAAAATAAAATATCATCAAAATAAATATATTAAGATTTTGATACAGAAATGTATTAAAAAAAATAATTATGTGATTAAAGTAAAATAAAATAAGATAATGGATTAATTAGTGAATAGAAGATTTATTTTTAAATTTTAGATTTATTTAATAGTGATTAATAACACATTAAATTGTAATAAGATTCATATAAAGAATAATCATTTGAAAATGATGAATCAGAAAGAAGTATAGAAGTATAATAATTATAATGATATATTTAGTCTCCTCATACAGTTGCAAATATTCCAGAAATGATGATACCTGTTAAAAATGAATTAGAAAAAGTTGTTTGTAATTATAGACACTCAAATACTACATAATTCTCTTTTTTAAAGCATATTTAATATCGTTTCAATTTTATTTTAAATACAATGGATATGAATAAAAATGCTTTTTATGAATTGGAATATGATTTATTGTCAATTCTCGAGAAGTATTTGAGTTATACTCACAACAGAATTTTATTACCTCAATTCTTAGATTATATGATTGAAATTTTAGTAATGATAAAAAGGTAAATTATTGATATTATCAATTGCTAACAATCTTCTTCTCGAACTCCTAATTAATCATAATACATATCAAAATCAGCAAAACATTATTCTTAAACCATTACTAATATGTTTAAACCTATTAATATATTTGAAACATCACCAGATTAAAAATCAAATTAGCTCTAAACTCAATTATTTTAATAACAGTAATAATTTTAACCATCTTAATTAAACTTTTCCTCCTAATAACATTAATAATAATAATAATAATAATAACAATAACAATAACAATAATAATATTCAACTTTAAAGTTTAAATCATAAAAACCATTTATTCAAAAATACCCTTAAATCATATCCACTTATATTAGTATTGTATCAAGATTATTTTTAAGAGCTATAAATGATTCTTCAATTAAATTTCTACTTAATGTATTTGTGAATGAAATTTTCTTGGATATGGTGAAAAATTTTAGTAGTTTTATATTTTAAGAACTCAATTCAAACAAAGAAGAAAATTTTGAAATTCATGCTATGAGAATATTATTATTCTATGAATCTATTTTATTATTGTTTTAGAAGCATGATAAAGAATATAAATAATAAGTGAGAATGTTTTAAGGATTTTTAAGTTAATTATTAAAAGTGCTTTAAAAATTTATAGAATAACATACTTATTTATTATAAAAACCATAAGTAAATAGAGTTCATGTTTACAAAAAAGCTTTTGAAGTCATTGGGATATCATTTTAGTATCCAAATGAAGAATTATCAACTTTTATGATAAGATATTGTTATGTGAATTTTATAAAATTATACTCTTAAAGTAATTTAAATGACATGAAGGAAATAAATATGAAAATATAAGAATTTAATCAAAAGTAATAACCTAGTTCAAAATAGGATGAAAAGTAATCAAAATAATATAGTTAAATATTTATGAACCTATATATTAAGTGTTTATTTTGCATAGCCCAAAATAGAAGTGAAGATATATCTAGAAAGTTCTATTAGTACAGAATAGTTGAGTTTTTAACTTAAGAAATCGATTTAGAGTTTGACATAACTTAAACTAGAGAGAAGCCAATTAATAATTCATCATTAATACAATAATAAGAAGTAAATTAATATTGATTTTTTTAATTAAATAGTAAAATAGTTAAGTGGATTCATCCAGTAATAATGAGAGATTGAGTTCCAAAATAAGTGATAGACCTAATGTTAAGTTAAATTTATAATCTGTTCATAAATAGTAATTAGAAGAAATTCAAGAAGAGAACCAAAAGTAGACTAAAAAAAATAGTTAAATTTTATTAAAAAAGGTTTTAGTGCCAACTTTAGATTTGGAAGGCAAACTCAAATAGATTAATTATTCAAGTTAATCTTATAGCCATAGTCCATAATTTAATACATCAGCAAAACAATAGTAGAACTTAACTGTATTACAAAAAGTTTAACCTGATGACGTTTAATAAAATCATAAAAGAGGTAATTCAATGCCATTTAAATCAGAAATATGTATTCAAGCTTAATTATCAGAAAGTTAAAGAAGAATGTTATTACAAAAGAATATAAATCCAAATAGTAGTGATAAGAAATAACCAGTTCCGAAACTAAATTTACCAAATTGTTAACAAGAGAAAGATTAATAGCCCTAGTAATAGCAATAACTTAAATTAAATATTTCTAATTAACCAAAAGATGATTTATTCTATTTTAGTGAAAGAAAATTAAGAAAAATATATTCAGATGAAGAACTGCATGCTAATTGTTTATCTTTATTAATTTGTTTATTAATAAAACCAATAAGAGGAACATTAGATGATTTGTATTGTTCTTAGCATCCAATTATAAATGGAAAACCCAATATATTATTTTTATTACATCATCATTTGAATCATCCTTAAAATTAGAAAGTAATTAAATTAATTTTATAAAAAATAACAAACATAAAGATAATAAGATTGTTGAAATTACTATGTATTTAACTGTTTGATATAACATAATATACAGATTGGTAGAAAATAGCATCAGGTGCCTATGGAGTAATATATTAATGTAAAACAAATTTATAAGAGCCCGAATATGTGGCTATAAAATAAATGGGTGCTCCAAAGAGTATTTATGAAGTAATTGTTGTAATATAATTAATTTAAGAGATGTGTATTACATGGCCTATTTACAGAAATAGCATGTATGGAGAATTTCAGATTAAATCCTTAAGTAGCAACTCTTTATGATTATGGTGTAACATAAAGTGATTATATAATTGTAATGAAGAAATATCCTTATTCATTAAGAGAATGGAGATAATAATAGAAAGGATCTCTTTAAGATAATCTTGGAGTTTATTTAAGTTTATATAAGGAGGTATTATAAGCAGTATAAATGTTACATAATCACAATGTTACACATTATGATATTAAGGCAGATAATATTTTATTAGATGATATGCATGTTGTTTTAACAGATTTTGGAGAATCTAGTATATTTATAAATGAAGAAGATGAGTATTGTGTTAGAAATAGAGGAACAGAATATATCAAATCTCCCGAAATGTTAACTTTAACTATTAATTCAAAAAAAGAATAAGATACATATGATAGAAGAAAAAAAGTAGGAACAACTAGATCATCAGATGTTTGGTCACTTGGTTGTTTATTATTTGAAATTTTAACAGGAGAATTATTATTTTATAAAAAAGAATGGGTTTAATTTTATCTATAAGTTACTTAGCCAACAGAATAATTGATTTCTGAAGATAAATAAAAAGTAATTGTTAATTATATAAATAAATTAGTTATTAGGAAACAACTTTTACATAATAGATTTCCTAAAATATGTTTTGGTTCGAGATTAGAAACATAGACCTAATATTGAAAGTGTTTTAAAAAGATTTGAACATGTCCATGCATTATTAGTTACTAATAATGAATAAAAAATTACTTAATAAACTTTACTTAATACAAAATCATTTGAATTACTACTTGAAGATTATCATAAACTTGTTTATTATAACGACAAAAAGATTGCATTTGAATAAGCCTAACCTATTCATTTATCATTTTTTAAAGTAACTTAAGAACTCTTCATTTGTGATCAAAATTATTTTAAATTAAATTAAGAAAAGTAAGATATTAATATTGATATAGATTAATTGAAATAGGAATTACAAATGTGATTTCAGATACTTAATAATTAAAAGCTTCTGATTTATACAAATTCTAATATATAATATTCTCTTTAGAAAATATAGCATAATTACCTAATTATGTAAAGGCTGCTTAACTTGTACCTCACATGTTAGATTATCTTAGATAGATTCTTCTACATAAAGGTAAGTTATTGATTGTAGAAAATCATTCCTCTTATTTAAGATAAGCCTTACTTTTAACTCTATGTTATTTTTTTAGAATCAATGCTTATGAAGTTCATAACATTTTTAATAATTAACTATTATTCTTTAATGTCTCAAATTTACCTATTTTAAATAAATTATCAATTTATTCTAATTAATTAACTTAACATTTATTAACATATCCTAGATTACAATGTATTTGTGGTTGTGTAACATTCATACTCAAAAGAGATTTTAATGATGAAAAAAGAATGTAAATATAATAATGTCATTGTCATGGAAATATGCTTTGTAATGGAGGAGCAGGAATGACTAAAGGATGCTCAAATTATTTGAAATTTTTAAGAGTAATTTATATTATCTATATTTAGAAACGATATAAAATATCATGGGAATTCATCAAGTGGGGATAAATTGAATTCGATGCTTTTCTTATTGGACCTTTTAATAAAGGATCTATTAGATAAGAAAGCAAAATATAAATATTATTATCTTCTATGGGCTCTAATCATAATCTAGTTAATAATTAATCAACATGTGATTGGAATGTCTATCAATGTAATAGATGTGATATGTGGATGATTGCCTATAATAGATAATCTCATGAATTATTGGTTATTATGAATAATTTATACAGAAAGAATCATAATAAATTCTTCACTGATAAATTAAAATTGCCAAATCTTAAAAATTTTAGTCTTCTAGAATTGAGATGATTTTACAAACAATGATAAATAAAATAATTTATATAATTAAATAAATTATTATTTTGCCTTATTGATCATATATCATTCTATATCTTCAATCTTACATGACTAATAATATATCTTTTCAAATTTAAATTCTCTATCACAATATATAAAATAAAAACATTTAATTAAGCAATCATAAACTTTCAACTATTTAAAGAAACATTTTTTTTTACTTTTTCTTCCTTTAAAGTTCATATACAATAACATCTTAATCAAATTTAAAGTATAGACGAAAGTATCCAATCAATTGAGATTATTTACCACAATTTCTTCTCATCTTTTTATTAAATTAATTATAATAATTATTAAAAAATATCATTAAATTAATTTAATGATCAAAGTTAATTAGGATCATAGCTATGTCTACTTAATAATGCAGTTCAATCCTTCTACATTTTATGACAATATTTTTAATGAATGAAACTCAACTATGCAATATATATAGTAAATAACTTTTTATGATTTTATAACTTTACTCAGAGCATATAAATTTGTGATTTTTTACATACAAAAATCGCAAACTACATTCAATCAATATTAGCTTAGCTATAAATTGTATCAAATATGATAGACAGTATAATTGTCCTATATTAATTCAATAGGAGACTATCAAATTTTAATTTACCATATCTTTTATTATTCATCATATAGAGAAATATTCCTTGTAAAATGTAAAATAAATTATTAGAAATGAAAATTCGGTAAGAATCTCTTCTTAAAATTAAAATTTAAATATCTTTTTAATATAATTTTTAATATATATTTTTAAAATATAAATATATAATTATTGTTAAAATTCTTTAAATATATAGTTTAAAACTCAAATTTATTTAATTTAGCCAAGTCTATCAATTATTTTTTAATAATTGTATTCCGAATAGTTAATATTTCCTTAATTGAGAATCTCTGTAAATTATTTTATTAATCGTCTCAAGATATTGAGAAGTAGGAAAACCTTACGATAAAATCATCCATTCAAATACATAAGATACAATTGATAAATATTCAATAAGATCAACTATTCTTTTGAAGTTCATTAAATATTTTAAATATTAAAACCGGTGAAGAATGTCTATTCATTATATAAAACAATAAATATTTCTAAAAAAGTGAATAATTATATTTTTTTCTATTTTTTTTGAAATATTATTGTAATTTATTCATTTATTAGAAGAATGTATAATTTAATCTAAATAAAGATTAGAAAAAGAATAAAAAAATCTAATAGACTTATTTATTGATAAAACAAAATCAAATCATAAAAATTTTTGTTACATTTCTTCTGTTGCTACTAAACCAAGAACCATAGCTTTTTAGAAAGTCATTTTTGCTTATTAGGTTTACTTTAAAGCTAGTAGTGATTCAGCTGACATTATTAGAAATTATTTACCTTTACAAAGCAAGGAATTAGAATTCTACTTAATTTAAAAGGATTAATCAAAAGATTTAATTGCCTCTTAATATTTTTTTTGTTTATGTAGAATTAATCCTTAAAAATTTAAAAGTTTATACCTTTTTAATGATGTGCTTAATAATGTTTTGGATTAATAGCAATAGCTTAGTTTATTGAATCTAGAGCTTCATTATATTTATTTAGTTCAAATAAAATATTTCCTTAAATACATAATAAAAATATATACCTTAACCATAATATGCTTCATCACAATTTGGATTTATTGATATAGCCTTTTTAAATGATTCAAGGGCTTAATCTTGACGATTTAAATTAAATAAAGCTAATCCTAAAAATAATTATTTTAAATTATACCTCTTTAAACAAGAGCTTCTATAAAATTTGAATTTATTATTACTGCATGATCATGAGATTGAACAGCTTCAGCATTTCTACTTTATTTTTGTAACAATAATCCTAAATTTAGATTTAATATGAATTACCTTTGCGATAATAGGCTTCAGCACTTAATGGATCTGCATCAATTGCTTTTTCATAATATTCAAGTGCTTTGTTTTCTTAATTTAATTCAAGCAATGAATTTGCTAAGAATTTTAGTTAGAAATACCTTTGTTTATAAATGAGTCAACATAATAAGGATTAATTAAAATAGCCCTATCAAAGGATTCTAAGGCCTCATCATATAATTTAAGTTTAAATAAGGTAAGACCTAATAAATTAATAATTATTAATTATGATACCTTTATCATTAAGGGCTTCAGCATATGAAGAATTTAATCCAATAGATAGACCATAACATAACAAAGCTTCATCATATTTTTATAATTTGAATAATGCATTTCCTAAAGATAATAAATTTAGTTTACCTTTCCCTCTATAAAACTTGTAATTATTTGGATTTGCCTCTATTAATTTTTCAAATAAAGCTAGAGCTTCCCCTGAACGATTCAATTTTAATAAAGTTTATCCTAAAAATGATATTAATTATTAATAACTACCAATACCCTCTTAAGGATCAAGATTTAAGGGATTTAGAAGAATTGATTTTTTGTATGCTTAAAGAGCTTCTTCAAATCGTTTTTAATTAGATAAATCTTCAGCTAAACAATAAAATTTATTTATAACCTTTTGATAAATGATAATTTTGGTATTCGAAATTTAAGTTAATGGCCTTTTTATATGATTAAACTGCTTCTTCTTATTTGGACAATGCATAATATACCTCACCTAAAAATTTTGAGATTCATTTGAGTACCAATCTTAAAATAAGCTTCATGATAGTATTAATTTAATTAAACTGCTTCTTAAAATGATTAAATTGCTTCCTTGTATCTCATTAATTTGCGTAAAGTTTAACCTATGTGATCATATTAAATACCATAATAATAACAATATTGGGCTTCTTTAGAATTTATATCATGTGTTCTTTTTAAGGATTGAAGAGCTTATTCATATAATTTTTATTTGTATAGTGCATAACCTTAAATAATATTAATGAATATTTAAATTACCTAATCCAAAATTAGCTTTACCTGAATTAGGTTAAATTGCAACTGCTTTCTGAAAAGGTTTTAAAGCTCTTGAGTATAATTTTTATTCTAATAGTTAAAAACCTTATTTATTATTGTAAATAGTAACCTTATTCTATTTAAATATTTAAGTTATCACTATTTAGTAATATTGCTTATTTGTAACATTTTATTGCAAAAGATAATTCTTCTAATTCATATAAAGATTCCCCTATAATAATAGTATTTAATTAAACCTTTGAAATAATATGCTTAATCACATGAAGGATCCATTTCGATAGCTATATCGAATTATTCATTTGCTTCCTTATAGCGTTTCAATTTAAATAATGAAAGACCTAAAGAGATTAGGTTATTTTCTTATACCTTTATATAAATAATAATTGGCATTATTAGAAATAATAGCAATGGCTCTATTATAAGCTTCAATTGCTTCAAAATATTACTTCTAATAAAATAAAATATTGCCTAATTTTTTTAAGATTATTTTTACCTTTGTTATAAAAAATTGTTGCATTTTTTTTATTTTTTATAATTAGTTCATTATAAACTTCTAAGGCTTCGCAAAAAACACTTTATAACTCTATATCTTTTGCTAAAAATAAATTTAACAATTAAACCTAAATCTTCTTAAGCTTCTTTGGTTTTTGAAAATAATTCAATTGATTTATTAAATGAATCAACTGCTTTTTAGAAATTTTTTAATTACTTTAAAGCTTTACCTAAAATAATTGATCATCTTTATTTACCTTGATTATAATGATATTAAAATCTATTTGGATTTAAAGAAATTGCTTTATTATAACATTAAAGAGATTCTTCATATTACTTTTTACAAAATAAGACATTTCCTAATCACTTTTGAAAATCTTATACCTTTTCCAAATTATGCTTCATGATTATTTTAATTATAGCCTAATGTTCTATTATAGGATTATAAAGCTTCATCGTATCTATTTAAATTGTATAATGCATTTCCCAGAATTACAAAATTATTATGAGTATCTTTATTATATGGATTTAGCTAAAAGGCTTAATTGTATGATTCATAAGCCTCTTAAAATTAATTTAAGTAATGTAAACAATTCCCTAAATTAATATAATAAACTACCTTTACCAAGATAAGCTTCCCAACTCTTTGAATATAGAGATAAAACTTTATTAAAAGAGGCAAGAGCTTTTTGATAACGTTTTAAATTAAATAAAGCAAGGCCTAATTGATGATGAAATATAGAAAATACCTTATTTTAAATAAACCTGATATTATTAACAATTTTATTAAATAGCTTTATTAAAAGACTCCAAAGCTCTTTCATTGTAATTTAAGATTAATAACGTATCTCCTAAGAAATTTAATAATTAAAATATTAACCTCTTCTATAATAGGGTTCTTAAGACTAAGGTTATAAAATAATAGCTTAATCAAATTATCTCAATGCTTAATAATATTATTTTTAATCGAATAGTTCTATTCCTTATTTAATTATTTAATTATAATTATTTTTCAAGGGAGGATCTTCATCTTTTTCTTACTCATCTACTTATTATTAAAAACTCGATTCAATAGCTTTCATATCATGATTTTAATACTTTATTTATTAATATTATGTGATTCTCTTGTACTTGGTGGAACTTCATTCTCCTAAGTATGAATTGGTAGTTTCAAATGACGAGAGGAATGTANAAAATATTGCCTAATTTTTTTAAGATTATTTTTACCTTTGTTATAAAAAATTGTTGCATTTTTTTTATTTTTTATAATTAGTTCATTATAAACTTCTAAGGCTTCGCAAAAAACACTTTATAACTCTATATCTTTTGCTAAAAATAAATTTAACAATTAAACCTAAATCTTCTTAAGCTTCTTTGGTTTTTGAAAATAATTCAATTGATTTATTAAATGAATCAACTGCTTTTTAGAAATTTTTTAATTACTTTAAAGCTTTACCTAAAATAATTGATCATCTTTATTTACCTTGATTATAATGATATTAAAATCTATTTGGATTTAAAGAAATTGCTTTATTATAACATTAAAGAGATTCTTCATATTACTTTTTACAAAATAAGACATTTCCTAATCACTTTTGAAAATCTTATACCTTTTCCAAATTATGCTTCATGATTATTTTAATTATAGCCTAATGTTCTATTATAGGATTATAAAGCTTCATCGTATCTATTTAAATTGTATAATGCATTTCCCAGAATTACAAAATTATTATGAGTATCTTTATTATATGGATTTAGCTAAAAGGCTTAATTGTATGATTCATAAGCCTCTTAAAATTAATTTAAGTAATGTAAACAATTCCCTAAATTAATATAATAAACTACCTTTACCAAGATAAGCTTCCCAACTCTTTGAATATAGAGATAAAACTTTATTAAAAGAGGCAAGAGCTTTTTGATAACGTTTTAAATTAAATAAAGCAAGGCCTAATTGATGATGAAATATAGAAAATACCTTATTTTAAATAAACCTGATATTATTAACAATTTTATTAAATAGCTTTATTAAAAGACTCCAAAGCTCTTTCATTGTAATTTAAGATTAATAACGTATCTCCTAAGAAATTTAATAATTAAAATATTAACCTCTTCTATAATAGGGTTCTTAAGACTAAGGTTATAAAATAATAGCTTAATCAAATTATCTCAATGCTTAATAATATTATTTTTAATCGAATAGTTCTATTCCTTATTTAATTATTTAATTATAATTATTTTTCAAGGGAGGATCTTCATCTTTTTCTTACTCATCTACTTATTATTAAAAACTCGATTCAATAGCTTTCATATCATGATTTTAATACTTTATTTATTAATATTATGTGATTCTCTTGTACTTGGTGGAACTTCATTCTCCTAAGTATGAATTGGTAGTTTCAAATGACGAGAGGAATGTAGAGAATAAACTAATAATATGTATTTTTAATTACTTTCAGATGGTTTTTAAATATTCGAATTTTACAAAAATGAACCTCTTTTTGATTTTATTTGGTTTTGTTCAGGTTTTTATTTGGTTTCAAAATTTTCTATCTATTATTGATAAAAATACAATTAAAACAAAATGGAAGATTCTCAACTTACATTTGATTCCTAATATCTTGATTAGGCTACTATTCTGCTTAGTTTTAGTAAGGTGGTCTTATTATGAGAAAACCTAATGTCAATATAAAACTTTATAACAATTATTTGTATGTTTTATAATTATTTAAGGTCTCCTATTTTCAGGCTGTTTTTTGGATACTAAAAATAATTAATTAATATAACATGGTTTTTATTAATTTTTTAATCTAGATTTAATTTCTTTTACTTTTTCAAAAGCATCTATTGCTTAGTCAAACTATTTTAATTCTTATAAGCACTAGCCTTTAGATATTTAAGAATTCATTAACCTTTATTATTGTAGGCTATCTCATTGTTTGAATCTATTTGTATGGCTTGATCAAAATAAGTCAAAGCCTCTTAACAACGTTTTAATTAATGTAAAGCGATACCTAATTAGTTATATTTCTTACCTTTATTAATCAAATAGCTTTAATTTAAAGGATCAATTCTAGTAGCAAGACCAAATGAATAAATTGCTTCTTAAAAACGTCTTAATTAGGATAATGCAAGACCTGTAAATATTAAAAGAAAGAAATTACCTTTTTTATTATGAGCCAAATCATTTTTTGGATTAATTGCTATCGATTTCTCATATGAGTTTATTGCATCTTCAAAAAGTCCTTTACTACTTAATGCATTTCCTTAAAAATACTTTAAAAATTAACCTTTATTGAATTACGCTTTATAATTATTTTAATTTAATTTTAAAACCAAATTAAATTGATCTATTGCTTCATCATAAAGTTCTAAATCTAATAAACATAACCCTAAATTTTTAGTTTAAAGATACCTTTTTAATTTTATGCATTTTCATTTTAAGGATTAATAGATATGGCTTTGTTAAATGTAGACAAAGCCTCTTACGATTTTTTTAGTTAAAATAGCAGTTATCCTTAAGAAAACATATATCATTAAAAATACCTTTACTAACCAAAGAATAATCATTTTTTGGATTCAATAAAATCGCTTGATTAAATGACTCTAAAGCTTTTTAAAATTCATTTAATTCAACTAAGGCAAGACCTATTATAATGTTAATAAATATTACCTCTGTTATTCCAAGCTTTATCAAAATTTTAATTTATTTAAATAGCTTAATCATATGAATCAATAGCTTCTTAGTATTTCTTTAATTCAAATAAAGCTAGCCCTTTTAATATTAATAGTATTTTAAACCTTTGTTATTGAATGCATTATCATTTTGAGGATTAATTGTAATTGATTTATCATATGACTCTATAGCTTATTAATAAAGTCCTTTATTTCTTAAAGCATTTCCTATAGTAAAGGGTAATATTACACCTTTGTTATTATAAGCTTTGTCATAATTGGGATTAATTTAGATTGCTTTATTGAAAGATTCTATAGCTTAATCATAAAACTTAAGTTCTAATAGGCACAAACCTATATAATATGATACTAAAGTAACCCTTATTATTTCTAGCATTTTCATTTTTAGGATTCAATTTTATTGCAGTATCAAATAAATATAAAGCATTCTCGAATCGCTTTAAATTATGTAAAGATAATCCTAATTTTATTTATTTTAACTACCTTTATTGTTGTAGGACTTATGATTTTTATATGAATTGATAATTTCTTAGCTAAATTTTACAATTGCTTTATCATATTCTTTTTATTGATATAATTCTGCTCCTTTTAAATTTATTTTATGTTATTAGTACCTTCTTTTATATAATTACTTTCATTTTGAAATTATATTTATTCTGTTTTTTGATGCAACTCAGGATTGTATTAATAACCATAGAGAATAATTAAAGAAATTCCTAAAAGAATTATGAATCTAAGTTATTACCAATACAAATAATTTCTTCAAATTAAATATTTGATAATAATCTATTCAAATGCTTAATTGCTAGTTATATACCTTAATTGTAATCTATTATTAATTATTACATCATACATGTCTTAAATTCTTAATCATGTTAATTATATAATTTTATAAATGGAATATATTATTTTAATAAGTTAAATTATTGACCATCTATAGTCTTAATTAACTCATTCAGCAGCTATTTTTCTTTTGCTATATATTGTTGAATTTCTAAATGGACAAGTTTAAATTTATTTAGTTATGCTAAGAGCTAGTTTTGGATTAAAATATTTTCTTTTTTTTTAGCATTTTATTTATAAACATCCTTTATTTTTGTATATATTTCTTAAAGTTCTTTTTCTCTATTTGAAGAGCCATTCTAAAAATTTTAGAGAAGAGTAGAAATATAAGAAATCCTTTGGCAATTATCTTAATGATCTTTATGCTTTTCTATTAAACATTTATAGCAAAAGAAATTGGAGGATTCGCAATTCTATAACAAACAAATGCCCAAAATTGGTTCATTTGAATGTCCATCATACATACATCTAAACACTATTAATTCAGTCATATTAATTTAATAATTATTTTCGAGGCATTTATTCATTTATAATATAAGAATAGTTTTTTAAAAAACTTATAAAATAATTCTCCTATTCAAAAATTCATATTTTCTCTAAATTTTATCCTTTTTATTTAACCTTTGATAATCATTCGGCATAAAGTTTTAAGAATTAATGAAAATAAAAATTTTTAGTCTTGAATTTTATTTTGTTTTTAGCAAAGTCAACTCCTTTAGTTTCAAAATATAGAGAACCTTTAAAATCAAGGTTTTTCGGTAAATATGAATGGAAACCCGATTTAATATATATAACAAGATATATTATTATTATTATGTTTAGTGTTTGCAGTGTTAATATGGTTTTATGCATTTAAATATTAGATATAGTTTTTTAATCTTGTAAACATTATTTAATACTTCAAAATATGTTTAGATTCTTTCTTAAAGATTTTTTCATCATCTCAGATTAAAACCTTTTCCATCTCAAATTGAATGAAAATTAAAGTTAATACAAAATAAAGTAATATTTTTTGTAACTATTGATTTTATCATGATTTTTGCTTTTCTTTTTATTTTAAACTAATCATAATTAACAAAATTTCGGGTGGATTGTCTTAGATGTTTATTAACTATTTGATATATTTTGAAAATTAATTAAGATTTACAATTTCAGATTCCTCAATAATTTTATGTTTAATAATTCATATAAGAAATATGCTAATAGAGATTAATTAAAATAAACTCAATAAATTATCAGCTAATTATTTATGTAAGAAGATTATTATTTAATAGAGATGTTTTTAAGACTATTTTTTTGAGAATTTGCTCAGATTACGATTTAGTAAGCGACTTTCAGGTCTTTAATAATAGAAAGAAGTTTCAGGATAGAGAATTTAACAATTTTTAATTTTTTATGCAAAATCATTTTAAATTATATAAAGCAAGATTTAAAGTGTTTAATTTAAAAGACCCATAAATTATTCAGCTTATTAAAATTATGACTTTAAATTTTCAAATTTAAGATTAGGTTCATAAAATTTCGGATAAATTCAAATTAGTTAAGATTAAAACATTAAAATGTTTTCTTATATTAGTTGAATTTCTTTTCTTTACTAATTAAGAGTCAATACAAAGTTTGAAGTTGTGCTCAACTTAAAATAATCTATATAAACATTTCAGAAATTTTCAATGAATAATAAAGACCCTTAGTTTTTGTATATAATTTATTATATTAATTTTCTTGATAAAAAAGTCTGTTTGATCATTGTAATCCTTTCTTTGTAATTTAATATTATTTAATAATATCTCATTGTAACATGTTCCTTTAATATTTTATAAATTAAAATTAATATATAAATTTAAAATGTATTTGAATTGTAAAAAGTTGATTAGATATTATGTCTTTTTTATTTATTTGGCTTTAGATTATTTACTAATGGTATTTATTTTTTCATAATAATCTGTATTAATAAAAAAGATAAACATAGAGAAATTGTTAAATTGAAAAAAATAAATAAATAAGCGGATATTTTCATCAATTATCATATTAAATCTCCTTACTTTTTTAAGTTTTAATATTATATTTTATTTACATTTTTTAAAATCCTGCCTCTATATTATTCCTATCTCTAACCATTTCATCCCATATACCAACTTTGTTAGCATTTTTATATTCACCCGTATAAATAAATTATGAATCCCACTTAAATTCATCACTCAATTCAATCCACTTTCCAACCTTAATAGCTCCTATTTCTTTGTCATTTTCATATAATCCGCCACCTCTAAATTATATTATTACTTTATTTTACATCTATTCAAATTGATCACTCATCTTCTACCTATATAATACATCCCATCTACCAAATTTAAAACCATTTATATATTCACCAGTTTAAATGACTTAAGAATAATCATAAAATCCTTCACTTAATTCAATCCATTTACCAATCTTTTTAAGACCTTCTTATAAGCATTCATCATATTATCCACCACCACTAAATCATTTTATTTTATTATTTAAAATTACATCTATCGAAATCTATCATTTCTTCTATATAAAATATCCCATCTACCAATTTTTTGACCATTTTTATATTCACCTTTATAAATAATTTACGAGTCTTTCTTAAATTCATCCCATAATTCGATCCACATACCAATCTTAATATTATTTTGTTCGGCATCATCTACATATTATCCACCACCACTGAAAATTGTTAAATGCTTACATCAATTCATTTTTTCCTCCAAATTTCAAAAAATTATCCCATCTGCCAACTTTATGACCTTCTTTATAGAAGCCTTCATAAGTGACTTATGAGTAATCCGAAAAGAAGTTACTCAACTCAATCCACCTTCCAATCTTTATTGATATCCCATTCTTATCATCAAATTGTCCACCACCTCTATAATTTCATTTTATTTGTATACATTAATTCAAAATTATCATTCCTTTTATACATAATATCCCATCTCCCAATTTTTTGACCATTTTTATATTCACCTTTATAAATGACTTGTGAATCCCATCTAAAATTATCAACTAACTCAATCCACATCCCAATCTTAGTGCTGCTATGCTATTCATCTTTGTATGATCCTCCACCACTAAAATATATTTTGACTTTTCTCACATCTATAAATTCTATTCATCCCAATTCCAATTTATATCCCATCTTCCAACTTTTTTTCCATTCGAATAATCACCTATATAAGTTACTTAACTTTAACTAAAGATCATGGTTAAAATAACTTACTCCATGAAACTTTCGCTTAAATCTATCCATTTACCATCTTTCTACTAATTCTCATTATATTTTCCTCCTCCACTAAAATGATAATAATAGCATACATTATTTTATTTTTATAGATGTATTTCCATTACCCATTCTTTACATCATTATAATACTCTCCTACTTCATATATTTCAGCTTGACTATCCAAAGTAAGTGCAAAAATTTACCTCCTATAATTTTTAAAAGTTTGGCTCCATATACCTTATTTTAGTCCACCTTCAAAGTATCCGCAAACTTCTTACAATGGAGTTCCATACCAAGTAGCTGTTTGTCTCACAAATTTTTCCTAGTCATTTCTACTTTAAATTTAGCATTTAAAATGTTTAATCAATTCTAGATTAGTCAAGATCTCTGGTTCTTCATAGTTGCTAAATTATTGGCTTTTTGAAATTCTAATAATTTCATACATTCTTAAAATTTATCCATCCTTAGAATAAATTATTGAGTAATCTTAAGTGATTGTTATAAGAATTTTTGTTTTCATATTTTACATTTTCATTTAATTCCAACAATCAATATCATATTCTCGAGTTCCTATTTTCCATATTTTTGGCTCTAAAGCTGCTTATGTTTAAAACTTCATCTTTTAAATAATTATTTTTATTTTTGTTATAATAAAAAAATTTTTAAATGACATTTAATTTTCATTTCTGATAATGATGTAATATTAATAATTAATCCTCTAATTCAATTTTATATTTAATATTATCTATTTTTATTGAAAAACTAATTAATAATGAACCCTTAAGCTTAAGTTCAATAAATTTTTGAAGATTTAATAAGCCTTAAATAAGGCTGCGATGAATATATTGTGAAAATGTGGGATTTCAAAAAAGAAATGTACGTAAACACTAAAATTAAGATTGAAATTACACAAAATAATATGATAATTTACTCTTAAAATGGAGTAATCTTGAGAATGTAATAATTGAATATGATAAAAAGTGAATAAACTAATGATGTCTCAAAGAATCTAGAAATTTTAAAAAATATTGAGTAGATCAAATATCTTACTTGGTAAGGTTAAAGTGGTTAGAACAACAAGAAAAATGGTAAATGGGTTGCTACTTGGAAAGGTGAAGATATAATGAATGTTGGTGGATACTTTATGGATGGTTTAAAGCAAGGTTTGTGGATTTAAATGATAAAAAATTATTGGGAGTAAATTTTTTTTTTTAATTTTATAGTTAAGCCCAAGTTTTTGAAATTGGAGAATATGAAAATTATATAAGAAGAAATAGATGGAATTATATTTATGATAACAAAAAGATGTATTTCTTTTCCATATTATTTAGTAATGGTGGATCATATAACGTAAATGGTTAAAAATATGGCAAATGGTTTGAGTTTTGCGAAGGATTTAGGGAGGATTGTTAAGTATTATATTTTGGAGAATATGATGAAAATGGTTAAAAAGTTGGTATTTGGGATACTATGAGGAGGAGATCTAGCAGCGATTCTTTTTAATTGATGTAAATTAAAATAAAAATGGTAATAGTGGGGGTGGAATATATGATTAAAAAGGTAATTCAAGAAAGATTGGGAGATGGATTGAGTTAAGTGAATTATTCAGATGGGACACTTAAGTCATTTTTAATGGAGAATATGACATGAATGGAGTAAAAGTTGGCTTATGGGAAATTTTGTATAAGCAAACTAAGAAAAAATTTTTCGAAAAAATGTAAAAGGATTATTTATTATTAGTGGTGGAGGGGTATATGATTAAAAAGAAAATTCAAGAAAAATTGGGAGATGGATTGAGTTGAGTGAATCTTTTAGATGCGATTCTTAAGTCACATATAATGGGGAGTATAATAAGAATGGTAATAAAATTGGTAGATGGGATATATATTTAAATTGGAATGGAGGAAACAATAGAATGTATATAATATTTATTAATTATTAAAGTGGTGGAGGATTATATGAAGATTAAAAAGGAGTTTAAATAAAGGTTGGGAGATGGATTGAATTATTTGAGAATTTCAATGAATAGAATCAAATCAAATATAATGGCATCTATAATTAGTAGGGCAATAAAATTGGAAGATGGGATATTTTCTAAAGAGAGAATAGATAAAAGAAGTTTTGTAAAATGTAAAACTATATTTATCACATTAGTGGTGGAGGTGAATATGATGGTTCATTTAAGATTGGGAAATGGATTGAAATTTGGGATGATTTCGAATGGAATAAATAACTTATTTATAATGGAGAATATAATTTGGATGGTAAAAAAATTGGGAGATGGGATATTTTGGAAGTAATAACTTCACAAGTTTCATTGTGGTAATTAAATAATTTCAAATTTTTAGTGGTTGTATCAACTATGATTCAATTGGAGAAGAAATTTATAGAAGCATTAAGTATGATATAATTTGAATTATAAGTGATCCCATTATTTTTGTAGGGCAATTTAAAGATGAAAAAAAAATTGGCAAATGGGATATTATGTCTAGATAATACTAAGGTCGACCTTTTCAAAATATGTAATTTTAAATTATCATTTTAGTGGGGGCGGTGAATATGATGGTTTGAATAAAATAGGAAAATGGATTGAATTATAGGATGATATCAATTAGCATTTATAATTCATTTATAAAGGAGAATATAATATGGGAGGTTATAAAATTGGAAGATGGGATATTCTGGAAAGAGTAAATAATTAATTTTCATTGTGGTAATCAGATAATCTGAATTTTTAGCGGTTGCATTAACTATGATTCTAGTGGAAATGAGATTTACAGGAATGATAAGTATAATACCATTCAAATTATTAGGGATTCTTTAGTTTTTGTAGGATAGTTTAAAGATGAAAAAAAATTTGGCAAATGGGATTTTATGTATAAATAATAAAAAGGTTAACCTTTTGAGATTATGTACCATTATTTTATCATGTTAGCGGAGGTGGTGAATATGATGGTTTGTATAAAATCGGAAAATGGATAGAATTATGGGATAATTTCAGATATGACTCCTAAATTACTTTTATTGGAAACTATAATGAAAATGGTCAAAAAATAGGTAAATGGGATATTTTTTAGAAGCATAATGGACAAGTTTAACAAATGTAATTAGAAAATAAATTTATTTTAGTGGTGGTGGATCCTATGATGTATAAAAAGGAAGTTCAATTAAAATTGGAAGATGGATTGATGTGTCTCATAGTTTTAGATAAAGTAATAAAATCAAATATAATGGGGATTATAATAATAATGGTCATAAAATAGGGAAATGGGATATTATATATAGTGGCGCATAAGAAAAAGAATATAAATTAATGTACAAATAGGTTTCCTTTTTTTAGTGGCGGTGGATTCTATGATGAGTCATCAGAAGTTTCAACAAAAATTGGCGATTGGATTGAGGTTTCTGAGGAATATCAGAAACACAAGGAAATTACTGATCATGGAAAGTACGACAAGAATACAAAAGTTGGAAGATGGGATATAGAGTTTAAGGGGAATAAAATGTATAATGAATTAATTTATTTTAGTGCGGGTGGATCATATGAAGTATATGAGGGAGTTTCAAAAAAGATTGGGAAATGGATTGAGTTGTCAGAAGGTTTCAATGAGGTTTTATAAATTACTTTTCATGGCGAATATGATTTGAACGAAAAAAAAGTCGGTAGATGGGATAGAGAATTAAAGGGAAAGAAAATGTAGGATTGGTTTAATTAATTTTAGTGGGGGTGGATCATATGATGTATAAGAGGGAGTTTCAAAAAAGGTTGGGAAATGGACTGAGTTGCCAGATGGGTTTTATTAAATTACATTTGTTGGCGAATATAATTAGAATGGTTAAAAAGTTGGTATATGGGATACCGAATATTATGGATAAAAAATGTAAAAAAGCTAAGATTAAAATTATTTTAGTGGTGGTGGTTAGTATGTTTTGCAAGAAGGAAGTTCAATAAAATTTGGAAAATGGATTGAGTTGTCTAACGAATTTTATGCAAATTCTCAAATAATCTATTGCGGAGAATATAATTTGAAAGGTTAAAAAGATGGTAAGTGGGATATTATGTATTGTAAATATAATGAAAAAGAATTCAAAAAAATGTAAAAATTGCAAATTAATTTGATAGTGGTGGCGGATCATACAATGAGTGTAAAGAAGGATCAAAAAAGATTGGGAGCTGGATTGAGTTAATTGATGGATTTGGATGGAATGGCAAAATAACTTATAAAGGTGAATATAATGAATTTGGTGAAAAAATTGGAATATGGGTAGAAATTGATAGTGAGAAAAATAAAGTGAAGGAATTGAGATATAATAATTGAATAGAATTAATCTTTATAATCTGATGTTGTTTAATTCTTGTTAGGAAGCTAGATGATTTTATAGATAATCACTTTATTAACTTTTTTCGTTTTAATTTTGTTTTATCTAATTTGTAATATTTAATAATTTGCAATCTAATTAACTCGATTTGGGAGAGAAACTAGATCGAAATTATTTGAAATATGAAAATGAGAGGAACAACTGATATTAAAAAAATATCATACTTAATGTATCATTAATTTCATACGTATAAGTTGATGATCTAAAATATAGCATACTTTGGATTAATTTATTTTTATAAGATTTTATAAGAAATTTTATAAGAAGCACAATTTTTGAGGAAATTTAAATCAGATATAATGGGAAAAATTTTTTATCTAAATAAAACAAATACTTTCAAAGGCAAACCTTTATTTTATGTTAGATTTCCGCAATAAACATGTAAATTAAATTTTTATGAATGAATAGTACTGAAATTCTTAAAAAAAATATAGATTTTTTGTTATCAAAACTAGAACAATGATATTCTAAAATGATATAAATATTTAAATATAAGCCAAAAATCTTAGTCGTCATAACAACGAATACATTATTCAACCTCTTCATAAATTTTACCAACTTCACAACATAATCCAGAAACCTAGTTTAAAAATTAAATCTAACCAGGCAGATATATATTTTTTCATTAATCAAATTGCAATAATTTCCTATAGCTATTTGATATTTAATATAAGTTGTATAGGAAAGAAGATGACACCTAAAAAGTAATCCTAAAACTTGATATACATTTAATTATCTTTATGCATATTATTAGATAGTATTCAATCATCATATTTAATTTCACAATATTAATAACCATAGCCCATTATCAACCATATTCCTGTCTTCATTCCATTCCGATTATATTCTCCATTGTAAGTGATTTAATAACCATTATAAAACCTTTCATTCAATTCTACCCACTTCCCAATCTTTTTCTCACCCTCGTTACTTTCATATGATCCACCTCCACTAATATTTTATTACTATATTAATATTTACATTTATTAAAAGTTTGAACTGCTGTCTTATCTAAACATAATCTCCCATCTACCTACTTTTTTACCTTAGAAATTATATTGGCCTGAGTGAATTATTTAATTATCCTCAGAAAACTATTCATCCAACTCTACTCACTCTCCAATCTTTTTGTCATCTTCATCATTATTATATGATCCACCACCACTAACATATTAGTTCACATATAAATAATTTACATTATTTTCATTCCTACCATTAAGACTTGCAATAAATAATATCCCATCTACCTACTTTCTTACCCCTCATATTATATTCACTATTATAAGTGATTTATTTCCAATTGGCAAACCATTCATCCAGCTCTACCCACATTCCAATCTTTTTCTAACTCTCATCACTATAATATGATCCACCGCCGCTAGCAGATGCTTACTATTATATAATTATATTTATTTTCCTTCAAATACTATATTCCATCTACCGGCCTTCATACCCTAAATATTATATTCACCATTATAAGTAAGTTTTCTCAAATTGTAATACTTTTCATCTAACTCTATCCAACTCCCAATCTTTTTCTAATTCTACTCTTCAAATGATCCACCGCCACTATACATTTTCTTACTAAAATATTACATTTATATTCCTTCACATACTATATCCCATCTACCTACCTTAATACCCTTAACATTATATTCGCCGCAATAGGTGATTTATTTATTTGGTACATCAAACCATTAATCCAACTCTCCAATCTTTTTCTCACCTTCATGATTATCATAAGATCCACCACCGCTAATAAGTTATTAATTTATTTATGAATAATTTACATTTATACATATTCCTACTCTTCCTCTTTACAACACATAATATCCCATTTTCCTTCCTTCTTACCCATTTTATTATACTCACCGCAATAGATGACTTATTTAATATACTAGAACCTTTCATCCAACTCTACCCATATCCCAATCTTTCTCTGACCCTCATCACTATCATATGACCCACCACCACTAATATATTACTATTCTAGAATTTTACATTAATTGATATTCCTACTATCCACGCTTGCAATAAAAAGTATCCCATCAACCTACCTTCTAACTCTTCAAATTATAATCGCCGTTATAAGTGACTAATTTACCATCCATAAACTATTCATCCAATTCTACCCATTTTCCAATCTTCCTTGAGCCTTCCTCTTCATTATCATATAATCCCCCACCACTAACATGTTATTAATATACTTATATCATATTTACATTTATAAAAATGGGTAAGTGCTACCATATCTATACATAATATTCCATCTGCCTACTTTGATACCCTTCTTGTTATATTCACCACTGTAGGTGACTTATTTACCGTTAAAAAATTTTTCATCTAATTCTATTCACCTTCCAATCTTTGTCTAACTCTCATCATTACGATAGAATCCACCACCGCTAACAATATATATATTTTTTAATTTACATTAATTTAAATTACTACTCATACCGAATGCAATACATAATATCCCATTTTCCTACTTTCTTTCCCTTCAGATTATATTCCCCATTAAAAGTAGCCTAGGCTTAATCACAAAAGCTCTCCAACAAATCTATACATTTTCCAATTTTTTATCCTTGCTCATTATATTATCCACCAGCACTAAATTATTTAAACAATCTGTACATTTTATCATCATTTTTCATGTAACCCCATTTACCGATCTTTAGTCCATTAGAATATTTTCCAATTTAAGCTTTGCTATTATATATATTGATCAATCTATCTTTTACTTCCAAAAATTTCTAATCAATTCTTTCCATAAACCTTACTTCAATCCCTTTTTGTAATATCCCCTACACTCTTAAGAATATCTCCCTTCCAAGACACTCTCCACCTACCAGATTTTTAATTTTCCAATCCATATTCGCCTTACCATTAAAGATATTGAATTTATTCCAAGTTCATCAATATTTCTGGCTTTTAATCAATATCTATAACTTATTCCCTTTTTCTCTAATTAATAAACTTTACACTCTTAAAATTATTCCATTTTTTTAAGAAATGGTTTTGTAATCTTTAGTAAAGATGATTTTTATGATTATTTTTTCACATTTATCATAAACTTCGCATTCTTATTCAGTGGCATCTTTCTAAATAAAAGACTTTGAGATATTTTTTTCTAATGGATTTTCAATTTAAAACATAATCACTTTTTTAATTAATACTTTCATTTATAAAAATAGTTTTTACTTTAATACAACATAAATAAATAAATGAGTAAGAAAATAATGATTAAAATTTGAATTTAGCCATAGAATTATTCACTTAAAAAATTTTGATACTTTTTAAAATAGTAGTATATAATTCCATTTATGGGTGTTTGATTTTCATTAAAAACATTCCAAACATTCTTATTATGCCACTATTTTCACTCTTTGTCCTTATTAAAAATATGTTTACAAAAATGATAATCTCCCCATTTAATTATACGATCAAAGAAAATAAAACAAGTTTTTTTATAGATAAATTTTTTAAAGAAAAATAAATTTAACGTCACTCTCAGTTATTTTTAGGATTTGGGCTGGCTTACTGTCACTTTTTTGGTCACTGTATTTAAGGAGCCGTGATTACTAGTACAAATGAATATCTTCCTATTATAATATTTGGTCATTTATATAAAGTAAGGTTGGATTTTGAAAATTTAAATGAAGATAGGAAATTAAAAACTTTAAAAAAAAAGAATGCGATAGATGTAGTTTTTTTAAAATTGGATTCCATATATATATCATTTTTATAGTAATTAATTACAATCTCTTCAAAATTAGAATACGAAAATAAAATACATTCTTTAACCAATTTTTTCTAAATATTATATTACATATAAATTAAATTCGTAAATCAAAGAACCCTTTTATCATTTTTGTATTGCTTTTAAGGTTGAATTTTTATTTCTAAAAAAAAATCAACTTACCAATATAGAAATAAGTTAAGGTTTTTTCATTTAATTTTAAGATACAGTTTGAAAGATTAGAATAATATATGTTACATTAAATAATAAATAACTTTGAAGATATATTTAATTTTGAGGAAAAAAATTTCGGTTGAAAGTTTTGGACAATTTTTTAAAAATATAAAGAAGTTTTGGGGTTTTGATCCAAAATTTTATCATTTAGTGATTGAATCTTAAAAGGAAAATATTTATAAAATCTGTGTTTTAGATAATAAAAGAAATTATGAATAAATTTTTGGCACAATTAGCTAATTAATGCATTTTTTCTATAATATATTTTGCTATTTTAGTCTCTATAGTATAATTTTAATACTAATTGGAGTGCCTAAACTTTAAATTCCAATTTATATTTTTAAAAAGGGTAGTTCTTTGATATTTGCATATTTAAAACACAGATTTACGACCCAGCTTTAGATTAGTTGACTTTTTATGAGTACGTATCGCCATTTTAAATAATTTACCATTCTAAGGGATAAAAAATTCTTTTAATTCTTTTAAAAAGTTATAAAAAATATTTTTTATCAATATTAAGTATTTTTTGAATTTTTAAATTTATTGAAAATATTTTTTTTGGCATACTACAAGCATAAATAAAGGAGAAATATTGGATATTAAGAACTAAAACAAGAAACAAAGCATTGATTGAAAAATGGTCAATAATCATTATCAAAGAAAACTTCTAATAAACTTATGATGATCAATTATTATTTAAACCTTTAATATAAATTAAAAAATAACGAAAATACTTATATTTTGATCTTCTTTTCAACTAAATAGCTGAGCCTAAAATCTTATCATGAGGCGTTATTAGAATAATAAATTTTAATTACAAATTAATTATTGCAAACTCTAATTAAAATTAGAATAAAATAATTCATATTTTGAATCAACAAATAATTTTTTAAGAATGATTTGAAAATTCAAAATGATTGATGATAAAACGAATTAAAATTTGAAATACAAATACCTAATGATAATATTATTTTATTTAATAATCAATTAAAAAGTAAATATATTTCAGTTTGTAAATAATGATTGAAATGATAAATATTAACTTACAGTGAATAAAATATTTAAAAAAAAAATGGGATGTAAGGTATCTAAGCCATAATATAAAGAGCAATTTAGCTATGAGCTGCTAGATTAATTTGATTACCATTGTAGTATAAGAGCCCTTGCCTTGAATTAAGCTAAAAATTTATTAGTATTGGGTTCGGATAGCGAAATTCATATTTTTCATATTCAAAAAGGTTTTATGAAATAATTAAAAATAATAAAGTAAAGCCAAACTTAAACTCTAAACTTTTTTTTTTAAAATGGCACTTTTATTTCTGGATCAGCTGACTCATTAATCATTTGGAGTACAAATATAATTTCCAATATAAAATTCACTTTCAAAATGAAGGATCGCACTTAAGGGGTGTGTTGCGTAGCCTTACATTCAGAGTTTGAAGAAACTATTATAAGTGGATATTATGATGGTTCAATAAAAATTTTTGGTTGCTCAACATAATGGTTTTGTAAATAAATTATTAATGAACACACAGAGGCTGTAAATTCATTAGCAATTAATTAAAATGGAAATAAATTTATCTCTTGTAGTAATGATAATACATTATTAATTATTAAAGTTTCCATTTAATAAAAATGGTGTTTAAAACAAAGAATTTAATTGTTGTAATATGGATTTCGTTTATCATTTATAACAAATGAAAGTTTTTCATTCTAACCTAATTCATATCTTAATGGTAGATATCTTTATATTTTTTAACTCAATTCTTCAACTCAATTGTTTGAAAAAGTATTGGAAATTCCAGTGTTAGGCAGGAATCAATATTGTTCTTAAGGCTTCCCTTCAACCTATATTTAATCTAAAAATTTACTCCATGTTAAACATGGTTACTATATTAATATATTTAGAATTACCCCTTCCAAAAAATTGATGAAATAATATGTTTTAGAATAGTCTATAGAATTTGGAACTAGATATGTTTTTGGCACTCAAAGTAATGATGGAGAGTTATTGATAACTTGGGATGCAGAATCGAATTAAATACAAATTAGGAAGCTTATTTTTAAAAGATGATAAAAATTAATAAATATTAGTATTTTTTATTTTAATTCAAAAAATATTTAAATTAGCACGCTTTCTTTGGCATAAAGTCCTTATGATTATGAAATTATAATTAGTTTTTTTTATAATTAGGCTTTCTTATTTTTTAAATTTTACATAAATTATAAGTTGATTAAAAGTTTAATGCTTTTGACTTTACTTTATTTAACTCTATTTTGAATATTAACTTTTTTTTTATTCTAATTGAAATTATTTGTTATTGAAAATAAAATTTTACTAACTTAATTCAAAATTTTATTAGTTTCATGTTTTGAAAGAATTTAGTCACCTTACTTTTTATTTTAAAGAAATCCAAAGTTCAATAATTATCTAATAATTCAAATTAATTACATTCTCAGTCTTTCAAAATAATTTCAATGTACTATAATAATTAATCTATATGTCTTTCTTCACCAATAATTAGATTGTTAATTGAAAATATTCATCTTTTCTTCTTAAATCCCAATTTAAATTATTTCCCAATTTTTATCCTTGAACAATTTGTTATCAACCATTAACATCTTAATTTAAAAGATTTCATCTTGAAGAAATTCCAAAAAATTTCTGATAAGATTTTCCCGTCAAACTTTTTTTATTTAACAAATCTTTATTTTTTAATTTATATTTCTATCAATTATACATTGAATAATTTTTAAATGTTCTTGAATTCAAAAGACTTCAATTCACGATAAGTTTCTTTTATACGAACTATCAATATAAGAATTTAATATTTTCTCTAATTTTAATAATTGATTGTAAATTTTATACTTCAAGAATTTGATTCAAAAATAAATTTTTAATCAATTCAATAACTTAGATATACTAAATCAGAAGCTCAAAAGATCTTAAAGGGAACAATTTGGTCATGATGTCAAAGTTTACTTTCGTTTTTTTATTTAAAAAAGAAATTGAAATTATTCTATGAAAAAGGGAAGGAGATAAAATTTAAAAACATGAAAGTAAAAACTGATTGGATTTTTTTGAAAAGCAAATAATCTAAATTTAATGAACTATAAAAATAAAATTAATTTTAAATAAAATTTTTCATCTTCTTTTAATTTATCCTTTTCTTGTGAAGCAATAGTTAATTCTACTTACTTTTATAATGAGAATGCATCAATACTACCATAAATATCTATCTGGACAGTAGTATACATATCATTGAATAAACATTCAACAAATTATAATTCAGATTACACAATTGATTGTAGATAGGTTTCTTTTTTATTGATTACTTATCTTTAACATAAAATGGGAGGTGTGGTATCTATTTGTTAGGTTCTCTTCTTTCTAAAAATCTTTAAATATTTTTTTCAAATTGTTTCTCGAAAGTATTCCGTCTAAAAGTAAATTGCAGATTAATTTTTTAAGTTTTCCTATGGTGGTGGTCTATTAATTTAGGAATATCCTCCATCAACTTCCATTTTGTATATTTTAATAATGATGATGATAATAAGAAAAATAATAATAATACGATTAAAAATTAATGCATCTATTTTTTATTGTTATAAATAAAATTCTTTCCCTTTACATTTGTGATAGGCGTTTTTTTTTTGTTTTTAGATACTAGACTTGGAAAAAAATTTTTTTACATTTCATAAAATCAAGTATCTCTATTTGTTGATTTGGAGTATTAAGTTTAAAATTGCAAATTGTGTTTATTTAAATTTATTAAATGAAGACTTTAAAAAAATTATTTATCGTGTATTATAATTTTTATAAATTTAATAGAATGGGAATTTGTGGCTCAAAATAGCATATTAAATAATAAAAAGAAACCAATTCAGTCATCAGGTAAATTAGTTTTTAAAGGGATGAAGTTGATTTGAGTTTTTAAAGGGATGAAATTGATTTGAGTTTTTAAAGGGATGAAGTTGATTTGCAAAACAAAAAAGAATATGAATGTTTTTTTTTTGACAATCATCTACAAAGAAGAATAAAGATGAAATACTAAATTGAATTTGATAAAGAAAATAAAATCACTCATATTTATTATGAATAAATAGCTAGATTGTAATTCAATTCATAAAAATACTAATAGAATAAGAAATTTTTCTTATATGGAGCCAGAAATTTTCAACAATTTAGAAAAAATCAAATATCTTGAATGGGTTGGTCAATATGGAAAGAATTTTAAGAAGTTTCCTGAATGGAATGTTAATTGGAATGGAGAATTTCTCTAAAGAGTTGGAGGATATTACTCACAAAGAGGGGAAAAGATAGGTTTATGGAAAGAATTATCAAAGGATTATTGCAGGTAACTTTTAGGTTAAGGTAATTATTAGTAAAGTTCCTTTATTTGAAGAGGGAGACTACAAGAATAATAAAAGGACAGGAAGATGGAACTATATTTATAAAGATCAAATAATGTATTAGATTAATTTATAATTTTGTGGTCATGGATCATATGAAAAGGGCTAAAAGAACGGGAGTTGGGTAGAGTTGTGGGAGGGATTTAGGCATGGTTCTTAAATTATTTATGATGGTGATTATAATAGAAATGGTAGAAGAATAGGTAAATGGGATATTATTTATTGCTTACCTTTCGAGTAGGAATATAAATAAATGTAAATATTTATATAAGTAAAATGATAGTGGTGGCGGATCATACGATCAATAAGAGGGTTAGAAAATTGGAAGATGGATAGAGTTGTGGGAAGGGTTTTCAAATATTGCTTAAGTTACTTATAATGGAGAATATAATACGACAGGTATGAAAGTGGGTAGATGGGATATTATGTGTTGTTTGTAGAATGAATAAGAACAGAAATTAATGTACATCTTATGACTGTAATATTATTATGTTAGTGGTGGTGGGGTCTTTAAAGAGGATGGTTTGAAAATTGGATCATGGGTAGAGTTGTGGGAGGGGTATTAACATGATAATTAAATTACTTATAAAGGCGAATATAATATGGATGGTATGAAAGTGGGTAGATGGGATATTATGTGTTGTTTGTAGAATGAATAAGAACAGAAATTAATGTACATCTTATGACTGTAATATTATTATGTTAGTGGTGGTGGGGTCTTTAAAGAGGATGGTTTGAAAATTGGATCATGGGTAGAGTTGTGGGAGGGGTATTAACATGATAATTAAATTACTTATAAAGGCGAATATAATATGGATGGTATGAAAGTGGGTAGATGGGATATTATGTGTTGTTTGTAGAATGAATAAGAACAGAAATTAATGTACATCTTATGACTGTAATATTATTATGTTAGTGGTGGTGGGGTCTTTAAAGAGGATGGTTTGAAAATTGGATCATGGGTAGAGTTGTGGGAGGGGTATTAACATGATAATTAAATTACTTATAAAGGCGAATATAATATGGATGGTATGAAAGTGGGTAGATGGGATATTATGTGTTGTTTGTAGAATGAATAAGAACAGAAATTAATGTACATCTTATGACTGTAATATTATTATGTTAGTGGTGGTGGGGTCTTTAAAGAGGATGGTTTGAAAATTGGATCATGGGTAGAGTTGTGGGAGGGGTATTAACATGATAATTAAATTACTTATAAAGGCGAATATAATACGACAGGTATGAAAGAGGGTAAATGGGATATTATGTGTTGTTTGTCGAATGAAGAAGAAATTATGTAAATTTTATGTCTGCTATAATTTAGTGGTGGTGGATCATATAATTAAAATGAAGATTTAAAAATTGGACAATGGACAGAATTGGATTAAAGATTTTCAAATCTCAATTAAGTCACTTATTAAGGTGAATATAATATAAAAGGTAAAAAGGTAGGTAAATGGGTAATTTGGTATGATAGATATGGATTTGGAAATTATAAATAAATGTATAACTTATTGATAGTTGTTAATTAGTGGTGGAGGATTTTATGATGATGAAAAAGGTTAAAAATTTGGAAAATGGATAGAGTTGTGGGACAAATTTTTATTTGAGAAAGAAATTTTTTATTAAGGCGAATATAATATGAAAGGTGTGAAAATTGGGAGATGGAATATTTATTATGATAAATATGGAAGTTTATAACCAAAGTATATGTAAATATTTTTGGATATTTAAAAAATATGTTAGTGGTGGAGGATTATATGATAAAGAAGAAGGTTGGATAAAGATTGGAAGATGGATAGAGATTGATGAAGGGTTTTAACGTATAAAATAAGTCACCTTTAATGGATTTTATAATATGAAGGGTATGAAGGTAGATAGATGGTATATTTCGTTAAAGGAAGATGAAAAACATAAAAAAATGTAATTAAATAAGAAAATTAATATTTTAGAGGTGGTGGATCATATTGTAAAGAAGGGGGTTATAAGGTTGGAAAATGGGTGGAATTGTGGGAGAATTTTGAAGACCAAATATAAATTACTTATATTGGTGAATATAATAAGAAAGGTGTAAAAGTAGGAATTTGGGATATTAGACTTTAGAAGAGTTATGGACATAAAATATAAATATATATGTAATATTATTTAAGTAATGTAAAAATATTAGTGGCTGTGGAATATATGATGATAAATTTTCGAATAGAAAGATTGGAAAATGGGTAGAATTGGATAAAAAATTTACAGAGATAAACACAATAACCTATTTGGGTTAATATAATATGGAAGGAAAGAAAGTTGGTAAATGGGTAGATAACAAAGGAAAATAAGAATTCATCTATAATATTTGAAAAATGATAGTAAAATTATTAATTTAAAATGATTGAATGTTGAATCATCTGTAATTTCGGAAATAATGAATTAAAAATAATATAAATCCATTTTTTTATTTTTCTCAGTATTATAACAAAATATAAAATATTTTGCTTTAAAAGTTTAATACTTGTTTAATTTATAGGCTTTTCCAATTTACTTTTAGGGCTAACTAAAGTTTATCAACTTTACCTCAACTTATAAAATTAGTTATTTACATCCAATAGTAAAAATAGTTATCGACTAAAATAATTAGCACTAAAATTTCATATTTTAAATGTTAATGGTAAAAATTTGAATTTATATAAAAAAAACAATATCTTTGAAGAATCCACCTCAATAATTTAAATTAAGTTATTCACTCCTACTAAGCTATAATTTTTAATCATTTACCTTAAGACCTGAGAATTCAGATTTATGGCTTAAGTTTATTCAATTTATGTTGATTCTAAGAGAATCTAACATTAATGAGAAAATTTAAATTTATTATAAAACAATTAATCCTAAAGTTCTAGGAAATCCTATTTGATGTAGATAAATAATTGAAGTTTTATAGACTGAAAAGAATAATTACTTATGTTAATTATTTAATTAAACTTTTGTATAAAATAAGTGAACTTTATTTCAGATAACAATTTATATCATATAAAAGAAGACCTTATTAATTATTTTTTTCATTTATTAATGTTTTTGATAATATTTTGTGCCGTTCTATTAGCCAATTCTTAATGGGAATTGAGAGCTTATTATTTATGGGATATTAGGAAATTCTAGTATTCAGATTGCTCTTATTGTTCATCAAGATATACAGATTACTTTCAATAAACCACAACTTCCTACACTACAGCAAATTTTATTAACTGTAGTAACCCATCAATGAGTTACATCACTTTGGACAATACTTACAAAAGCATTTAAAATGTTTATTATTATTATGTGCAAAAAGGAGATTTCATATCATTTGATTTATATTTTTAAGGTATTTGGACGGATAATGAAGTAGTTTTCCAAATTGGATCATAAATAATTAAAATAAAATATACTTCTCCGGCTGAATATCCCATTAAGAATGGATTTTGTGATTCCCTTCTCACAGATGTAAAGACAATAAATTTAACATTAATAAGCTCAGGTTATTTATAATTTAGAAAATCTGATAATAATATTGGTGAGGTTTCAATCAGAAATATAGGAATATCAGGCTATAATTGTTATCCTTCCTGTTCTTCATGTATAGGCCCTGAATAAAATTAGTGTACCAATTGCTATTATGGAAAACCATCATAAAATTAATGTCCATTATGTCCAGATAATCTATATTACGAGAAAAATGCAGGATGCTAAACTATTTGCAGGTTCGAAAATTATAAATACTCTTAAGGATTTTGCTAACCTATTTCAAGTAATATACAATTATTTATGTTTAGATTCATATTTTTTCTCAAATTCTTTTTATTCATAATTTGATTAATATTAATGGTAAATAATATATGACCCATTGTATGTTGACACATCTCCAAAATAATTTACTTATGGATACTATATATTTGGAATTTTTAAATATAATTCTGGAATAGCCAGATATGTTACAAATTTGAATCCATCACAAAGAGTTTATCTGTATGGGATTAAAATTGTTTTAATGATTTTTAATAATTAACAATTAGGAGGCATAAGATTTATGTTTAACAGCACTTATTATAGTTCTATTTATCGTGATTCTCAAGGAATTAAAACTCATGGAATGAAAATGGAATATTAAAGCTTTTAAGGAACATATGCTGCATACTCTAACACATATGTTTATAATCTCTTTATGTTTGTCGATATTCCTTAATATCCATTTTATTTCTCAGCCATTAGTAATTATACGTAAAAATAAAATTAATTTAAGTGATTCAAATGTAGGATGGGGATTAATATCATTCCAAATTACATCCGGATTTTATGTTTAGAACTGTTATTTTTAAGAAGTATCATATGAATGCAAAAAAATGCTATTCAAATTATTATGTTGACAAATAGGGTAAATGTATTTATTTGTGCAATAATTATCTTTAGAGGATTCTTGGGGACAAATGCTAGGATTTAGAAGATGAAATACCTTGTATTTAAACTAAATTAATTTTTAGATTCTAAATATTTAATTAAAGAATATTTTGATAAAACTAATAATCCAGAATACTACTCATAATACAAGTTAGTCTCCAAAACAGGCTTAAATTTTTTAAAAGGTGAGGATATATATTATTCTTATTGGCAGTAAAATAGAATCTTTGGTGGACCTTATGTTTGGAGTTAGGCTGAATTTGAGAGAATTCATAAAATAGAGAATGCCCACCATAGCATAAGTATCTCATTTTAGATTGTCTATGGTCCTAATTTCCCTTCAAATAGTCAATTTATTTATACTATTGAAGCAAATTAACCAGTATCTTGTTAAAAAAGTAGTGCAACTGATACTTATAGTGATGGTTCAAAGTTATAAACAATAAATAAAAAGATTACTCATAATAGTGATACATTAACAATTAAATGGGAATGCAAGGGTGAAGACAATGAACCAATATTAGCATATTGTGGAATTTATAGATATTACATTATTGTTCATTATTGTTAGCCTTATTGTTTATAATGTGATTAAAGCACTTGTATCTAATGGGATAATTATGATTCAAGTTTGATTAAGTTTTCTGAGAGTGAATGTTAAGAGTAATAGTACTATGACTCATTTTTATTAAAATGTTTTAATTGTCCTTCTTAATGCTAAACTTGTAAGTCATAAATTGATTGCACCGCCTGCCAACCAACTTACACTCTTACTAAATTAGGATGTGTTTGCTAAAAAAATTAATATGATGCAGGTTTTTAATGTGTTAATTGTCCAGAATAATGTGAATAATGTGTCAGCTCTTCATTTTGTTTATCATGTTCAATCTAAAAATATAGAAAACTATTAAATGGATAATGTGAATGTATAGATGGATATTATTCAATTTCAACAGATCTTATCTGTTTAAGATGTCATTTATATTGTAAAACATGTTTAGGACCAACTTCAGATCATTGTTAAGAGTGTTAAAATATTAACAATATTGAAAAAGTTGGATCTACATGCAAATGCTTAACGGGTACTGCCTACCAGGATTAGCTTAAAATATGTGCTCCTTGTCATTAAACTTGTTTAACTTGTTTTAGAATCACAATTGATGGCTGTTTGAATTGTGATTCTAATTTACATCGAGTTCTTAGAGGATTAAAATGCGAGTGTTAACCTGGCTATTATGAATTAGATAATATTTGCCAAAGTAAATATATTTCTTTTATTAAGATTGTCCTGATACTGAGAATAGTTCTTTATCTCAATGCTATAAATTATGTATTGGCAATTAGCTAATATGGCATACAAATAATTGTAGTAATTGTGATATCGGGTATGAATTAATCTCAAATCATTGTTAACCTAAATGTGGAGACTCTAACTTAATACAGTCATTTGAAGAATGTGAAGATAATAATAACACTTTAGATGATTTATGTTATAATTGCAAATTTTAATGTCCCATACATTGTTTGGTTTGTGATTCTTCAACTACTATTCCATGTCCAGATGTTTGTGGTGATGGAATAATTACAGGTAGTGAAGAATGTGAAGATAACAATGATATATAATATGATGGATGTTTCAATTGTAAATATTAATGCGATCCTTATTGTACTAAATGTATTATGGGAAATTGTTTAGAATGTTTAACTCGAGGGTGGGTAGTTGATACATCATCCAATATTTGGAAATGCAAAGAATAATGTGGAGATGGTGTAGTAGTTGGAAATGAACAATGTGATGATTAAAATCTTTCAGAGACAGATGGATGCAAAGATTGTAAATATTTTTGTAGAAAAGGTTGTTCATCTTGTGACTACTCAAAAGGTATATGTTTAAGTTGTGAATAAACTGGATATGCTCCTTCATCATATTATTGTAGAAATATTTGTGGAGATGGATTAGTAGTAAATGGTTTGTATGGATATTTTTAAGAATATTGTGATGATGGCAATAATGATAGTAGTTCATAGTGTAATAGTGATTGTACAGGTTGTGCAAAGGGATATTAAAGAGGATAGAATTTAAAATGTGAGCCTGTTTGTGGAGATAGAATTAAATCAATTGAGGAAATATGCGAATCAGGGAACATCTTGCCTTATAAAGGATGCCAGAATTGTTTAGCAAGATGTTAGGTGTCTTGTAAGATTTGTGATACAAGTGGTAATGGTTGTATATAATGCAAACTTGGCTATATGAAGCTGAATAATGTATGTCATCCTATATGTGGGGATGGTATAATTGTAGATGATGAAGAATGCGATGATGGAAATCTTATTTATGGAGACGGTTGTCATCTCTGTAGGTTTAGTTGTGTATAGTCTTGTATAAGTTGTATCAATGGAATATGTTATTTACAATAAGATGAGGAGAATTATATCTTAGAGAAATGCTTATCAAATATAAGTTTAAATATCAATAGGAACATATAACAAAATATATGCATCTTATTTAATGATCTAGACTATTAAAATAAATCTTATCTAAAGAATCTATTTTACTGTCCTCCTAATTGTAAGCTTTGCTAATTCTAAATATGTTATCTTTGCTAAGAAGGGTATGAATTAACTCCAATTAAATAAGATTGTATACAATCATCCATATTCTAAGATTAATTATAATATTGTTAAGTAAGTGCTCCCTTTTTTTGTTTAAAATGCTAAGAATATGCTTATTTTGACATTTATGAAAATAGATGTAAACTGCCATCTTATTATTTGAATTTAAAAAAGGAATGCTCTTTAGGATATTATTTGAATGATTTCTCTGAATGTATCTCATAATGCGGAGATGGCATTCTTGCTAATGATGAAGAATGTGAAACATAAGATGAAAATTGCATCTATTGTGAATACCAAAAACCATTTCGATGTCAAAATTTTTTGAAGGATATTTGCCTTTAGTGTGAAGATGGTTATTATTTCAACATAATAAAAAAATCATGTGAAATTAATCTTGAATATGAACCTATAGCTAATAATGAAAATGATTTCTACTTTATTATTTGCTAATTGAAGCTTAGTAAAGACTGTCTAACATGTGAATAAGGAATTTGTTTATAATGTAAATAAGACTATTTCTTTCTGAATGGATTATGCATGGCTAGTCAAACTACACAATTAGTTGAAATTGATAATCCTAATAATAATTTAAAAAATTATAAATTTCAAACTTTCTTGTTTGGTTAATTCATCTAATGTGATGTTTATTAATATAATGAATATAACGATAAAAATACAATTTTTTTATTCAAAAAGGATTTGGATTAAAATAAAAATGAATGTAATTCGTTATGCGAATTATGTAAAAATTAATCATGCATTCAATGTAAATATGGCTATTATGGTAAAAATTGCTAACTTAGACAAGTCAATTTTTAAATTGCAAAATTAAAATAATATTATTCAACAATAGATATTTATTAGGAAGATCAATCCTGTGAATCAGATTGTTTAGTTTGTTTTTTAGGATAATGTATTTTTTGTAGGGAAGGTAGCTATCTATTTAATCATGAATGCATTTAGTAAAATCTTATTGAATATTATCGAATAAAATAAGTGAGATGTGGAGATAAAATTGTGTCAATAGGAGAATTTTGTGATGATGGAAACAATGTTTAATACGATGGATGTTTTGAATGTTAATATAGTTGTGATCTATATTGTTTAAAATGTGAATTTGGCTTATGCTTATAATGTCAAGATGGATTTATTCTAATTGAAGAATCATATACTTGTGAACCTTAATGTGGAGATGGGAAAGTAATCCCTTTTACTTAAGAGCAATGTGATAATAACAATTTAGATCCAAGTGATGAATGTGATTAATGCAAATTTGTATGTCTACCTCATTGCTTAGCTTGTTTTAATTTATTCACCTGTGCTAAATGCGAAAAAGGGTTTATATTTCGCTAGGAAAAATGTATTCCAATTTGTGGAGATGGTATCTTAATACCTGAATTTGAAGAATGCGATGATAATAATTAAATTAAATATGATGGTTGTTATGAATGTAAATATCAATGTAGTCAAGATTGTTTAGATTGTTAAAAAGGAATATGCCAAAAATAATGTCCAAAAAATATGATTGCTTTTGAAAATGAATGCATGTCAGAGTGTGGATAAATGTTGGTTAACTATGAAATAGAATGCGATGATGATAATAACATAGAATATGATGGATGTTTTAACTGTAAATTCTAATGTGCATTTGGTTGTGATGAATCATTTTGTTAAAAAGGTATTTGCCTTAAATTCAGACCAGAATTTACTCAATAAAGTTAACATTTTTAAATACCTGATGATTTAGATGAAAGTCTAAAAAATATTTTAAACAATTAATAAAGTAGTTGGATTTGTAATTAATCGGAATGTACCTACTCTGAAAGTCCTCAAATAATCATCAATAATCTAGGGTTTAAAAATTAAAAACAACTTATTAAAATTACTTTTGACTAAGAAGTTAAATGTTATTTTAGTTAAGATTAAGAAATATTCAGAATTTATTTTGAAAATATAGAACAAACATTTTATACATCTTTGTGTTACGCATCTAAAAATTAAGAGCTTTCTAATATAACCAAATAAGTTGAGTATTTAGTTGAAATTGAATTCTCTTAATAAATTTTTGTTCAACCAATTCTTATTGTTCAACCTGAACTTTTAATACTTAATTCTAATAATTAAAGTGTAAATATTACAAATTATAAAATAACATTACATATACCTCTTATTTTATAAGATAAAGAGCTTGTAAAATCTTAACAAATGCAATAAGCTAGCTAAGGTGTTGTAATTACTTCGATATCATTGGCAGTCCTTTCATTATTCTCAGGAGGACCTTCATTTATTGAGGAATTGCTCAATATCATTTAGTATCAGTCATTTCTAAAATTTATCAATTTAGAATATCCATAAAACTTACTTATATTTTTTTAGGCTTCAGAAATGCTTTCAATTTCAAATCACCTGTAGTTTTTCAATTTTGGCAATTTCATCAATAATATTTACCCAAAATAACTAAATTTTTAGTTGAATGGAAAATTTCTTTATTATGAATTAGAAGCAATTCTCATAACTAATATTACTCCCTAAATATTCTAAGCTTTTGTCATAGTACTAATAATTTACTCTGGCTATTTTTTCGATATCATTTTTTAAAAATTACTTTAAAACCAATATTTTATTACTACCTTTGAAAATAGAAACAGCCTTTCTAAAAAATACATACTCATATTTTTCAGAAAAACTCGCTAAGCAATTAAATTTTTAAAAATTTCCAAATACTCTTTTAGTTTCAAATAAGTAAAATAGATTCTATTACTTAACTCTTGGGATTTACTATTCAAATCTATTTTATATCTATATTGCAATTAAGAAGTCAATATTAGAAGTATTATCGAGTCTTCTATGAGTTTAGCTATCATTACAATTTTATATATATCTCTTAGTGCACTGTTTTCACTCAGGCAGAAAATAAATATTAGTAAACAAAAGCGAAAGATTAGATTAAATATTTTTAACCTTTGAACTCTTTCGAACATTCTTCTTTACTTTAGTATTAATATTATTTTAAGAGGATGAAATTTTATAGACCTTATTATTATTTATTGGTAGTTTAAGTTAATGTTTTGTTATTTATAATTTTAAACAAGTTGATAAACTGGGTAAAATCTTATCCATTTTAATAGAAGGGACAACATCATTATTTATGTTAACTTCAACAATTTATTTTAAAATTAATATATTGAGATTGAATCAAGATATCATTTCATAAATAGGATATGCTCATATAGCCTTATTGCTTATAAGCACATTATTTTTAGGAGCTAAGTAATTTATATTTATCATCAAATTATGTTCAAAGAGATTTTTGAAGGTTCAAAATAAAACAATTGTTTAATCTCTCTTTATTTCCTGATATCTAAATAATTTTAAATTTGGAATGATAATTTATTTATGTGTAAAATAAGACAAATAATTTTCTTAAGTTTCTTTTTTTTCGTATTCTTAAGGTTTGGTTCTTAAATTAATACTTAAATTTAGAATTTTAAAGAATAGTATTTTAATATAATTACTATTTGCTTTTTAGGACAAGCAATATAATTTAAAATTGTCTTTCTTGATTTATTGAATTTAGGATTTACTTTTTTTTTTCAAAGTGGTTTTCTTCAAATAAAAATAATGAGTAAACTGCGTCTGGTTAATTTTAAGATTTTCAAAGAAACTTTATTTTAATAAACATATTTTCTTTAATTACTTTTTGAAATGATGATTTTTCGATATTTAATGATTTTTAATTTGCTTATATTGATGATTATTTCTGTTATGATATTTTTATACTACAAGTATAGAACAAATTAATATTATGGCTCTATTTAATTGATAATTTATTCAATTTTAATATTATTTACTAATGCGCTCTAATCTTTCAAAAATGTGTTTTTAATACTTTGTTAGTCAACCATGCAGCTGGAATTCATAAACATAAATTAATTAATAAAAATTATGAAAGTTATTTTAGTGATTTAATAGACCTTTGACATTTTTTTGATCATAGTTTTTCTAACTTTTATAATTTCAATATCATAATGATATTTATTTAAAAATTAAATAAAACTAATCTTTTTATTAAGACAGTGAAAATGAAAACAAATTATTATTTCAATATAAATGAATCGAATTATACTGTTTTTTAGTTTTTAGAATTTAAACTACATATAACATATTCTCCCTTATTTAAAAAATGAAAGATCGAATGACATACAAATGAATCGAAGATATTCTATACTGCTTGTCCAATCGATTATCAATTAATTAATTTTTAATTAGCTATCCACAAAAATTGGATCGTTGGTAGCCATTATTCTAAAGTATCCAGATTATTTTTTTCCTATTTTTTCATTTTAAGACGATAATATATGAATCAACATTCTCATTAATTAATATCAGAAGTTTATTTCAGGTGAATTTAAAGGCATAAATATAATAAATACTTAAAAAATAAATTTAATTAATATTTTTTCAGAAATCTATTTATAAACCTAATAATGTTCATCATTCCAAACAATAAAAAATTATTTATCGTTAGATAAAGTTACAAATATTTACTTGTTTTTAAATCTTAAATAACTGATCAATCTAAATTTTTTTAAGGCAAATATATATCTATTTTGCTTAACAATTAATATTTATTTATTTATTATTGATATACTATATTGGAAGGCTAAAATAATCTGATTTTTTAAAGTCTAATTACATTTTTGAGATTTCAACGACTTTATTTTTCCCTTCATTATGCGTACAAAATACAAATATTTAATCATTCAAAAATTTACACTTGCAAGCTTAATCGTATTCTGTTATTTTATCCTATACCTTCCAACAATCATTATTCTATTATTTTTACCAAATAATAATCTGCTTTTCTTCTCCGAAAGAAATTAATTATGTTTCAGACTAATTAAGATTTATTGACTAACATTATTTATTATTCCCTTATAATTCTTTTTCAAATGAAAATACCTTATTCATCTAATTTACTTTCCATATTCTTATGTTTCCAAGTAAATCACTTTTAAATAATTAATCTTCATTTTTATTGAAACCTCCATTTTTTCTATTTTAGTAGTTTTCTGCTTCGAAATTTCCCAATTATTGTTTGAAAAATACCATAAAAATTCTATGGTCTCCTATTCCTCCAGCTGAAAAAAAGGAATGCCTATATTTTTAGCCAATTAATATACACGCAACATCATTTTTATGTTAGATTTTTGGTTGGATAAAAGCATTCATTTTTCCTTCTTAAAATTACCAAATATGTATAGTCTCATTTTCAGTTGTTGCTAACAAAGAATAATCTAAATTAAAGCATAAAGCTTATGACTTCTTATTTTAATAAAACAGGATAGGTCCTGTTAATGTTTAGAGAGGTTAAATATTAGCCACATAATAAGGAAAATCCTTAATATTCAAAAAAACTATTTTAAACTTTCTCATAATCTTATCTTAATTTTATAAAAGATGATTAACTAAAGCAATCTTTTTCATAGAAAGGCCCTACAAAGTTTATATATTAATCATCGTTTTAAAATTCCTTAAATTTAGATACAAAAATTTGAAGAAGTTTATGATATTAGGCTATTATATCGTCATTTTAGTTTTTTAGATACATTTTCTTTAAATTAATCCTCCAAATATTATTAAAAATCTTTAGATATCTGTTATAATTCATTTTTGTTTATATTTTTCTAGATTTCTTAATTTTAAGCAAACTTAGAAACTTCTTTCATATTCTAATTTACTAATTGAAAATGCTGAGTTGTTTTGAAAATTTTGATCATCTATTTATGATTTAACTTTTATAGAGATTCTTTTAGCTTTTCACTTAAGCTTTCTAAACCTATTATGATTAATATTATTATCTTAAACTTTTTAACTCATTTTCATTCAATTTACTATCATAACGATCATTTGATTCAGATATGAATTATTCTTAAACTTGTTCTTATTTTTTTTTCTCTAAAATTTTTCCACTAATAAAAACTATGTATTTTTTTTTATAAATAGAAGCAATTATTACAATGAGTTAATGCTCTCTTATTAGTAAAATGATCCATTAGGTTTTTAGTGTTAAAATTTTCTATTATTTATCATTTTTAATAGAAATAAAACTATTTTTATAGTACCTAATTCTATTAAATAATTTGATAAAACACTTCTTCAATTGTTCAAAGCAAATTTTAAATCTTTATAAAAATAGCTCAACCATCTATAATTATATTATATCTTATTCAATATTATGAATTGTAATTATATTTTGTATCTCGCTTCATTTAATTTTTTTCTTTCTATTAAAATGCAAGTTAATCATTTCTGATGATGTGTTTAATATTCATGTAATTGTGTTGGAAAAGCAAAGCTTCAAATTATAATCTTAAAATAGTAAACAATTTTTTGTAATAATTATCAAATACAGAAGTTTTCTTTGTATTTATAACTTAAATTTAAAGCCTTTAAAGTTACAATATTTTAATCGATATCAAAAATTTATAAATACATTCATATAAGGAGAGATCATTATTTATAATTTTTTGAAGTAAAAAGCATTACTCAATAAACCCATATGAATGAAGAATTATATTAAATTTATAAGTTTCAATTGAAAAAAACAAATTCAATTTTATATCAACTAACAATAAAAATATTACATAAAGATTGGTATATGGGTGGAAATGTGGTGTCATGAGAAACTTGGTGTAAAGAAATTTGATAATTGAATATTTATTCAAAAAGTAATATAAAATATTTGAAAAAATAAAATAACTATAATAAATTTGGTTATGCCTATAAATTCATAATGAAAAAGGCTTTTTTCATTTTAGTTTGTGAAATTGGTAATACAAAGGTGACTTTTTTTGGATTATTGTTAGTAAATTTATTAGGATTGAGAGAGGTTTTTGTTTAATTTTTGTTGAGAAAACCTTATATATTCTTCCTAATTAAATGCAGTATAAGATAAGGAGATATTATATGATAATCATCTGGCTTGTATTTAATATCTCTATCAAACTGCTTGAGTAACTAATTTTTTAATTTATGTCATGGTTTTAATGTGATAAAGCCTATTAAATCTCTGACATTTTTTTGAAAAAGATTAACAATTTAAGTTAATTCTCTTTGTCTTTTAATTATTAGTCTCTTTTTCAAAGATGAGTTTGGAGGTCCTTTTAATAATGAAAAAAACAATTACATTAATTATTGTTTTTCAAGTATTTACTGAAAATTATAACACTGAACCATATGCACACAATTCAGATGCACATATTTTTCAAATTTATTAGCTTTACCATTTTCTAGTTGTTAGATATTAAATTAATATTACGACGATTTAAGTAATTATGTAGTAAATAATAATTGATACATTCAAAAAAATATATGAAAATTGATACTACAAAATGTTTGTGTTGGTATAATTGTGTTGTTAAACTTTTTGAGAAAGTTTAAACTTAAGTTTGAAAATAATCAAGATAAAATGAAATAATTTTCAATATTTATATTTCTTTGATTCTTGATTATTAAATTAATGCATCCTAAAAGTTTATATAATTCTTAAAGATGAGCAAATAACTAGTAATTTATATAGTTTTATTTTCATACATACGACTCAGTTGTTTTTGCTTTTATGATATTGAAAAAGTTAACAATATTCTAATTTTCAGTAAATCTTCTAATTTGAAATTCTAAGGTTATGAGCTTTATAAAAGAAATAAACAAAAATTGCCTTAAATTATTATGAACTATTCTAAAGAAGACCAATTAATATTTTGTCAATGATAAAATTATTCAATATGAATTCAAATTTATAAAATAATAATAAAAACTTTATAAAATTTAAACTAATATTTTTTACCTATGTTTTTAAAATATTTCTTAATAAGAAATCTATAATTGTTACCAAATTCAAAACTTCTTTTTATAAATCTTTAAATAAAAATTAATCAAAGTTATTAGTTTAACTTTCTTAAACAAAAAAATAAATTGTATAAAATATTAAACTTCATATTTTCAACTTCTGAAAATTAGAATTTCTCTAATACCTATTTTCGATAATTTTAGATTCATTTTTTTTCTCAAAATATATAATATATTATTCCCAAAAATTTACATGTAGGTCTTTACCCTCCCACCTTCCAAAGCCTAACTCTCTATTGAGAAACTCCATTTTCTCCATTATTTATTTTTATGGATTAATTAACTTATCTTATTTATTTTATATTGTTTTTACATTCTTATAATTATTTCATAATTAAATAATTGTATCTATCCTTATTAATCTTTCACTTAATACTTTTATCATAGTATTAGGAAAAATTAATATGTTTATTTAATATATATTTATTTAGATAATCTTACTTATATTTTATAATTGAGATTGGCTATAAAAAATGCGCTGTTTAACAAGAATGATTGCATTTATGAATCTAAAGCAGCGAAAAATATAAAATATTAAATCCTATTTAATAATCAAATTATGACATATTTGTTATTTTAAAGAACTCTTATATTTGTAATTTATTATCACTTAATGAGGACTTATTCTAGAATACAAAAATAAATGCATAATTAAAATTTGTATGGATGAAGGATCATTTAAAAAAAATGATAAATATATTGATCATTGGAAATAATTTATACAACTAATCCCCAATCAATTTAATAAAATAGAGGAAATACTATTTAAAATATCTATTTAAAAATTACATTAGGAATTCATGTTCGATTAGATTGAAAAATTAAGATATTATGTGATTACAAATAGATAGTGAAAACAAACTCTAAATCTTTTCAAATTATTGCACTATTCTAATAAAAATAAAATAAGATTTTTTTTATTGAATAAATTAATTAAAAAAGTAATAGAAATTCAATAATTAAAAAAAAAATGAATTGCACTTATCATACAAAAAATCAAATATCAATGATATGCAGAGCCCCTCATAAATGTTCATAACGAAGAAAACTTTGCTGTGAATGTCAAGAGGAACATGGAGTGGATTCTAAATTTATAGTATCGATTAAAAAATTTCAAGAAATGGTTATTAAAAAATTAAATGAATCTTAGCTTGGGGAAACATCAAAATTAACTGAAAAAAAAATGATTATTAAAAATTTTCTATCTCAAACTTAAAGCAAGCTCAAAAAAAATTTTGAAGAATTATCAGAATTAATAATTCAAATATTTGATATGATTCAACAGGAAAAAATGTCATGTAAAGGGCTTATGAACTAAAATGCTAACCTAGCAGAAGCATCTTATACTGATTTAGATAAATTAGTCTCCATAGTCGATGGTTAAACAGAAAATGATTGGAGTGCTTAAGAAAAATCTTGTATGATGGAAATGGATACGTTAAAAAATTGGAGGGACCAAGAAATTGAGTCTTTTTTCCAAAAGTCAAAAGAAAGAATAAAAAACTTTCATAATTAAAGTAAGCTGGGGCTTTATTAATAGCCTGACATTAAAATTATTCATAACAAAGAATCAGTTTAAGTTTAAGAACAGAAAGAATGTTTGTATAAAATTTTTTCTTAGATAAAAGACATAGATGAATCAAAATTTAATGCATTTTTTGCAATGCTAAGAAAATAAAAAATATCAAATATTTTTGGATATCTATCAAAAGCTGAAAATTAAAAGCATTTAGAAAATTTTGGAATAAATAATATTAAAAAAATAATGAATGTTCTTGAGAAAATTTTGCATCATGAGTTTAATAATCTAAACTACTCCACTTAATCTTTTGAATAAACCAAACAAGACTTAATCGAAAAAATCAAAAAAGATAAATAAATAATTTTATTGTTAATATAATTAGTTAAACTAACAGCTATTGACAATTAATTCATTTAAAGTGGATCAAATTCACTTCACCTATTGATAGCTATGAAGATTGATCTGACAAACCAAAATTTTGAAAATATTAAAATTTAGAACATATCATTGTATGGAGGAACTTTTGTTAGATGCAATTTGAATGGATCAGAATTCAAAAATGTAGACATAAATGGGATAAATTTAAATGGAGCATAATTATTTAATTGTAAATGGGTGGAGGTGTAATTAGACGAATTATACATGCTATAAGGTCATAATAGCAGCGTGAATCAAGTTTGTATTTCAGCTAGTGGCCTTACATTAGCATCTTGTAGTAATGATAGCTCTATTCTTTTATGGGATATTTTGAAAGGAGAATAAATAGCCAAATTAGATGATCATAGTGATTGTGTTTCATCAGTATGCTTCTCTCCTGATGGTACTACTTTAGCATCTGGTAGTGCCGATAAAACTATCCGTTTATGGGATGCAAAAACAGGATCATAAAAAGTCAAAATTTTTGGTCATAATGAGTAGGTGTCATCTGTATGCTTCTCTCCTGATAGTTCAACAATAGCATCTGGTAGTGCAGATAAAACAATCCGTTTATGGAATCCAAAAACAGGATAGTAAAACAACCAATTTTAGGGTCATAGTGAAAAGGTTTCATCCTTATGTTTCTCTTCAGATGGTAAAATTTTAGCTTCTGGTAGCGTAGACTAGACTATTTGTTTATGGAATGTGACAGGATAATTGAAAATTAAATTAGAGGGTCATGATAAGGCTGTTTTATCAATAGGCTTTTCTCCAGATAGTACTAAATTAGTGTCTGGTAGTGCAGATAAAACCATCCGTTTATGGGATGTGAAAACAGGATAAAAAAAAGCAATATTGAGTGGTCATTAATATGAAGTTTTTTCAGTATGTTTCTCTCCTGATGGTACTACTTTAGCATCCGGTGGTTCAGATAACTCTATTCGTTTATGGGATGTTGAAAAAGAATAATTTTAAACATAATTTGACGGTCATAGTAAGGCAGTTCTATCAATATGTTTTTCTCCTAATGGTTCTACATTAATATCTGGTAGTGAGGATAAATCTATCCGTTTATGGGTTGTTAAAAAAGTATAAAAAGCTCAATTAGAAAGTCATAATGGATTGATTAAATCAATCTGCATTTCTCCTGATGGAATTACATTAGCATCTTGTGGTTAAGATAGCTCTATTATATTATGGGACATGAAGACAGGTTAATAAAAAGCAAAATTAGATAGTCACAGTAGTGAAGTTCTATCAATATGTTTTGCTCCTAATGGTATTTCATTAGCATCGGGTAGTAAAGATAAGACTATCCGTTTATTTGATTTAGATTAAAAATAATAAACTGCTAAAATTGTTTTAAATAGTGAAGTTTTATCAGTAAGCTTCTCTCCTGATAGTACTACATTAGCAGTTGCTTGTAAAGATAGCTCAATCAGTTTATGGGATGTTAAAAAAGAATAATAAAAAATTAAATTGGAAGGTGATAGTTATGTATGCTTCTCTCCTGATGGCACTAAATTAGCATTTGGTGGTAAAAATAAATGTATTTAATTTTTGGATGTAAGAAGAGGAAAATTAACATTTTCATTAAAAAGTGGTGGTTCTGAAAAGTAAGTATGTTTCTCTCCAAATGGTACCATATTAGCATCTTGTGGTTTTAATAATACTATTCGAATATGGGATGTTGAAATTCAATATTAAAAAGCTAAATTAGAAGGTCACAGTAACGAAGTTCTTTCAATATGCTTTTCTGCTGATGGTACAATATTAGCATCTGGTAGTATAGATAAGTCTATTCTTTTGTGGGATGTCAAGACAAGATAATAAAAATTCAAATTGGAAGGTCATACAGAATAGGTTTCATCTGTGTGTTTCTCCCCTGATAGTAGTATTTTAGCATCAAGTAGTGAAGATCTCTCTATTCGTTTATGGGATATCAAGACAAGTTCATAAAAAAACGAAATAGATGGTCATACTGATGATGTAAACTCAGTTTGCTTCTCTCCTGATTTTAATTTCTTAGCATCTTGTAGCAATGATGAATCTATCCGTTTATTTGATGTTAAGGGAGGATAATTAAAATTCAAATTTAATGCTCAGAGTGGATTGGTTCAAGCAGTATGCTTTTCTTCTGATAGCACTACTATAGCATCTGCGAATGCAGATAAATCTATTGGTTTATGGGATTTACAGACAGGATAATAAAAAGCCAAATTAGAAGGTCATCGTAGGAAAGTTTTAACTGTATGTTTCTCTCCTGATTGTAATACTTTAGCATCTGGAAGCGAAGACAATTAGATACATTTATGGGATGTAAAGAAAAGATAATAAATAGCCAAATTAGATGGTCATTCTGAATGGGTTTCATCAGTATGCTTTTCTCCAGATGGTACTATTTTAGCCTCAGGTAGTGGAGACTACTCTATTAGATTATGGGATGTGAATAAAAGATAGTTTAAAACCAAATTAAATGGTCATTCTGAATGGGTTTCATCAGTTAACTTCTCTCCTGATGGCGTTACATTAGCATCTGGTAGTGCAGATAAGTCTATCTGTTTATGGGAGGTTAATACAGGAAAACAAAAAGCCAAAATAGAAGGTCATCATAAGGAAGTTTTAACAGTGTGCTTCTCTCCTGATGGAACTATTTTAGCATCTGGTAGCAAAGATAACTCAATTCGTCTATGGGATGTTAAGACAAGATAATAAAAAACCTTATTAGACGGTCATTATCATTGGGTCCAATCAGTCTGCTTTTCCCTTAATGGAATTACATTAGCTTCTGGTGGTGCAGACAAGTCTATCTGTTTGTGGGATGTATAGACGGGATACTTGAAAGTTAGATTGGATTCTAATTTGAATCATTCACAATCCATTTCCCTTTCTCCAGACGGTTAGACATTAGCATCAGGTAATGGAGATGAGTCCATCAATTTATGGGATATTAAAACAGGTTATAAAATTGATCCATTTAGTAAATGCTATGAAGATCTTTTAGCCTAATTTAAAACTCCAATATTTTAGTAAAATCTACTTCCAGAATGTGGTATTTATTAAGCAATATTTAGTTACCTCTCATCTTAATATTCTTCTTATATCCAAACAGGCATTATTTTAAGTTTCTGGAGCCCTTATTCTTGAAGGATAAATTGAGAATCAATCAGGCATATCATTAAAAAAATTATTGAAATAAAAAGGAGGTTTCTTTTTGGACAATTCATCAGGATAATAATAAACAAAAGAAAAAGAAAATTGTATAATTTAATGAAAAAAAGATTGATTATTTTAATAATTATATTTTGAGGTGTGTTTGGTAAAATCTGATGTGATTGGAAGTAAAATCTACATGTAAATATTACTGTAACTTTATTTCATGAATGTAAACCTTTGCAATTCTATCTACTCTAGCTTTGTTATTCATTTTACGACTTTGTTATTTTAAATTTCCTGTTGTTTTTTCTTATTTTGAGAAATTGATTTCCATTTCTCTCTTTTTGTTTTTTTAAAAAAATCCCTTGTTAAAATTTTAGCAAATTCAAATATTTACCAAGTTTCCTGAAGTTTCCCTTGTTTTTGAATTTTGTAATATTATAATTAAATTAATGAAATTAAAAAATTTATCCAAATTTTATTTAATTGGGTTTGGGTTTGTCCTCTATAATTTTATTAAACCAGTCAGATAATGTTGAATGTATCAATAATTTATTTTTTTAATATAATATAATTTTTTTAAATAAACTTAAATTTTTCAAGAAAAAAAATATTTTTTAAAAGAAGAAAAAATATTTTCCTATATTGAGAAGATAGTTTAAAAATAGATGCAAAAACAGGGCTAATTTTAATGATTTTACAAAATTTGAAAAAAATTGGGTTTGGCAGCCACAGAATGTTGAATCTGGTATATGTT